GTAATAGTCGGAGCCAGCAATCCGGCAGACAATCCGTGAACCTCTCCGCGCACGGTCCATTCCTCAGCGCCGAGAGAACCTTTCATTGCGCCCAAGCAACTGTGATCTGCAGGTGGTGGTGGTAGTGGACTTGTGGGTGGGACATTTCGTTTTTGGTATGAATTGCTTTTTCCTTCCCCTTCAACTATGATTTTTCTTTTTCTTTTTTTCACTTTCCCGTGGGAGGGCCGCATGAAGAGAGAATACTCCACAGGGAGATGTAACTGCGCATTTTGATTAGTGATTGATGGAGATGTGAACATTTTAAGGTAAATGTCTCAGATTTCGCTACGGCTTGATGTTGCTCTGTCTGTCTGCGCTTGATAGTTCATGCAGTCGAGCAGAGGGGGTTTTATATATTTTCAATATTCACCTAAAATCTCTTTCGCTTTGGGCTGTGTTTTTCTTCGTGGCCAGTTTCACAGCCTTGGGCAAACAATAAAGCCCATGATGATGATACAAAGTATAGAACGAAAATTAATCCCATCGTATCAACCAGGCCCATTACTATCCTTTGACGCTGTCTGATCTGGATTCTATTCGCACTTACAGTTCAGGGCCTCAATGTCCGCACGCCAGAAGTCCTCTGGGCCGTGACATCTCAACCTCTAAAGTCAGGGATGCGATATGCAAAATTCCTTTTCAATTGTTGGATGTCACAATCAGCTCCACTGCACGGGTAAATTATGACGACCACTGATCGTTCTCAGCTAATTCATGCAGATGAATGGATATGGCATACGAGGAATGTGGTGAATCTTGGGTTTTCCCCATGGGACATTCAGGAATTTCGACAGTGCCTGTCCCTTTCCCCAACCTAGTGATGGCGCCAACTGAGATGACAAGGGGAGCATATGGTAGAATAGCAATGAACACGTTGAGGAACAATGTTCACTGGAGCCAAAAAAAAGAATGGTGAGGAGGAGCTTCCGCACCACCATCGTTTTATTGCTTTGGTGCCATTGCTGCCGAAATACTACAACCAATTGCACAATTACGGAAGCTTTATTACTTATTTAGGGGAATTTCTGCATTGGATGGTTCGATCTACGAGGTTGTGGGGCAGAGTCATTGCACACGAAACTTCTTTGCAAGTCGGGGGGAGTTCTTTGCCTGGTTGCGCGCCATTTGAAACGCCCTCTCTATAAATGATACTAAACGCATTTGCCGTCTCTGGACCCTCGTTTCACAATCATCAGCATGGATTGTGCGCAGCCCATCATTGCAGATTCTCTGTAATTGATCTGATTCAGCTCTCTTCCATGTTGGGAATGATCTGTACTACTACAACAAGAGAATAGCTGTGGACAGACACGCTTATTGTGATAAATACTTGCGCCAGATCAATCTTTTCACTTTCTTTGCTGAACTGAGAAGTTATACCGGGACGGATTGTTTGGTTCGCGGATAAAAGGTCATCATCCTTTTCTCCAGTCATTCCTCACATTGACATCTGGAATCCTGCAAACTCCGTTGCGAAGGTTTAATAGTGATCAATTGAATTGAAAAGTCCACCTAAACTGATCATCATAAAGCAACGGCTTTGTTTGGCGTGCTCCTTGAAGGAAACGTATACAAGTTACCGGAGCTAGAGCGCTGATTCAGGGGTAGATTTTAATGGTAATGATCACACTGCGGCACAATTTACTTAAAGATTTACCAGATTTCAGCTTCGCAGCGACACTCTCCAGACTGGGTTACCGGATCCACCAAAATAACAAGTTTCACGAAGCTCTGCCAGCGAGGGGCATCCATTGCGCCGGAGGTACCTCACCGCCTATATATAACTGTAAGCTGTAATTTTCGGCAGAAAACCACCTTTGCACTATTCCTGGCTCGTGGAACAACAGCCATCGCCACGTTTATTGATAAATCGAAGTAAATCGACATAAAAAACAAAAACAAAGCAACATCCCACCTCCTCCTTCCAAGAAAAACACAGAAAGCGCAAAATAAATAGCAGATTGAATCATGGAACAGCAAAAAGAAGGCGGATGCTGCAAACCTTCCTGGTACTTCACAGACCCTGACCAACGGGAATTCAGCGCCGTTCTCAAAAATCTCAAACTCGACTCCACACTCCAGGGCTGCGTAGCACTAGGTAAGGACGGGGTTCTACGCTCGCTGACTGCTGATCGCGATGTCGTAGATGCGGTTGGGTTAACCCCCAACCTAATCGCTGCATGCCTACGTCGAATGCCTTCCGAGATGGCGAGTAAAGCTGAATATGACGGCGTCGATGGAAGCAAGGTTTCAAGGGAGTTGTGGTTCAATCCGGATAAGGCCATTTTACCGCCCCCGTTAAGCCAGGAGAAGAGGGATGAGTTCGAGAGACGCCACTCTGAACCCGAGAAATATTGACTATTTTCGTAGTGAGATGATAGGGGTTGGAGGGTGTGAATGGGGATCAGGAGGGGACGAGTGGGTGCGTGCGAGCTGGGACTAAAGTTCGGAGTCGGGATCATGACCACGTCGTTTTCGTCAAATTATCTTGACCTTGTGATTGCCGTCGAGTATGAAAAACAGTGTAAGTGGGATCGAGCTGAAATCGACTTGTAGAGCGGGTTGCGGATGTTGACCTGGACATAGTTCAAATTGCGTCCGATCCTGAGCGGTGAGCTTGATGGACATCGCAATAATCGCGTTAATAAGAGCTATGTTGAAGAAAAGGAAAAAGATATTCTCTCAATTTTCCAAGATGGGGCTTACGAGGTTGGATGTTACAATGATGAGGCCTCTCTCGCTGTGGTATACTCCGTAGCTGAGCCGGAATGGATCAGGGACGCTTATATAGTGGTTCTTTTTGTACTGTACCTCTATCTAGCGAAAAGGGAGACCACACATCGAAAAGAGCGCCACACGTCAATACCTCTTCATCGTCTTTTGTACACACGAAGTCCATCCACAAATTCAACTCTTACTTCCAAGCACATCTTATAATAATATCCTAACAATGGATTTTCATTTCGCGCTGTGACTTCGCCGCCGCCCTGGCATCCGCACTTCTCATAAAACCAACAGCAACGGAGGTGGATACCAACATGAACGTTGCCGCTGAACACAATTTTTTTTGGCGAAAATGCACTCTGGGATGCCAGCAGGCCCTACGCCGTCAACTTTGCCGCGTGAACATGCAAGCCGGTCTGGATGACACATAATGGACTTGGAAACATCAGAGCCAAATGTGGCAAGCTCGACAGTATCAAAGAGGTTAGTTTTTCGCTGAAGTTGATCAACAATCATGGGAACAACGACATCGGTGCTGCAGAGTGCTACGATGACCTGAGGAAGGAAATTGAGATGTATAACCACGGCGGGCGCACTACGTATGGGAACCAGGAATACACGATGTGGTTGGAAAGTTTCTACGAACGTGTTAGGTACTTTCTCTCGAAATCTTATTATTATCGATGGACATTCGCGACAGTCTAGATGACGGCCGGTGCTGAGAAGTGAAGAACGACGGTTGAGAGGAGTTTTGTGGGTTTGGAACTTGTTTTGCTCGGGGCGCTTTAGGGATAGTAATGATGGATGAGAGAGTTGTCTGGTCCTGTCTTCGAAGAATCAGCCTGGATTTCCACCCCTATATCATTCATTAAGGCCCTGTTGATATATTTAGATTCTTTTCAGCATCGTTATAAATTATTAGACCTGAGTAGACCTCAATGTATAGATTGCTTTTACTTGCTAGCATACAGCTTTGAGACGACCCCTGAGCCTTCGGCCAATCACGTGCCAATTCAACCTCACCACTTCAAGGTTCAGCGAAGCTACAGAACTTTGGACTACGCGACAAACAATTTCCTTTGCTTGAGGGCATCTAGCTGCTAAAGATGCTCGATGAAAAGTATTCCCTAAAAGCAGAAACCATGTCGGGATAAACTTGTCTCCCATTGTGAAATATCCAAACTCGAACAATAGTCCGTATCCTCAGTTGACTCCTCACTTCCCTAGCGGTTGTGCTGAATACCGAATTTATCGCCAATTGTTGAAAGTATGGGTCTCCTCCACTGGTTCTGCAGGCTCTACTCCCTAGATACACTTGACACGCGTTTCACAACCTCGTCGAACACGCCGCTAAAGGCCCTCCTTGCCAGCGAATCCCGAGCAACCGCTGCGGATAATGGAGTGTTGGGACAGACGGACTCGAAGGAGCCTGAGAGCGGAAGCGGGGTGCGGACGAAAATGCAGACACATACACAATTGGGAGAAGTCCGGGAAGGTGGTTTTTCTGGCCGTTCGCTAACGACGTCCCCGCCGCGTTGGAAAACAGTCGAGTTTTATGTCTATTATGTCGTGTTACTTATTGCGCTGCCAATGATGTTTAAGGCTGCCTATGATGTTTCGAAGGGTGAGTTTGTAGATTTGAGAAGTTGCCTTGCTTCTTTCCTTGTTTTGGTAGGCGGAGGTTCTTTGAGGCTTTTGAGGTAGGCCGGATTGGTTGTATGCTAATTTGGCTCGTCCACTGCGTTTAAGAGTCTCACCCGATGTATTCGAAATACTCGCATCTTTTAGACGATGGCTGGCTTATGGGCCGGAAAGTCGTGAGTACATTATACCTCTTTGACTGCTAAACGGAACGAGAGACCATATTCCTCTTCGAAACTTATAACTGACTGTCCCGTGCAGGACAATTCCGACTCACAATATGGGACCTTTCGCGATAACATCCCCTATCTTTTCCTGCTCTTGGTGATCCATCCTTTAATCCGGAGAGCAATAGATACCTTTTTCCCTTCAACAAGCACGAATTCGCGCTCTCCTCAATCTAGTAAAATCAAAGACGATGCGATCACCGGATATGATTCAGTGACTGCCGACTTGCGCCTGAAACGGAGAGTGATCTTTGATTATTACTTTGCCTTGGTATTTATTGCTGCCTTGCACGGGTTTTCAGCTCTCAAGGTTCTGGCAATTCTCACCATTAATTATAATATTGCGACAAAATTACCAAGGAACAGGATTCCAGTTGCGACATGGGTGTTTAACATTGGGATATTATTCGCGAATGAATTGTCCAATGGATATCCCTATGTAAACTTAGCGAGAATGCTTACTTGGACATCTTCTGCCTCAACTACAGGGCAAGTTAATGTGCTAGTTTCCTTCGGGAAATGGCTAGACAGCTGTGGCGGTTTGATCCCAAGATGGGACATTCTTTTCAACCTCACGGTACTTAGGCTTATAAGCTTTAATCTTGATTATTATTGGAGCCTTGATTATCGAGCAGCGAGTCCTGTGGAGGTATGGCATCCCCTTTCTAGTAGAATACAAACTCTGGGCCCCTCCCTAACGCGCAAAAGAAGAAACAACTTGACCCCTCCGCCCTGTCTGAGCGCGATCGTGTGTCTATCCCTGCCCATCGAAGCGCGTTCAACTTCACAAACTACGTCGCCTACGCTCTCTACTCTCCCCTCTACCTTACTGGTCCCATCGTCACTTTCAACGACTACATCTCACAACAACGCTACCCATCCGCCTCAATAACTAAAACCCGTACTATTCTCTACGGAATTCGTTTCCTCCTCGCCCTCCTTAGCATGGAAGTAATCATACACTACATCTACGTTGTCGCCATTTCCAAATCCTCCCCAAACTGGTCTGTCTACACTCCTTTCCAACTCAGTATGTTAGGTTATTTCAACCTGCACCACATCTGGCTTAAACTGCTGTTGCCCTGGCGCTTCGCTCGTCTTTGGGCACTTATAGACGGCGTTGATCCTCCCGAAAACATGGTCCGCTGTATGTCAGACAACTACTCGGCTCTCGCCTTCTGGCGTGGTTGGCACCGCTCTTTCAACCGGTGGATCGTCAGATATCTATATGTGCCCCTAGGTGGCGGTGGTGATAGATGCGCCAGAACTGGTACAAGCAACGTCAACCGCGATAGTGGTCTGACTTCTCCCATCCTTGCCAAAGCGCGCAGTCTCCTCAATTTCCTCCTCGTTTTCACTTTTGTCGCGCTGTGGCACGACATCAACCTCCGCCTGCTCATGTGGGGTTGGCTCATCACCCTCTTCGTGCTGCCTGAAATAATCGGCACAACATTATTCCCTGCACATAAATGGCGCGACCGGCCGACGGCGTATCGCGTGCTGTGTGGCGCGGGCACGGTCTTTAACATCTTACCGATGATGGCGGCGAATCTTGTTGGGTTTGCGCTGGGGCTTGACGGCTTAAAGGGGCTTGTGAGTGGGATTGTGGGTAGCCTGGGTGGGCTGGTATATCTTATCGCCGCATGTTTGAGTCTATTTGTGGGCGTGCAGCTCATGTTTGAGATTCGGGAGGGGGAGTTGAGGATGGGGATAAATATGAAGTGTTAAGCCTTTTATTGGGTCTGGCAGTGAATGCGTGCGATGAACAGTGCATTCTTAGGTTTAGACATGGGATACATAAAATTTTTAATTCGTCCATGTCTTAGCATGGACTATTGCGTCGGGTCTTTCTTAAATGTATATATTATACCATATCAAGAAGCTAATACAGTGTATTTTCTTATTCCCCTGCAGATCTCGCTTAGCCGTCTCACTCACGTTCTCAGGGTCTTTCTAACATCATAACGCTTCGTCCATATTGCTCCAGACAGTGGACTAGTAATCAAAACGAATACTGTCGTAATGCGAACCCCTCAATCTCCACGGCTCGTATTTTCCACGCCTCTATGCTGTTAACGACAGCTTCTCTGGTCCTTTCCCCTCCCCATATCCTAAGGAGATAACGTGGTTTCACATTCTCCAGAGTAGAATTTCCTAACCTCCGATCCGAGGTCCTGCCGGCCTTCACCCCTCATAGCCCATGCATATTTTAATAACCAACCCACTGATTATTAATAGTACCTAAATAACCCGGCCTAGAACTATCCCCGTAGTTGCCCAATCTTACCAGACTGGGCTGGTGGTTTCTCAAGCCATTAATCCCATAGCAATCATGAAGGGTCTAAACACAGAGAAAGCAGGGAAAATCTTATGTCTCAAGTTCCCAGTTCAGTGTTGGACATGGACCGCGCCATAGATATACAAGTGGAAGAGGGCATAGTATGAATGTGTACATGGAGCCTTCCTCTAGAGGCCAGTCATTCCCGGACATTTGCGCTCCATTGCTGTATCTTGTAGACCACGTTGTGCTGACATATGTTATAAGCAGCGCCATACGGAATTAGAGAGCGTTGCTCTCACAGAGAAGAGATGTTTCACTCAGTACGTTCAGTAGCAACGCACCCGGCTCTCTCTAGGCATAAAACCGATCACACCTGGTTTCTTCGTGGATGCGATAACACTCCAACCCACACACCCGCACGCGGCACTTGATACATTTCACTCTGCCCCAATAGCCACATATGCTACAAAAGTGACGTGGTGGTTTAGAAACTGCTGGTGTCCCCGTCCCACAGTCCGGTGGGGCTACCGTTGCAAGGGAGGCGTTGTATGACAGCGGTGGCTCTGCGAGGAGCAGTTGCATCAGTCTTTCAGAGGGGGCAGAGGGAATGTATGAGTGGAGAAGAGGATCGTTATCATAATTTGAGGCGATTAGTTGTTGGTTTGGTTGTGGTTTCTGTATGGCGGAGGTGGAAGAGCGGGAAGAGGCTACGTTGGGTGGTTCGGAGGGTTGGCCTGTAGTACTACCTGTCTTATTGGGTGTTGCTGTTGCTGGATGGGATGATGTTCGTGTGGTGCCGGATTTACTGGATTTCAGAGGTGTAGAGCGAGCAGTGGCAGTTGTAGTTGTCGAAGATAGTTGTCCTGCTGCTGGGCTGTGAGATTGGGCTTGGGCTAGCGCAGCTTCCTCGTCATCTAGGTAATTTTTGAAGGTCTTTTGGGATAGGAGGATACGGCGGACGTTGGATGTCGTTTTGCCTCTGGGTTTGTCTGCCGTGATTTTTTCTGAATATTAGCTGGTGTATCATTTCGTTTTCTTCATTCTTCCCTACGGGTAGAAATACTTCAAATGCACAAAAGGGGTTTGAAGAAAAAAAAGTAACAAGAGGGAGCTTCGATCTAGCTAACCTTTCGCTATCGCGCTCTTCTGCTTTGTCGGAATCGGAATATAGGTATCTTTATGATTTTCTCGATCAAGTTCCGCAATATGCCTTAGAGTAGCGGTGTTTTGTCTTGAAGATGACGCCTCTGCCCTTCCTATGACTCCCAGGTCACGTACGGCTCGTTTTCGAGCCCCAGAAGCCCTCCCAGTAGCCCTCCCATTGTCAGTAAAACTGCCATAGCGGGTGTCTGGGACGTACGCCCAGCCAGGAGTGAGGTGCGAGGATGAGGTAGGGAGGATTTCTATTTTATTCAACGACATTGTGTATCAGAGGACCGCGAGAATATTCAGGTAGCACCCTATAGAAAGATTATGTTCTAAGTGTATTGATGGTGAAGGTTGATAGTCTCGGATACATACTTAGCCGCGCGTCTAATTTTGCCCCCCGCTACTTTCTTTAGCCGCCGTACTTAAAATCCAAACCTGGCACTTTTCGTCCAACTATGGAATAGGAAATTTATATGCATGCAAAATAAAAGAAACCCCGATATGCAGCTGCCTACAGCTGAATCCTGGCATGTTCTGGCCCAAATGTTGTGGGTCGAACAGCGTCTAACGTCTTTACATTTTCTTGAACGCTCCAGATGCACATGTCGTTCCTCGGTATATTGAAATTGGGCTGTGTAATTAGTATTCCTTTCCTCCCCTGGGGTAGGAGGAGATATAAAGAAGCAATGGTAATACCATGGATCAGTAATTGTCTCCCATCTAAGCTTGATACTAGAGAAACGGAAAAAGCGATATATTGTATTGGCCCTAGAACAAAATGAAAGTTACTAGTTTCTAGGAACATTTTTGGTATCGTGCAAATAGGGATGACGAGCTAAGTAAAAGAGCTAATTGCAAAGCCGAATGCAGACATGGAATATAAACCATATGCCTCTTGAAAGGACGCATATTCAAAGTCTCCGAAATTGATCCCAAGCATATATCAAAAAAAATATGAAAGCGGAATGATTCGTCAAAAACCATATCTGGCCATTACAAAAGCAGGAATACATTCGTCGAGAAACCATTCCTCGTCAGTGTATCACTTCTTTTTCTGCAATTGGTCCATCTTGGTCTCTAAATCGGTCACGTAGGCGTTCAGGCGTTTCGTCGCGGCTTGCAAAGCCTATAATACAATCCCCATATGACAACACGCAAGGTGATGAGGGGAAAATCGTCAGTCTCCAAAGAATAACTGGTATGAGGGCAGATTGTGCACGAGGACAAAAGAAAACAAAAGGAGAAGATGACAAGAGATATTAGTTTAAAAGCGGCAGTAATAGAGCGTTCATAAATCTTCCTCCTCTTATGGCTTTGGGAGTAACAAAACATCCATCTCGCAACTCGCATCTAGTTCTAGTTTTAGCAAAGAGGAGTCCCATTCCATTTCTCCATGTCTAAATTATGAATTGAAACATCTTTCGCTTCTTTTTATTTCCGTCTATCCTCCATCCGTCTTTCATTGTATTCCCAACGTAATCATGAAAGGATTGAAAAGGATTAACCGCAGCATGGGAGATGTATGGAATTAAGGAGTTGAAGACAAAATCTGAACACCAAGACGGTGTTTATGCTCTTTATTGTGCAACGGGGGGTATCTTGAATTTTTTTTTTTTTTCTTTCAAATGCAGTAACGTACGTAGATGTCTTCCGTCAACATCTCATTCGACACTCTATATTCATCCAGAATATAGTAATATACCGACGTGCCCGCTACCGCAGTGCCAAAGAGGAAGCCGAATAGTCTGTTATTCCGTTCAATTCTACCGTGTTAGCCAAATCTTCATTCCCTACCACTTGGTAGTTCACTAATAACTTACCCTCCTCTGAAAGCTCCTACAGGTTTTTGTACCGGTAAAGTTCCTGACTCTGCACTAGTGCTGCTATTCAGCAGTCGGCTGGTTGTTGAAAAGGGCACGCGCAGCGATGGGCGGATGAGAGGTGAGGAAAGGGTACGGCGGAAAAAAGGAGACATCGCTCGTGTTGAAGGCATTGACACTGGCAGAGGTTTTAACAAAGGGACCGCAGAAAAGACACACAAACATCCACAATGCCGTGAGATATAAGATAGGCGTCGCCTCTGTTGAAGAAAAGGCGACTTTGGCTGCGTGGTTGGGAAGGGTTGAAGCCGGGGTTTCGGAGGATTCTTTGGAAAACTCTCGTATAATTTCTTCGAGGAAGAGTTGGAACAATTAGGGAGGGATTGATAGTTTGACCAAGACTCATCAACAACGAGCGAAAGGAAGAAGTATTTTCAAGAACTTTTATTTCTTGTTATATTTTGTCTTCGGACATTTCATTGTTTTGCCTTTTGTTTGAAATTGCGCCTAAATGCAACCCTTGATTCGTGGCTAGTTGTATTTAGACGGATTTGACAAAGTACAGTGACATCCGGAGAGCTGTCATTCCTACAAGGCATCGAAGTACATATACATGGTACATTCGTGAATCCAACGCCACCGCCAGGGTTTTCCCATACGAAAATGAGCGAGGCACGAAATTTCCATGTGGTTGTTTTATGCAAAGATGTCAGGAAGAATATCAAATCACAGAAAATTGTTGAATGGTCTAGTTATTTTCATTTATAGATGCCCGCCCATTAGTTACTGAATTCAATATGTGACTTCAGATCTTCTCATTTTCACCTTTCAATAATCACTCTTGTTGCATACACAAGGCAGCCATCTCAGGAAATTCTAAACAGTTGGTGATGATATCAATTCGGGCGGGGGAATAAATATTTCTGCTCTTTCTCAGGCTGACTCTGAGTATTTATCAGGGCGATGAGACTTGAGTGGAAATTGAGACAGAGAGTACTACTTGATATCTGTGAAAGAGAATGAGAAGATATCAGAAATTATATAAATGATAAAGAAGGGCTATGTGACTTCTATATTAATGGCTTTTCTATCCTTTTTGAGAGCCCCATATTTTTCCTACTCCTTGATCAATTTCATAAGTTATAACCTAAGAGCAGCATTGACTGCTTCTATATATTCTGTTTTTATGAGCACTAAAGATGAGCATTCGTAGACCATGTGGTTTTTAGTTCAGGCATGAGTGCCAATGGCATGGTTTTCTTTTCCTTTTTAGATAGCCAGTTCCCGCATCCTTTAAATAAAAGGGTTAGGCTGTTTAGAACCTAGTGCATAAATAAATGAATGGAGCACAAGAAATGATATTAAATTGGGAATTATACACAGGAAAACAACTTGAATGCGCCCGCAAGCGCTCCACTTTAATTTGCCATTGTGAACTCATTAAATAGGTCTGCCAGCAGATCGTCCTTGAAACATTTCAAATCAGGAGCCCCTAAGCTATACGTGCTCTCAAATGCATATATACTCAACCGATCGAAGAACGGCTTGAGCACCTTGTCAACTATCTCATCTTTGGCAGTCTCCCGACTCAGTTCGGAATTAAGCCACGCATTTTTATATCCCTGACGGCGACTATTGTCATCACCATCATTTCCATTACCATTCCCAAGACCATTACTTGTCGAGCGGTCAAAACTGTCTCTTCTTGTGGTTGTACCCAGACTTTGCGCGATCGAGTCAGCGAGAGCGACAGATTCCCACTGGTCTGGTGGATAGACCGCATCGATGGTATCTGTAACAAATAGCCATTCCTGAAGCTGGAATTCATCGGGAGCAATGAGAAGTAGAGTTTCAAGAAGCTTACAAGCTTGCAAGAGCGAGTAAGGGTTATACGTCTCCACCTGCTGGCCTGGGCCAATGGCTGAAATCGCATCTTGGAGTTCCCTGTTTACAATCGGCCAAAAGGGTGCAAGGTGGATGGTAGAAGTCTTCAAAACTAGTGCTCTGAGGACCATATATACTTCCGCTCGAGTCACGGAAGAAGGTGAAGATATGTGGGTGGCCATTAGGAGGTCTTCGAGCTTTTGGTGGACATTTGCGAGTTCGGTAGCGAAATGATCTTCGTCTGCAGCTAATATGAATAACGCCACTCGCCGTAAATTCAACTGAGCTTTGCGGTCAGCCTCAAGTCGCGCAGCTGCAGCACCTACGCCGAACATTATCCCGGCAGATGTTGGGGTCGATAAGCGAGAGTAAACGTCAGGCAATCGGTCTTTATCAGTCAGGACCCAATGATGAATCAGATCAAGCCAATGCGTCTGTACAAGCCCGACCTTCGTCGTGAAGAATTTGGTGTCGTTGAAGGCGTCGCCCATATCTTTCCGCCAGTACTTCGAGGCACCAGGAATCTTTGACATTTGTTGGAGGAGGTCGAGGATGCTTTTGTTCACATTTTGCGGAAACAGTCTTGAATGAAATAGTGGTGCTATTATGTTCGCTGATATATTCGACATTGCAGTGGATATCCTGTCTGATTCTCCCAGAGTCGTAACTAACGCGGGCATCACTGATGCGAGGATTCCAACTGTATCGTCAGGTCCAATGAGCTGCTGGCCTTTGGAAGAAGGCCTTGACGCTCGCTCGCTGTCCGCTAGCTGTCGCGATGCCGCGATGGGCTCTTGCGATGAGCCTAATGGTTTGCTAGTAAGTATCGCCGTAAGGAGGCGCAGCAACAAATCCTGCAGATATCAGTGAGCTTCGACTAAACTTGGAGGAAACATGGCTGCATTGCAACTTACTCCGAGGTCTTTCCTCGCTCGCCGGTCGTCACCAAAATTAGTCCGATCCATCTTTTCACCCAAGACTGCACCAAACTCCATCAACCGTGGCAAGATGTGTCGATGTGGGAACGGGTTCGCTAATACATCACGAAGGAAAGTGGTGCAGTCTGCCCATATCTCGTCCAACACATCATCATCTAGTGATCTAGCATATGTCACGAGAAATGAAACTAAGTCAGCCTCGGATAGCCTGGATGTCATAACCGACTTGCGGCTAGGCTCCAGCGCAGTTGGGTCGGTTCGGCTGTATATGGAATTGAATATGGCTGGGATGGTTACTTTGGGTCGTGACCCATCTAGTGTATGAAGTAGATTAAACACTGATCGGGCTCCTGCCGTGTCATCTGCCGTTACTGCATCGTGCCACAACTGGACTAATGTCTCTAAACAATCCAAGGCTTCAGCATTAAATAGATGCTCTAAGATATGCCGCGATCGGTTTCTCATTCTCAACGAGGTATACTGAAAAGAAGAAATTGATTCGGGGTCCTGAGAGTTGTTAGAACGTCGAACGTTGCCCCACGACCAGATTGAGCAACACAAGCGGACAGTATCTTGAAAGCAAAGCAGAACAGTCAATCTGTCATTAGCAGTAGCGCTCCTAGAATGGTTTCCTTCCGAAGCGAACACACCGGAAACCATGTTTCCAAAAAATCCCTGAGGCTGGTCTGGGCTTTTCACGGGAGAAACACTCTCTTCCTCGAGAATTAAGCGTTCATGAGCCACTGCAATACAGTTCTCCAATCCCCCAAGCAGAGCCATGGTAACATACTCTGAACGCTCCCCAATAGATCCATCGGATTGTTTGAACAAAAGCTGGAGTTCATTATACGAGGCAATTATCCGTTGACACAAACATTCTACCAACGTCAGCAAGATTTGGAAAATGGTACCAGAGTACAATGGTAGGCATTCCACAAGAAGTTTGACCCATTTTTGCACTGCATTCTGCGAGGAGGTGGAGCTAAGCCCTTTTAGCAAACATTGTAATAGTTGTGGTGATGGTAATGGAGCTACACCTCCTCGGAGCTCTTTTTCGGATTTCTCGCCAGTTAGCGATATACGTGAGATATTTGAAAGAGCATCGAGAGAAGCTTTCCTTCGAGTAACAGACGAAGGAACGTGAGGCTCTAAGGATCCAGGAGTGAATCGAATTTTCAACGCGGCTAGCAAGGTGTCGATCATGACAGGCTGGAGACTACTCCTTTTGTGGTCCAAGGAGAAGAATAACTGGTCGATTAGGAAGTTGTCCAATTCCATTTCAACGAGCTGCCCAGCGCCTGGTCCACTTAGAAGCTGGCGCATTACGGTAAAAGCTGCCAATTGCATCCGCTCTTCTTCCGAATGCGGCTCCCTGGTGGCCGTTATACAAGACGAGAGGGCTTGAATAGAAAGGCGTATTAAAGTGGCTTGAATACTTAGGCGCTGGGAATCATCTGAAAGTAACACTGTTAACTCCGAAATCCGATATTTGATATGGCCGAACTTACCATCAGTGTCAGAGCTTTTGCGGCATTTATCAAGTCCTGCAACGGTGTTCGTCATTAATATAGACCATCCCATCCGACTCAACGAGGATATCACTCCGGAAGCAGTCTCGAAAAGATATCGGCATTGATTTGCTTCCCCATGCTCTGTGGGATGGCGATACTGGGATGTGTCTTCTAGATCCGATGCCATGAAGTATGAAAGATCGGTAAGTTTTGAAATTATTATGTCAAATACCCTAAAGTTGGATGGTCAACTTTAACGTTAACAAAAGATTGGAAAATCAACGTTCTAGACCTACTTGTATAGAGATGAAAGATCCGAAATCCATTCCTTGACCACCAGCGAAGCTTCGCTGACAACTCCCGATAGCAAATCCAATACGAGAAATAACGGGCGATCGAGCATGGAGGACTGGTAAATAGATTTCGGATCTCTTAAGCCACCGCTGTGTGAGTGGTAGTCGGTAATAGAGCGCAAAGTTGAAGGATCAACGCTAATTTGCTGGCTATGATTCCATAGGACTACAAACTTTTCAGTTTCCTCTATCGTTGTAAGATGCGATGAATTGAACCCCTCGGCACCAACCATGATTGATGCAATGGATGCTTCAACCAAATGATTTTGCCATGTCACGGAATGCAACAGCCAGAGACATCGAACCGATTCCACGTGAAATTTGGGACTCAAGGGCGAGAGAAAGGCCCAAAGTTTCTGAACTAATGGCGGGATAATATCGGATACCTGTTGATAAGAAATATAGAATCCGGGTACGTGGATCGAGTAAAGAGTCGTCACAATAGAGCACATCGATGAAATCATAACAAAAGGTAACTTTTCAGTAGACTTAGAGAGAAGTTTGTGATACATGGTTGAGAAGAGTCTCCCGTTTTTAACGATTTGGGATTTGCGGATCTTATTGAGGAGGGATAAAAATATGTTCACCCGTTCTTTCAAGTGGGAGGGGTTCTCCGATTCTAACTCAGCCAGCACCAGAAACTGGGCTTCTCGGAGAAGTAACTCGCCTATATCACGGTATGAGAAGGGCAATGGCGGTAATTTGAGATTTGCTTTGATTGTCTTGTAGAACCCAATTATCGACTTGATAATCTCTGGGCTGGCAATGTCGGGGAATTCCCCAAGAGGCTGATCATGTCGAGTTGGATCTATCACAATTCCATCGTAAAATACTCTTTCTGGAATCAATTCCAAGAGGTGCTTGACGATCAGTGAAGTCTCGTTCAGTGCTGCGGACTGAATGTTTTGATGATCAAATCCACCCTCAGTATTTGACGAAATAACCCTCATTTTAACAAGCAGCGCTAACAACAATAACGGGATGTGGGAAATGAGTATTTCCTCCTCCCCCAGATTGAAACGGGAGATAATAAAATTCGCGAGCTTAAGGTCTTTTATGGCACGGCCAGATCGAGTTTGAATGCCCGACGGATCAACATGAACAAGGGAAAGGAGCTCAGAGAATATCAAGCTGCTTTCAACTCCGTCGAAAAAAGCACTTGCACTTCTAAAAACCTCTTCGAAATTCGAAGTTGAAGACGCTAGTTGTTCATATTGTTGAACGCTACGCATAACTGGGAGGAATATTGCTGGAACAACTAGTTCTCCCACTTCCCAGCGATCCATCAAAGACAGTGATATCTTGAGCGGCTTTGCTCTTTCTGGAGGATGAAGAGAATTGCGATTTATCATCGTCTTGATGCTTTGAACAAGGGGTTTTAGGCCGAAACGAGTGAAGTACTGGAACTTCGCATTTTCGTAATCAAAGACACGGCTTGCCTCATGTCCCGAAGATAACTGCGGCTCTGCTTCACCAAGACTAAGTTCTTGCGCGCCGTTTGACGTTTCCGGGCCTAAAAACCATGACCAGAGACGGCGATTCAAACTCATATCTCTTCTTGTCACCACGCCGGCGGCTGCCGCAACTAAAATCTCGAGGTCATTTGGAGTGGCCCGATTTTGTAATACGGGAGAATGAAGGGGTAAATGAGTAACAAGAAGATCTAAGAAGTTTCTCTGCACAAGAAGCTGATCATCAGCAAGACCCGTCGCAAAGCATCGAATTAGTAGCCCCGGCTCTGGCATAATAATGGAGTCTGCTATTGAGAGTAAGCTAGAGCCTCTATCTGCTTTGCCGCTTTCCGAGTCTATCAACCATGGGCTTGTTCCACCAAGCTTAGGAAGATAGCGATTCAAATATGCAAGCACACCAAGTCTCCGACTTGGGTTAGTTATGGAGGCGAGGAAGAGGCATTGCCAGAAGTATTGGCTGCTAGTGTCGTCATTCGAATCTGACAAAGAGTCTTCCCTGAGATTTATTGTCCGAAATTTGTTCACTATCCTTATAGCGGCTTCGAAATCTTCACTTGTTTCCTCCTCTAGCCCTGGAAGTAACGCTAGGATAATGGATTTTAATGCTGGGCGGAGTGCTGACGGGTCCAAATCAACTATATAGGCCTCAACCAAGGAGAGAAAAAGCGGTCGAACGGTCAACGATGCGAAAGATAGTGTGGGGGCAATTCCGGGTAGGTAGAGTGCAAGATCTCGGGACAGGCGATCTGGCTAAAAGGAATTAATTCTCAGTATGTAGCTTTCGGAGATTCTATGAATATAGAGACTTTACCTCAAGGATGGAGAATATATAGCCGTAGACCTCCAGGGCTTTCTGGTGAACTCCAGATGGGAGCGAAGGATTGAGACATTGCGCCAATCTTCGCGCAACAATTGTTTTGCTTGGAATGATGGGTAGAGATGGCGGATGAGATTGTAGAGCCTATTTAGAAGAGGAGTTGAGCATTCGCAGCCAAAGACTAAACGAAGCGTGAATATACCTTCAACAACCGACTTAGGAACGAGATGTAGTCTGCCCATTCCTGGAGAGCAGTGTCAAACAAGGATAGAGCTCGGTCAACGCTGGCGGCATAACGGCGGTAGTTTTTATCCTTTATATGTATTTCTGTGATCACGAAAAGGTGAGCAAAAATCCACCTCTGCGGGGGTGAGCGACATACGATCCACTGCTTGAGCTCGGGATTTCGGCTGCGATGCCTCAGAGCCGGATGGAGACGAGGACCGTGTTAGGTCGCCCGGATCAAGGCTCATTGTGCCGAAGTGGAAAAGCTGTATTAGGGAATAGGTTGACCATCATCCTTTACAAGGAGAGGTTTTTGTTGTGGAATCGACGGAGGGTAAGTTTGGAGAAAGAAGCCAAGTATTTATGTTTTATCTGGATGTTGTTGATGCTTGATTTCCACGCCTAAACACCAGAGCGGCTCCCTTCGCTGACATCACACTGCAACTCCCTTCGCCACCACTCGAAGAGCAATATACCCTGTTTATTCAGATATAAGGGGGATCTTTATATCTAATATCTATTTGATGCACGTATGCCACAAGAACCTGCTCTCTGCAACCAGGTGCGGTTAGGCTGCGCTTGCAAAATGCTCCTCGTATGACCCTCAACTCTCCATCGCGAAATAGATGACCACATATGGATTCGAAGAAGAAAGATGATAAGCTGCTAGGTAGCGACGAGGGAAGCTTGTCCTTGGGCATTCCAGCTCCACCACAGAACACTACAGATACAACTTCTTCTGGAAGTGGCGGAGAGAACGCAGAAGTTCCCCCGGCGCTCCCTCCTCGACCCAATATCGTCGGTCTCGACAAACAAGTGAGTGTAGCAGGGTGTCCTTCGAAAATAAGGCCCTCTTCAAAACATAATCTACAGTCGAAACCTACAACTGCTTTGTCCTTAACAGATATCAATACTCAGAACCCCTCCGACGGTTCCAGGGAGCCACCTTTATCATCAGGTGTGAAAATCACCACTGGAGTGACTGTAGGTCACAGGCTGAGCGGCACCCATTTGAGAAGTCGCAGGGGAAGCGATGCTGGTGATTCTATAAGTGTACGGAGCTTCGTCCCAAGCGGCGAAACCTCCGATGACATGAGCCTTTTCGGCGACTTTCCCGTAATTGGAGGCAAAGATTTCTCATGGCCTGAGGGTGGAGAGAACACAGGAAAACCAGACTTGTTGGAGTCTGAGGACGATGAAGTGGACTATGATTTCGAAAATGAGTTCGATGCTATCGACGAAGTGGAGCCAGATGACTCCAATTCAGGTAAAGCCTTTAAATGACCTGTAAGATTCTTCTCGAGCTTAGAATGAGCACTGACATGTCATAGCACATGTTGTCGAAGCATGGAAGCAGAAAAGGAAGCATTTCCTTATTTTGTCACAGGCAGGAAAGCCAATATACACAAGACACGGCGATAGTGGGCTGATTTCCGACTATATTGGCATTATTCAAACGATCATATCTTTTTATGAGGAATCTGGAGACTCCCTCAAGAGCTTCTCAGTTGGGAAAGTAAGGATTGTCATTTTATTGCAGGGGCCATTGTATCTAGTTGCTATCAGTCGCCTTTTCGAGAACGATATCCAGCTAAGGATGCAACTGGAGGCTTTATATATGCAAATTTTATCGACGTTGACACTTCCAAGTCTAAATCGCTTATTTTCTGTCCGGCCATCGACTGATTTACGCCGCCCTCTGCAGGGAACGGAGCCTCTTCTCTCGTCGTTAGCCGATAGTTTCACTAGGGGCTCCCCATCGACATTGCTCTCCGCTCTTGAATGCCTCAAAATCCGAAAATCTCATAGACAAACAATAAACAACAGCCTTTTAAAGACAAGGGCTGATAGCCTATTATACGGGCTTGTCGTCGCGGGAGGGCGGCTTGTGAGCGTGATCAGACCAAAGAAGCACTCGTTACACCCAGGAGACCTACGATTGATATTTAACATGATTTTTGAAGCAGATGGTGTCAAAGCTGGTGGCGGAGACAGCTGGATCCCTGTTTGCCTTCCGGGTTTTAATAGCAGTGGTTATCTGTACATGTATGTCAGCTTTCTTGATCTACGTGACGATGGGAACCATACTGCAAACCAGGACACGAACAAAGACGATTCCGTTGCTATCATCTTAATCAGCGCAGATAAGGAAAGTTTTTATGTACTTCGAGAGATGCGTGATTCTGTAGTGGAGGTAATCAACCCTTATTTCCATTTAGGACCCCTTTCAACCATCATCCAAGAAGCATAGTAGGAAACTGACTAGTGTACTAGCGAATGACGAAAAATGGCAGCATCGACATTATCAAGGCAGCGATTGAAAAGGGTCGGCCTACCACAACAGATATTGTTCCTGGAACCGTCCTGCGACATTTTCTCTACAAATCAAAAGCAAATGTTCAATTTTCTATGGCCTCATATTATCCAGACTTCTCAACAACTCTGGGGAGACGCAGGTTTGTACATACATAACTAAATCTATACATCACCTTTCCATTTACGTTATTTACCAAGCAGGAATAAAAAACCAGCTAGGTTTGACACCGCAATAACTAATAAAATGGACGTGTCATTCATTTCCCAGGCTCTTATCTATCTACCACTCTCTTCACTCAAGTGTTCATGCGAAGCATGCGCACGTTAGAGTCGAACATAGGACGACAAATTCCATGAACGCGCTCGCATGGATCACGCCTGTTTTTGAATTATACTGTGTTGCCGGTCCGAATAGTAATCGGAACGCTCTATCGCAGAGTGCGAGCAAAATCGCACAGTGGGCACAGCAGGAAGAGGAGAGATTGTTTATTATTGGCGGCGCTGTGAGTCTTAGGAATTTTTTTTTTTTTTTTTTTTTTTTTTTTTTTTTTTTTTTTTTTTTTTTTTTCCAAAAAAAAAATATTCCTGGGGCCCCTCAGGCTCTGTTCATCTCTTGTTCGATATTTTTGCAATTTACATCTGACTAAGGGAGGTCTGTGCTGCTAGGTATTTTAAAGCAGTTTCCTATTTTTGTGTTAGTCCTCATGGAGATACCCGCGATATCTCGTTAAAATACACTTGAATTAGCATTAGTCTGGTGAGGTTGAGCTGAACGGAAGGCGAACGAGATTCACTCTTTGCCATCATTGGGCACTCCAAGTACCTTAAGGGCGACGTGTCCATGAGATATCAGTTTGCTTGCTGCCATTAATTTCCACTACCAATCAGCTTGAGCTAGCAAAGGAGCGGTACTTTTATTCAACACAAAGATATTACGCACTATGAATGTACATCAGGCATTAATAAAAAGGGAAATATAAAAATAAAAGTGGGAATCTAGGGATGTATAGATAGGATCATGTTAGGGTATCATGAATAAATAATAATGACGCGTGCTGCGTAACAATAATCGTTACTCCTTCAATCAGCTGGTCCTGTGGAATATGATCTTGTTGGGAGCCTGTTAACCCGTCTGTCTCGCCCTAGGTAAAGTCGATAAATTGGGTCAAAATAAACCGAAGAGAGCACCTTGCAAAAATGTGGACAGGTCACCTTCATATTCCCCTCCAATCAGTGAATTGAAAGACGAAGGGAATTATTCAGAAAATCCACCAAAATAATGGGAAGAGACGAGCGGGGGAACAAGAGAGAGTTGGAGTATAGTTGACGCCAAATTGGTGAATAATTCAATCTACGTAGGCATCATGCCGATGCCACCATAACGGGAGCCGGAGCCGGAGCCTGAGCGGCTGCCTTGGCGTCTTGTTGGATGCGAAGACGAAGATTGGGAATTCCTTTTGGAACGAAACTTTCCAGGCTTTTTACTTGAAGTACTAGTACCGCCTCCCGCTCCAAAGCCTGCTCGAGATTTCGTATTCTTCCCACGAAATGAACCAATACCGTATTTGTTATATGAACCGGGTCCTCGTTTTGATGAGCGGTACGTCTGCCTGGTAGAAGCATTAGTTGTGAGACCGGAGTTCCGTGTGGGCTCGAGTTGAGACACTGTCGAAAAGCAATATCAGCAGCAGAATTGATTGAGAGTCAAACAGGACCTGGTAAAGTCAACTTACTGCGGGCATTGAATGCGGCTACTTCTTCGTCTTGTTCGAAGAAAGAACTTCTCTCCAAAATCGGGGCACCTGTAGCTGGGGTATCATCAATACGATCATCAAAATCTTCCCCTGAGCCAAATTCAGAACCGCTACTGATATTGATGACATTTTCATGATTTGGATCGGGAACCGGAGATCCATCTCGATCTCTCTCTGCTAGAAGTTCCTGATATCGATCTTCGGCTCGTCGGATTAGGCGAAGAAACTGGTCTCCATACCGATCGACTTTGTCAGGGTCAATGTTGGGAATTTTGAGCAGTTGAGATTTATCTGTGGTAAGTTAGGAACCTATGCCTGTCATGTTGGCATTGGAGGTACATACTTCGTGGCAAGCTGATGGCCATTTCACGCAATATAGCATCAGGAAATGGCTGATTGCGAAGAGACTTCTTCATCATTATCTATGACAGAGTCAGCACGACTTGAGAAGGCGGATGGATTTTAACACGAAACGTAACATACATCATGACAGGTATTCTTGGCATAAAACATAAACTCGTCCACGATGATGCTCTGGAGAGGGTCAAGCTGAGATATTTTTCCATCATTGGTGATTGGAGGTCCCAAATCTCGACCAGATGACCGACGCTGTAGTCCGGCATCGCGTATCGGTTCGAAACCATCGCTTTCATCCTCATCTTCGAGCACATCCGGGCCTGTATATCTTCGTCCACGCTGGCGTCGCTGCAACGATTCTTGGATCGGGGACGAAACATTTGTGGACGCTGGATATTCATTCCCAACAGCACGGACTCCGGTGCCACGATTTCTTTTTGCGGTAGGCTTGGATTTCTGAGTAGTCTTGCTATTAGGCGAAACGCGAATCGGAATCATTAGCCGGTGACGTCGGGAGAGAAACTCAGCGGCCTTTTCTCCAAGTTGTACATATTGAGTGGCAAAATGCGCATTGTTGATAACATTTTCTTCCCTCAAGACTTCTTCACATAGCAAATGGGAAAACAGTCGCTGGACGTCACCGCGATCTAGGTCAGCTCCAATGCCAAATTCGGGAAAGCATTTATCTGCTGGATCCGAAAATTTCCTCGTGGCGCCCCTGAACAAATCTACACAATACAAAGTAGTCACCTTTCGGTCCGCGAGACGTCCAACAAGCTTCACAGCAGAAGCAGCGAGATCCGTGAAATCTCGGTCTTCAAAAGTCAAGCCCGCTTTACAGTTGTCGCAGGAGCGATTACAGTTTTCTTTTTTAAACTTTTCGTTAAAGTAGGCGAGGATCTGTACTCGTCGACAATCACTCCTGTTTTCACAAAACTGAACAACGTGACGGAGCATCTGACGCTGGCGGCTTTTCTGCTCGTTACTTCCCTCCCCTTTGTCGATCATATTGCGTATGGTTGCTGTGTCTTGAAAGCCATAATACAGGTAACAGCCTGACCTTTTGCCATCGCGGCCAGCTCGCCCAGTTTCTTGATAATACCCCTCCAAGCTTTTAGGCATCGAGTGGTGGATAACGAAACGAACATCTGGTTTGTCGATACCCATTCCAAAAGCAATTGTGGCCACGATGACGCTGCATTTTCCAGATTGCCAATCCGTTTGAATCGATATTCGGTCCTCGGCGGGAAGGCCAGCATGGTAATGGGCCGCATTTATCTTATGCGTCTCGCGAAGTTGTTCAGCCACCCTCTCACAACTTTGTCTGGATAAGCAATATATTATGCCCGCTTGACCATTATATGATGTCTTGATTGTTTCGGCTATGCCGTCAACTACATTTGTGCCTTTCGGCTTCTGACGGACCTCGTATATCAGATTCGGCCGATTGAAAGACTGGACGAATACTTCGGCGTCACGCATACCGAGATTGTGGATAACGTCAACCTTAACATTTTCTGTGGCGGTAGCGGTAAGTGCCATGAGTGGGATTCCCGGAAATCTCGTTCTAGTGTTTCCTAATTCCTTGTAATCAGGGCGGAAATCATGACCCCATTGGCTTACACAATGAGCTTCGTCAATAACAATGCGCGCCAATTTATGTCGGCTGTGCAAATGACTTAGGATATCTAGTAATGCCCCATTCTTGTTCACCATCTCAGGTGTGACGTAGAGCAACTGTATGAGATGTTCGACCCTAGCATTGCGGAGGGCACCATATATCACCTTCTTTCCTTCTCTGCTCACATCACCGTTTAAAAGGAATGCCTGGATATGTAGTCGCTTCAAATGAGCAACCTGGTCTTCCATCAAACTCAAAAGAGGAGATATAACAACTGTAACTCCTTTTGTGGTGCCGCTCTGGATGACAGAAGGTAATTGGTAACATAGAGACTTTCCGCCTCCGGTTGGCATCAAAACAAACGCATCCTTCCCACTTAACGTTGCATTGATGGCTTCTAATTGGTTAGGGCGGAATCCATTCAGCTGAAAACGATGTAGTAATGCGTGCTTGACATCTTTAGACCACGGATGTTGTAATAATTCGGGTGCGGGATTCTTAGCAGAAGATGTTGTTTCATGCCGCATGGCCGGACCTCCGAATGAAATATTGCGTACAGGCCCAGACCATTGATTCTCGAAATGTTCCGCTACTTCGAGCATATCAAAATCATCAGTGTCATTGTCAAAATCTACCATTTCCGAAGCGACGGGCGTTCCCATATTCCGAGAAAAGAGATCGTCTTTGTCTAGTATATACTCGCCATCGTTGCCACCAAACGTTGAGGTTTTGGGGTTACACTTTGTAGGAGTTTTGGGTTTCGTAAACGTTTGCGGAAAAGATTGCGATGGCGGATGGGAGATATTTGGAGGTGACTTTTGGGGCTCGAAGGTCATTATAACATTGTCTGTGCATTTATTTGGAAATTGGGTTCCTGTGATTAGAATTTCATGAGCTGGAGGCCTAGTACCATTGATAGCTGCCCCGCTTTCATTTTTCAGGATCCCGGATTGCTCGATTAATTCGACTAGTTTAGCCTCCTGTTCCTGGCGCTCCAGTGCAAGTTTTCGAGCTTTGTCGACATCACTAGATGCATCCGGCAGAATCGTTGCTCGTTCAGCAAATTGAATTATCCGTTGCTTAAGTTTCTCCTGCTTTTCCTGCAATAAAGTGTATGCTTTTTGTCGTTTTTGGAGGTTGTCAAGAGCCCCAATCTTAGAATTCAATATCTTATTTTCCTCAATCAAATCAGAAGCATCCATAGCATCCATAGCCCGCTGATATGCCATTTCTGCGTTTCTGGAACGGTCAGCTTTAAACTTTTCAAGAAGATTTTCAATAAAGCCAGGAGGAAGCGCGAGAAAACTGGCCAAGGCGGGATTCTGGCTTCCTCGACAGCTGGAAGTACTACGGGAGATAGAGCTCCCTAAGCCATTGCCGCGGTCTTCCGGTGCCTGCACATTCGATATAGGAGTATGCTGTTGGACAGGAGAAGCAATTGTTGATGGTCGACGTCCAGAACTCCTTGGACTCGTTCGGTCACGCGGGGATGACTTCTTGGAGTTGATTGGTCCCTGCCAACCCTCTTTCTGTTTAGCTAGTTTTGGGTATAGGTCATGACTACTGAATGAGTATGGGGGAGATCGGTAATCTTTATCGTTGTCAGTGCGGAAAAGATCAATACCGTCGTCTTCGCCTTCTGAGTCACCAATAGCCGATAACGGATCCAATAAAGATTTCTTAGCCGACTTGCCATGGCTTGAACTAGAAGCAAAATCGCACGGCTCTTTTTTATCCGGAGTTACTTGGGATCCCTGCGAGCTCTGCGATATTGGATCTGTTGGTATTTTTAGGTCTGCCTCATAGTCATCGCTTTTTCGTTTCATTCCACGGTTGCTCAATGGCTCGGGGCGAGATGCATAATCCTCTCTCCATATCCGTAGCGGCTCTCCAAATGTTTCAACAGTCCCCGATGACGACGTATGGAGGCCTTGGTCACCCGTTAGGTCTATGGAATCAACATGTTTGCCAGAAAATTTGGAATCGCCAGGGTAGGTTGATTGACGAGGCAGGAATCTTGGACTGCTTTGCGATGGGGAAGTACGCCTAGCTAATTCAATGGTCAGCACAAGTACAGTTAGGAGTTAGATCTAGTTCGTGGGGATAACAAACTATTCTTCTTAGCTCCAGAACGAGGCTCGCTGTTCCCAGGAAAGCTATGCTTTTCTTTCAGCATATTAGACCTGCCCGGCAAAGCTGGAAATCTCTGCTTGATGCTACTCAGCATGCGCGGCTTCGTTGAAGATAGTGGAGCACATTGAAGCCGGGCCATGTCCACATCCGATAGCTCAAACCCGATATCCGCCTCCTCAACCGTTGCATGCTGAGGATGAAGATCGTGTTGTATGGGTTGTAAGACCGATGTCACCGCGTCATTGGCAGTATGCACCACATCTAAGGGATTTCCGAAACTGGCAACCTTTTGTCTTGTAACACTGTTTCCACCTGCGGTTTGTGCTTGTGGTATCAACGGAGGTATCAGCGGTCCAATGTTCAACAGCCAAGACAGGTGATCTTTTAAATTATGCCTTGTCATAGAGTCATCTCGCTGCTGGTTTTTTGTAGGGGGGCTCTTAGGGACGCTGGATCAAGTTACCGGATGGAACAATTCGTCGCCAACAGGGAAGATGTTTGAGATTGATAGTCTCTTCAGGCTGGGGAAGTTTTCGTGTTTGGATGAAATGAATACGCGTTGGCACGTGATGTCAAACCCACTTGAGGTCAACGATCTTGACTTTGGGCTGTTGCGGGGGAGCCTTAGAAATTCTTTGAGAGCCTTCAACAATCACGACCCAGTTCATCGGTCGACAATTATTACAATATCAAGATGATACAGACCAGAATTGTTCCTCAAAAGGGTATCGTTTTGGTGATTTAGGGCACGTCGGTCATCTGACAAAATTTTGGGAATTTCCACCGATGAAAAGTGCTCTCTGGCTTGGTCTCGCTTCTGTTACTCACAACCGATCCAATAGCGGGATCATTACCCTAATGATGCCATAAAAAAGTGCTCCCACCTAAATATCTTCCTGCACTTTGCGCAAGGATGGGCAAAAACGACAAAAAGTCCAAAACTGCGGAGAAAAAGGCCCGTGTAGCCGCTAAACAGTCTAAGAAATTGGCTCAGAAGGAGAAGAAACTCAAAGCAAAGGGTCAGGCTGATGACAGCGATGCTGAAGATGTTGATCTGGATGCTGTTTTGGCAGCATATGCAGAAGAACAGGCCAAGTTCCTGAAGGTCACAGAGGTCAGCTGCGGGCCGCCGTCACCACGTTCTTCCTCTACCTTGATTGCATCGCCAGCAAGGCGAAGTGAACTCTTTCTCTTCGGAGGAGAATATTTTGATGGCACAATAGCCACGTTTTACAATAACCTCTTTGTCTATCAAGCTGATAAGCATGAGTGGCGGGAGGTCACCAGCCCAAATAGTCCTCTCCCCAGGAGTGGACATGCATGGTGTCGCGGGGGAAATGCAGGTGGAATATATATGTTTGGAGGCATGTGCAATGCTGAACGAATGGTGTAAACGTAAAGTAGATAAAATACTGACCGCAAATATAGGAGAATTTTCCTCTCCAAAACAAGGAACCTTTTATCATTATAATGATTTCTGGCACCTAGATCCATCGTCTAGGGAATGGAGTAGGATTGAAACAAAGACCAAAGGGCCTCCTGCACGGAGCGGGCATAGAATGACTTATTTCAAGGTAGGTCGAATTATCCTGCATTCCTGTTATGGTGGTTGTTAAACGCAGTTTATTGTTTGAGGCAGCTGTATGTGAATATGCGTAATTGCATAAGTTTACCTCGATTCTAACATCTTCCCAAGAATTATATACTATTATTTGGCGGTTTCCAGGATACTTCCCACCAGACAAAGTACCTTCAGGATTTGTGGATATATGACTGTCAAAAGTATACGTGGCATAACGTTACTCTTCCTCCAGCGTCCCAAAAGCCAGATGCTAGATCCTCATTTTCATTTCTTCCACATGAATTCGGCGCGGTACTTTACGGAGGATATTCTCGAGTAAAGATGAGTGCCGCAGCCAACAAGCAACAGAAAGGGGGAGCGCAGCGTATGATCCTCAAGCCAATTGTTCACCAAGACACCTGGTTCTTACGAATTACCCCACCCCCATCTGATGCTCCCTCCACTGCAATGCCTACGGTCCGATGGGAGCGGCGGAAGAAACCGGCTAATCCTCCGAACCCTCTCCGGGCGGGTGCAACTATGGCATTCCACAAGGGAAGAGGAATTATGTTTGGCGGCGTCCACGACGTCGAGGCAACCGAAGATGGGATTGAAAGTGAATTTTTCGACAGTCTTCACGCATGGAACACTGACCGAAACCGATTTTTCCAATTGGCTCTTCGTCGGCCGCGTGCAACAGGCAAGAAGCAGCAGGCTGCTATGAAGACCGAAAAGCGGAGCCGGGGTAAAGCAGATGAAGAGGACCTACTGCGCAACCTCGCGCTCGTTGAAACTAGGGCCGTAGAGTCGCAGCCGATGGACATCGACTCTCCAGAAAATGAGGACGAGGATAACGGAGAGGAACAAAACTTGACAGTTCGCTTTGAAATGCCGCACCGGAGGTTCAATTCCCAATTAGCGGTGCTGGATGATACACTGTTTATTTTTGGTGGCACCTTTGAAAGAGGAGATCAGGAATTTACATTTAACGACATGTATTCTATTGATCTAGTGAAACTGGATGGCGTAAAGGAGATATTCTACAACGAGCCTGAACATTGGAATGATGCCATTCCAATCGACACTGATGAAGAGGACGCGGAAGAGGAGGAATCAGACGACGGAGAACATGAGGATATAGAGATGGAGTCGGTAGAAGTAGCATCAACCGCAGCAACAAGCGTCACGGAACCTGCGCAGATGGAAACAGAGGTCGAACAAGAATCAGAAACCCCTGCCCAGGATTCTCGACCGCATCCCCGACCTTTTGAGTCTCTGAGAGATTTCTTCAGCAGGACTTCCTCGGAATGGCAGGATATTCTAATATGTAAAATGAACACTGCTAAATCTGGATCAGAAATGAGCATAAAGGAGCTTCGAAAGGAAGCGTTTCCTCTTGCTGAAGAGAGATGGTGGGATTGTAGAGAAGAAATCACAGCTCTGGAAGACGAACAAGAAGAGGCTGGCATTGGGGAGGTCGTCAGTATGGCCGATAGAAGTGACGTTCCAACGGCAGGACGTCGGAGATAATGGTGATAAAATATCGTGGTATTCTATTGATATTCTTCATGGATATAGATAGACAGCATACACACATCGCTGTTCACATTATTGAGCGATTTCACGTAGCACGGTAGTTATCATTTCAAAATCCTTCCCTTCGACTACTCTCCAATTTGAAATTGCAATTCTGCACGCAGGTTTGCCGTCCCAACTCGTTCCCGACACAAAGATTATTGAATTGGCATTGATTTTGTTCACCAGCACCTTATTCAAGCCTTCGTCTATTGCCCTGAATAAAACAATGATAAATGTATCCTGAAGAAGGCTTTCCTTCACTGGGTTGTGAGGAAGAACTTCGTAAGCTGGATGCTCAAATAGCCAGCCAGCAACCGATCTAGCGAGTTTTATCTGCCTCTCTAACATATCCGTATAACCGTCCTTTCCATATGCAACTAAGGTTGCATACACCGGCAGTGCTCTGAGACGCCTGGAGTTCTCAAGGCCGATATTGCACGGAGCCGGGATCTCACCAGCACCAACACTTAGATAGACCGCGTTAGGGTTCCTGCAGACATCCTCTGCGATATCCGCGTGGCGTGAGAAGAAAATGCCGCAATCGTAGGGAACATTGAGTAATTTATGAGCGTCCCCTGTTATGGAGTCTGCCAATTCAAGCCCCTGGCATCCTTTCAAAACACGGTCAAATTCTTTGCCGCTTTTCAAAATACGTCCAAACATCCCAAAAGCGCCATCAACGTGTAACCAAGCACTGTACTTGTCGCAGAGCTGCCGTATCTTCCTAAACTCTTCAAGACCCCCTGTCGCAAAATGTCCCGTATTCACTTCACCGCAAGACACCGCAACAATGCTTGCCACATCGCTTCTAGATAATTCCTTTTCTAGAATCTCAAAATCAAACCTAAGTGGGCGTTGATTCTCGCTCCCACCAGAAGCACAGATGCTCTTAACATTTGCCCGACCAATACCCAGAACTCCCGCTGCTTTTCCAATTGACGAATGCGGATACGTGGACAGAACTTGTAACCCTTTTAGGCCCGCAGCAAGCAATACTTCCGCCATACCATGTTCACCCACGCTCTTAATAACCGCGCGATCCGCTCCTACCTTCCTTTCCACAGCTGCCCGAAGAACAAACTCTCTGCCAAGAGCGAGTCCAAGCACATTGCTACCCGTCGCGCCGGTTGTCAAGGTCTTGTGGACCCAGACTTTATGATCTAGATCGAACAAATCAAGCAGCAACGTCAAAGCCCGATGTTCCACATCCGTTGCTACGGAGTGGTCTGGAAGGTGCACATGCACATTCTGGTCGTAGGCAGATACGATAGTATCGGCCAACAAAGCAGCGGGTGTCACGCCGCCTGTGACAAAGGCATAGTAATTGGCACTGAGGCTGCTGCCGTTGAAGCCGGGGATAATATCGTCGACTATGTGTCGTTTTGTCTCTGAAAATCCCAATCCGGTGGTGGGAAGCGTGTTTATCAGAGAGCGACGGGCCTTGGAAATGGTAGCTGGCGTAGGGAGCACGGGCAAGGTCCAGGGCGAGAGGGCCGTTTGGCAGATCTGGAGAGGGAATTCTTTATCCCGACGGGATTGGAGGGGATGGATACTCATGGTTGAGATGGCTTAATCGTGTTGTCTGCGGTGTGTGGTCAGCCACGTGTTTGTGTCTCTGGAGTCTCTACCATCTCTGTGTGTAAGGAAGAAGATACCACAACCTCCCAGCGACATATATAAGATCGTATCGCTGAGTGGAGCAGTAAGAGGTTTAATTAGTAGCCAACTGCCATGATTCGTCGATTCGGCCGAGCTTCTCCAATTGGTTATTAATGGTATCAAGGTATTGCTATATAGATCACAAAATTCTTGCCATAGGTAGATAAATGTAAGATATATATCTTTGGTCGTACTCGTGGAGATGGAATATCCATAACGCTATTTGGTGATTGCAAGGTTGCGTGACTAACCGCGTCATAGATCTGCAACATAATTTATCAGCCCCTCAGTGTATAACTATTTAATAAGCAGGAATAGGATCTCTCAGAACAACTGCTCCCTAGGAGATCTTGAATGCCCAGTTCAGCATACCCGCTGCTCTCCGCTAGATAGTCTACCTTGATCCGCCTGCTTTCATTATGTGGCTCGCAAAGCTTGTCAGGTCGCAAGTCCATTTTGTTCCAGGTGCGTGGCTTGGGATCGATTTAATACCCAGCCTTGTTTCTTGATCTGGCAAAGTTTTGAGATACATATCGTGTCAGGAGCTTCAGCAAATCCGAATAACTGATATTTTCGTATCCTACTCGTGCAATTAACAGGGAAATTGAGAGTTACTGAACTTTTCTGGGATGTCCCGCTGGATTACGATCGGCCTACTGAGGCCACCATTCGGCTTTTTGGGCGGGCTGTAAGACGCCGTGAACCAGGGGTTGATTTGCCCCGAGATGAAAAGGTTTTACCTTGGTTTTTATACCTACAAGGTGGTCCAGGAATGTCATCACCGGCACCACAGGACGTTGGCTGGGTGCAAATGGTGCTTGATAGGGGATACCAGGTATGGGAAGATTTGAACTGCAAATGCTGCTCATTTCATTTCTGGCGCACATCTGTGGTTGGAGTCAATATAAATGAATAGACATTGCACAGCTGTTGGTTCCAAATTGCGTTTCTGAATGGCCTAACTAATTATTTCTACAGATTCTTTTACTTGACCAGCGAGGGACAGGATTGAGTGCTCCAATCACGGCTGCTACTCTTGGCCTCGTAGGTGATGCTGTTAAACAGGCAGAATATCTCAAATTATTCCGTGCGGATAACATAGTCCGGGATTGTGAGGCTATCCGCGAAAATATTACTTCTGAATATCCGCCTGAAAAGAAGAAATGGAGCGTCCTTGGCCAAAGTTTTGGCGGGTTTTGCGCCGTTACGTATCTTTCAAAATTGTGGGTTTCTCAGAAGGTTTATGATCCTCTATCCCTCTTGTTCCTCCCAGGTTTGCTCTGGAGGCTAATTTTGGCTTGTGAAGCCCGGAGGGCCTGCGGGAGGTTTTCACAACTGGAGGCCTTCCCCCACTTAGGAACGGACCAGATCCCGTTCTTGAGCGGACGTACGGTAAGTTTTTGACAACGCTAGCAAGAGTGAATAAAATAGCTGAGATGCAATAGAAAAGGTCCAGGAACGGAATGAAGCTTATTATTCCAAGTTCCCCGAGGATGTCAGCAGAGTTAATTACATCCTTCGCTATCTGAACGATAACCGGGTCCAGTTACCTGCTGGAGTTCTCACGCCTTCTAGATTCTTGTCGCTAGGGCTATCATTCGGAATGCGAGGTATATAAAAACATTTTTCTACTATGGATTGGATGAAACTAATTTTTGGCTGACGGTGAAATAGGTGGCTTGGATTCTATTCACGGTAAGAGAGGATGTCGGAGAGTCTATTCAAGTCTACTTATTGTTAATGTGCACAGATATCGTACTAAGAGTACAGAACGAGCTTGAAACGTTTAACCTTTTGACGACACCAACTCTTTCAATTCTGAATAATGCTACCACCTTCGACAATAATATCCTCTATGCGGTGCTACATGAAGCAATATATTGCCAAGGGTATACGGCTTCATTTTGTGAGACGATTTTGCAGAACAAACAGCTAATGATCGTCTAGGGAGGCGTCGAATTGGTGTGCGGAAAGATTGATAGCAAGGTTCTCTCAATTTCAGAACAAATTCGATGGAAGTCCGGTGTTTTTCACTGGGGAAATGGTGAGTTGGAAAAGGCGCATCCGCCCGTGGGTGTAACTAAGGCCCGAAATTGACGGCGGATTGATGCACACAGATATACCCCCACATGTTTGAATCTTCCGATGAGCTTGGGCAAGTCAAAGCTGCTGCAGACATCATTGCGGCATATAGTGAATGGCCGGACCTCTATGACGAAGCCCAATTAGCAAAGAATGAAGTACCGGTATTTTCAGCAACCTTCGTTGATGACATGTATGTGCATTACGCGTTGGCAGCGGAAACGGCAGCAAAGATCAAAGGGTGCAAGCAGTTCATTACGAATGTCATGTATCACAACGCCATCCGTACGAACGCTGATGAGTTGGTAAAACAGCTTTTCGCCTTGAGGGATGATACAATCGACTAGATCATTTCTTCTTCTTTTTTATCCTTAGCGACCTCCAGTCATGCCAGCTGCCTATCTTCAGCAAAGTAAATTTTGTATGTAACTGAGTGATGTAGAGTTAAATACTCGTAACAAGCGTATGCGCAGGAGTCGGAGCACATAAGAAATATATCAATCAACCAGTTTTCTCCCAAAATCAATCAGCCGCAACCGATGTGCATCTCGTGGATGAAATTGTGCAATTTTCGCTTTCACCAGGAACCTAGATGCGGCAGTATCCCGCTCTAACTCGATATAGGATGATGTCCCCGCAGCATCCAGCAACGAGGTAATCAGATCATGCATCTCTGCTCCAGCTGCCTCACGCTTGTTACCTATTCCAGCTCTTTGACCATCCCCATCCCCACCGCCACTCGATCGACGATAAACAAGCTCATCAATCCGCTGCTGCCTTGAATCCCTTTCCACATCCACACCCACAGCACCCTTGGTCCTCTTCTCCTTCCCATGCGTCGTATATCCCGCCACCAGTGCCGCATCCGACACCTCCAGCTGATCCCCTACAACCGGGCCCCCTAAATCCTCCGCAGCCAACATCGCAGCTAAGTAATCATCAATAAATGCTTTCAGCGCTTTCTTCAGCGCAGCCGTCTTATTCTTCAACTCGCCCTTACGCTTGCGCTGCTGTTGCATGAGCTCCTTAGCCAACTGCGCCGGTCGTTTCTCGCGTTCTTCTGGCCGTGTGGACTGTAAAGTCTTAATACGCTCATCCAAGCGTGTGTTGATGAGTTGGGCATCGCGCGCAGCAGCTTGTTCGGCTTTTAGCCGCTCACGGTTTGTACTGAGATCTTGGGCTGTGGCAGATATGCTTGATTTGAGGTCGAGGATTTGGCGGGCTGTTTCGCGCAATGCGAGCAGGGCAGGTAGGGGAGAGCCTTGGCGTGGTAAGTCAGGCTCAGTTTGTGAGAGGGCTTTGTATGCTTTTGTTGCGCGTCTGATTTGCGCAAGGCGCGTGCGGGGGTCGAGGCCTGCGTGGGGGAGGCCGTTTGTGGTGGAGCGGCGGAGCTGGATTATGGATAAATATTTTCAATTATTGAGTTTTAAACGACGGCAATGAAACTGGGTATGTATTCTATGGCTTGATGAAACTGTGAGACGCGTAAATTGATTCCAACTGACCTCTTGCAAAGCATGTTCCTGGCGCTTTACTTGATTTTGCAGCTGTTGCACGGTCTGGTCAAGTCGGTGGTTGTATGCATGGTAGTCAATTGGATGGTGGGCGCGTTCTTCCTCGAGTTTGCGATTGCTTTCCGCAAAGTGGCGTATTTTATCCAAGGTGTTCTGTTGCAATGCCATTTTCCAATCCTCCTGATTTATCTTATCGTCAATATGTTGACTGTCTGTCCAAGGTTCTTCTGGTTGGCGCATATACCACGTGACTTGCTACCGCGCTGAGCTCAGCAAACTAGTCCATATCCAGACATTCGGCTCCCAATCGGGCTTAGTCCCGCCTTGGTCCCACAGTTTAGCCTTTTGCGGCTCCCTTCCTTCCTCCAACCTCATCCCAACTTCATCCCTTCGCGCAGCTCTCGTTTTTCAATCTCACCGGCAGCATCGCGCCTTGCAAACCAGTCATCATTTTCCATCGTCCTCTGTCCTGGGGGACACCTGTCTGTCTCCCATTTACCCTTTAGTGCTGTCTCCTTCACTTTCCTGTTCTCTCTGTGCTCCACTGTAAAAAAAAAGAAAAAAAAGAAAAAAAAAAAAACTCTGCGCTTATTTGTCAGCCTTCTCTCTGCTAGCACCAACCCCTTTTTCCGCGTCTCAGCTGCTAACAAAGACTTCAGGTTTCGCGCAATAGGACAAGGAGGCTAAGAAATAATTATTTAGGAAAGAAAAGGAGGAGTGAGAGGAAAGAAAAGAGGTCGCACAACCTGCGTTTATCCTCCTGTTTGAGCCTGTTACTTTGTCCTATCAAGCTTCTAAAACCCTTCTTTGGCTGAAGGCCCTCCGTCACCTTTCACCAATCGACCACATATCACAGCCCCTCCGTCTCCCCTGTGGATCAAGTTCTTCTCCCAGCATCGTCCCAAATTTCTCCTGGAGCCTTTCGCTCAGTACTGCTGAACTCAATCCAACATCCTCACCTTATACAACACCTATCTCCATTTCTACGTCGGCTCCACTTGCCTCTCCGCACCGTTTCAACCATCCACTGCTGCCACTCTACTCCTTCTTTGACTCCAATATCTCAGCATATCTTCAAGCACCACCTCCTCTCCAAACGACCCACCTGCACCAGCAAGTTTTCCTTGGGAAATCCCTGGTGTACATAGCCGATTCAGAAACAAAACAGAAACAATTTTAAAAGAAAAAATATATTCAGATCCTACTTCGACTCCCTGTTTTCCCAACGTAGGTGAAGCATCAGAGCCAAAAGAAAAGCATTCAGGCCCAGAACAAGAGACCCGCGACGAAAGCCGTATTTTAACCCCATTTCCAGCAAACCTAAACGAATAAAAACATGTCTGCATCTCCGACATCCGCTGTTCCGTCAACGAAACGTCCTCTTGAGGACCCCTCATCCCCATCAGGACCCACGGATCAACCTGACGCAAAACGTCCCGCCTTGGATAAGGTCGTAAAGGGGGAAGAAGAAGCATCAAAGCTAGTGCAAGAGGCTGGAACTCCTGTGACGGACACTGCCAAGTCAGACACTACAGCACAGCCTGCCGCTGCTGCTACGGGAGAAAATGGTGCAAAGGACGAGCAAGGTGATGTTGTTGTTACTGATGCACCTCATGCCAATGGGAAAAGCGCATCCGCTGCTCAAATACTGGAAACCCAGCCCATTCAGTCCACAGCTTCACAAAATGACCGCTCGTCATCACAGCCTCCTTCACAGCACGCTACCCAAGACGAGAGTGGATGGATTCATATTCGAGCTGTGATCTCTAGTGCTGAGGCAGCAACTTGTATTGGCAAAGGAGGTGAAAATGTTTCACAGATTCGTCGTCTATCGGGCGCCAAGTGCACTGTGAGCGACTATTCTCGTGGCGCAGTTGAAAGAATTTTAACTGTCAGTGGCATGCAAGATGCAGTTGCTAAGGTGTGTTTTAATACTTGCTGATTCTTTACCCGTGCCTTCTTTCCCCGATATTGTAATCACTGACATATTATTCCATGGTGAAAGGCTTTTGGTTTGATTATTCGTACTCTTAACAATGAACCCCTTGAGGCACCCTCCACAGCCCAGTCAAAGACATATCCTCTCCGCCTCCTCATTCCCCACCTACTCATTGGATCCATTATCGGGAAATCTGGAGTTCGCATTCGCGAAATCCAGGAGGCTTCCGGTGCTCGTCTTAATGCTTCTGATTCATGCCTTCCTCTTTCCACTGAACGGACACTTGTTATTCTGGGTGTTGCTGACGCAGTTCACATTGCAACTTATTACGTTGCGGTGACTTTAGTAGAACAACTGACTGAGAGATTTGGGGGACCAGCTGCTTCCGCTTATGCCACCCGCAGTGGTGGTGCCGCTGGCGTTGTACCTGGAGGTATGCAAGTGGTTCCTTACGTCCCCCAACCAGCCGGTGGACAATACGGACATCCGGACACCTTCAAGAGACATCAACCTCCAGGAAACCGGGTTGTGTCCACCGGTGGTTACGGCGTACCGTACGTCCACGGCCAACCGGGCCAGCCTCAAATGCCACATCAAGCACTTCATTACGGTTCATCCTCCCGTCCCGGCTACTCTGGAGCTGGCCCTCATCAGCCAGCGCCTTACGGAGCTCCCCAGCCCGCACCAGTCCATGGTGGGCCAAGTGCTCAGCCTGCTGGCGGGGTTGTTCCAGGAGCACCGGTGACGCAGCAGATCTTTATTCCTAACGATATGGTGGGTGCTATCATTGGAAAAGGAGGCGCTAAGATCAATGAAATACGCCACCTTAGCGGTAGTGTCATCAAGATCAACGAGCCTCAGGATAATAGCAATGAGCGCTTAGTTACTATCACGGGTACGCCTGAGTGCAACCAGATGGCTCTCTATATGCTTTATTCACGACTTGGTATGTTTAATTTGCTTACCCTAGTTTTACCCTACCCCCCCTGTGAATTCTTCTGCTAACCATGACATTTCCGAGCAGAGAGTGAGAAGCACCGGATTTAAAGTATCTAAACTGTTACACTGGCTGTCTTACCTTGCATCTTCTTTTATTTTTCATGTTATCTCCCTTCTTCTTAGGTTGGGGAGTTTTGATTGAAAAGCAGTTTTTATTACAAATTTGAACTTGTACCTTTGCTTATCCTATCCTACTTGCTCCGTTTGTTTGAATTTAATTCCTTACCATGGGTTTTCTACCTTCTGTGTTATTTCCGACTGTTTTATTTTTGCTGTTTTCCTATTTTTTTTTTTTTTTTTTTTATTTTTTTTTTTTTATTTTTTTTATTTTTTAATCCTTTACTTCTCAACTGTTGTTTAAACCGTCTTAAGACTATTGGTCAACATTATATGATGTTCTTCATTTTTCGTTCTTCTCCCGGTGTATTTTTACCCCGAACAGATAATAATGGCGAATCTCATACTGACTCGACTACCATGAAAAATTTCAATATTTTCTTAAATCCGGTTATCTCGCAACCACCGGTCATGGGAAGAAATCCTGCCCTGACTTGACGGTTAGCTAGTTGGAACCGCAGATTCACGACTGCGATTAAGCCTGTCGAGCTGGCACTGGGAACATTGGACCCATTGGATGTATACGTATCTGTATTGGTCCGCCAGTGCAGACGACCTGACTTCCTGATAGCTCGATGAAGGTCTAGCTTATTGCCCCCCTCCCTTCCCTTCCTCAAAATGCCAAAACTGAAGTACAATAATAGCTAGCCCTTCCAATTTCCCAAAATCCGCCCCCCCCCCCCCACCCCACCTTCTCACCCCTTTCTCGCGGAGAAATATTACATCAGCAGGATTACATCCCCCTCCCTCCCTCTCCACTGGTCGCAGATTATTTTTGTCTTCAGCGCACTCAGTCCCCTCTCATCCAACTATCGCACCACACATGCACATTTCCCGACTTTCAGCTCCCAACTCTCCCCTCCCCTTTCTCTCGGGCTTCCTCCCAAAACTTAACATACCTCATCTCCAACACCTTGGTCCCAGGGAACATCTTCCTCCTAACCGGCGCAATAGCTCTTTCAAACTCATCCGTCCCAATCGCAGCCTCATGCTCCTGTATACTCTCCCATCCAATCACCAGGATCGCCAGCTCCGCCTCCCCGGACGCGCTGTCGGCATGCTCGACCGTTCCAGGCCTCTCGACCCACCCGATTGATAACCAGCGTGGCGGGCCCGGATCTCCCAACCTCGTCCGCGACGACGATGCCGACGACGACAAGGATGTCTGTGTCCGCTGCTGACTACGTGCCCGCTGATCCTCGGTGGCCGGCCGGCCGTCGTCGTCATCGTCATCGTCATCGGGGGGCCTGATGTTTAGCAGGGCGGTGCGCAGGTTTGATAGGGAGGTGTTTATGAAGGATTTCTCTGTCGAAGGTAGGGCGCTGGGGAAAGGGAGGATGGCGACTTCGACGATTGGTGTTGCGGCAAGGTCTGAGAGGGGGACGGATGGGGTGAGGGTTGTGTGGATTGTTATTGGGGCTGAGGTGGGCGCGAGGATTGGGGCGATTTGGCTGAGGGGAACAGAGGATGTGTTGTCCTTCCATGCTGTATATTTATGCGTTGCGCGGTTAGGGAGGGAACGCGGGTTTTGTTAGCGTCGGTGATTTTTTTTTTTTTTTTTTCTTTTATTATTTTGTTTTTGCGTGCAGGCGGGGATGCTCAGTTTCAAACCAAGACAAGCGATCTGAACAAAGCTCGGACATATGGATGTTAAATATAAATATGAATCTATAGACTTACCAACAACCCAAACAATATCGTTTTCATCCGCCACGGTCCTGCCCCAGCTCGAATACAGGTAGCCGCTCTGCAGCTTCACGGCCTCAAGGGTGTCAGTGAAGACCCGTCCGTCATAGTTTTCGGGGTCCTCGGGCTTCACACCTTCTCTGAAGGTTAGGTAAACAAGCTCTGTGACGGCGGAAGATGCCATCTGCCAGCCCTTCTTCCGCTCTGATGCGCGCGTATTCCTCGTTCTGCTAGTGCAGCCTTTCTGCGCGCTGGGATGGAATTGGGAAGAGAGAGCGGGCTGGTCGCGAGCTACCGGCTGCCGCGGGTGCCTCTGTGCTTATATAAATATGATCCTGTAACTAACAGTTAAGTTAGTTAGTTAGTTAGCTAAAGGGCTGCGGGAGGGACGACGGGCGGTGATGTCACAGGGTCTTGGCGATCGTAGATCCAGCCGAGGCTGCGCAACACACTCCGTACTTGGCGCCTTGCCGCACCGAACCACAATAAACAAATACCAGGAAATAAAATACCCGGGAGGAGGAACTCCCAACCATGATGCCTTTCCCAAGCCTGCCGCCACTCCCCGTCCCACTCGCCCTCACCACTTTTCTCCTGGGCCTGACAGCCGCGCCATTGCTCCGTTCCTTGCTGGCGGGAATAGTGGCACGGATCGCCTCGAGGCTGCTTGGCTCAAGCGCCAGCAAGGAAGGGATAGCTGGGGCACATGCGGTGAAAGAAGATCATGGCCTCTACAGCCTGGACCATGGGGTGTTGAATCTACCCAGCTTGACCCCGACGGAGATGTGGATGAATATGGGATACTGGAAGGTTGGTCCGATCTTTTCTTTTTTTTGGAAAGTTTTTCCCTGAACCCTGGAAGTCATTCTTGGCTTTTCTACATGAAGTTGATAGATAGTATGTCATATTTGGTGTTTTATCGTAATGCTATTCGAATGAGTTTTTTTCCCACTCCATTCCCTTCCAATTTCACGCTGGACACCTTTCCGATTTTAGATATCCCGCCCTTTGGGCAAATCCCTGAAACAAAAAAACTCGTCTTTCTATGCCAACATGTTACAATGGCCAGTGAGAGAAAGAAAGAAAAGAAGAATGTTGGGAATGTTGGAAAAAAAAAAAAAAAATCAAATGATTGCTTCCACAATTGGTTCCAACATTTGCTAACCCCCCTCTTCAAAATGAATAAAAATATAATAGAACACAGCTTCCTTTCCCGAAGCCTGCCGGGCATTGTTGGATAAGATCCTGCAAACAGCAGGTTTAGACGTCAATTCCACAATCATCGTAGTCAACGCTGACAGTGCGGTTGCCACTGCTACTGGAGTAGACTGCAAGTCACGGACATACAGTCAGGCAACTCTCGGGTTCTCAAGAGGGGAGGGGGAGAGGGATAAAAGGACGTCAAGAAACGGGGTAAGGAGGGTCATCCTGGATGTTGGATTTGGATGTGGTGAACAGACTTTGCATCTGATGAGGCAAAAAGTGACTGTACATGTGGCACCTGGAGGTGGTGATGCTGATCAAGCTGGCTTCATCACCAGTGATGACGATGATAATAAGAAGAGTTGTGCCGCGCAAAACAAGACAGATGATAATGGCAAAACCACGGAAAGTACACCGCTCTTCCAGCACTACGTCGGTATCACTATCGAGAAGATGCAATGTGCATTCGCTCTCTCCAGAGTGAAGAAAGCTGCAAGGAATTGCAATAGCTCTGTACGCGAAAACGGGCCCTCGAAGGATTGGGGCGCAAGACAAGGGCAATCGACAAGCCGGGTTGTCGAGTTATTCTGCGGGGACGCAGCTAAACCACATGCTTGGTCAGAAGAAATACACCGGTCAATCTCGACTGCTTTCGGGAAAGGCAAGTATGCTAAGGAGGGCGGAGAAGTGGGAGTAAAGAGGGCTGAGGAGCGCTATGTCCTAGGCCTCGACACGCTATACCACTTTAGCCCTTCGAGAAAGGAGCTGTTCGAATATTCACATTTCACTCTCCAAGCAACTATACTGGCCTTTGACCTCTTCCTACCGCCGAAGCCGCCCTCATCACCACCACTTGACAAAGTGAAAAGAAGTCTGAATATGTTTGCCCTCCGCTGCTTGGCACCGGCCTTGTCTGCCCCTTTCTCAAATTTCGTTACCATGGCCGAATATAAACAGCTTTTGGAGAAGGCCGGGTATGCGCCTGAAGACATCGCGATAGAAGATATCACTGACGATGTGTTTCCTGGTCTCGCAAATTTTTTCGAGAAAATAATACACGAGATGAGCGCACTGGGCCTGAAGGGCTTCTCTAAGTGGAGAGTTTCTCGATGGTTATTTCGCTGGTTGGCTAGCGGACAAGTGCTTCGGGCGGGTGTTGTTGTTGCGAGATGGAAAGGTAGCTCTAGGAGCCGTATGAATAGGGATGATAGGCCTGATCTCCAAGTCCAGAATCCGACGTGTCAAAGTTGCTGAGCGGGGAAGATTCTGTTATGGGGACCGGTGGGAATGGGAGATTCAAGTCGCCGGTATTTATTTCTGGAGGGAAAAGCTTATCCCATTCATTCTGTAGAAATAAAATATCACTGTTAGGATTCCGCATTTCAAATAAGATGGTTTGAAGAATATAGGAGGACATGAGAGAAAGAAATAATCACACTGACGAACGAGCGAAGGGATATATAAAACATAGAAGCCAAGACTCAATCACAACAGAAAACTTACCCAGTCAATATCGAGCATTGGCAAATCCTCCTGAGGACGGTCCTTGGTAAAGTCTTGATTGCCAGCCATCGCCATTCCACCTGCAGGTGGAGGAGGTGGAGCCAATCCGGCACTTCTAGATGCAACACTAGGGAGAAACCACAACCTGGACGAGCCAGAATCTTCGGAGCTGGTGGTCTCCGACTCAAGGCTTTGGCCTCTGGCTAGGCGCTTAGTATAATCAGTCATATATTGGGGATTTTGGAGGGATTGTAGCGGCCCAAAGAAGAACTGGCCGGTTTGATCAGGATGTTGCTGTGAAAAGGTCGGAAGTTGGTGAAGTGGATTTGGTGGCGATTGCTTCTGCTGCTGCGGCGGCTGCCATTGTGGAAGCGCTGAAGGTGGGCTATGCATGCTTGACTGCTGGTATGATTCGCTTTTCTGTAAATAAGCAGCCATCGGTGGAGGATGTGGCTGGGAGTCTGGTATGGATCTGTGATGAGTGTCAGGCGAAATTTGATGGCCGTCAGGGGCTGAAGTGGCAGCAGCGGTGTGTTGTCCCGTCGGATGAGTAAAGTTGGAAATTTCCGTCCCATCCCCCCTTTGAAGATGAGGTCTTGCATTGAGATTTTCCGCTTCTTGCGTACCCTGCATGCTAACAGGAACTTTAATTTTCCTCCTCTCGCGATAGTGAATCATCCTCTCATGGAGTTGGCTTAGGATCTCGCGGGCTTTTCGATCTCGATGCACCAAGAGTTTCCGCCTGTTGCTCTCTGAGTATTTCTCTTGCCCAGGCTCGTACGGAGATGGTGAAGTCTCAAAAGCATAATACAAACATCGCCAGATGCGATCAGCTTCCTTGCGCAGCGGATGCTGGTGGACCTCTGCGAGGAGTAGGAAGGCGGTGTGCCATTGGTTTAATGCACCTAAATACCAAACCCATGGCCTGTATTCGGGGTTTGTCTCAAGCTCAATCGCATTCTCCATCTGTTGCGTACCGCTTGTTATTATGATTTGTCTGAGACGATCGGGAACTTGCATATTTGCGCTATTATGATAGCGATGCAATAACGCGATGTATGAACGGTTTAGATAAAACGATAGAAGGAGCTGGGCAGCCTTCTGTATTGGTTTTGGATTGGGCACATGGATTAGAGGGCAATACTTCGCTGTCGCGGCGCGACGGAACGCTTCGATCTTCCCTAGTACATGCGTCAGGCTTACGCCCTTTTTCTCTATTCTGAGCCTGTCTACATAAATGATCCTCTGTAATTCATGGCACTCGAAACGTATTCGTATGAAGGTCATATCCGTCCATTGGGATTTATCAGTCAGTGGAACAGGTAATGGGACACACAAGTCATCGTCGTCGATGTTCAGGGGGAACTTGGTGGAAAAATCCTCCCTGCGGATCGAAAGGCGGGGCCCTTGTGATTCACTCGTCCGGATATCAAGAAAGCATAGATGATACCAGATCATCCTCCGAACATGTGTCTCGATCGGTCCAAGACCATACTCTTCTGGGTCACGGTGGAATCCCATACACTCAGCCAGACGAATCGCGGTTCCGACAATCACAGAATGGGCACGCGATACTTCTGCTCGACACATTGGAATCTATGGAAATAACATCACCGAATAAACACCTATAAAATACAGGAAGATCGGATATATAAATAGAGAAAATATAATTATATAAGAAATAGCAATCATACCATATACATCACCAATGCCTGGAGCGTTTGGGTTTTGGTGGTTTTCAAAAAGTTCGCTTTCCCCAAAGCCATTTCTGTTGCTAACTGGAAGTTTTCGGTGAGATGTTTTTGCGTAACCCCGAAGGTGCTTAGTATCGAATCTTCTGTCATACTTATTACAGCAGCGAACAATGCGGCAAATATAACTGCTTGTAGAGAGCATGTTGGCTCATACCCCCGAGAAACCTCTAGCCAGAAAGTTTCATTTTGCCTTTCGAAAGTAGGTCGATGGACAATTTTGGTTATGGGATCCACCGCTTCCCAGTAGTGTTTTAATAATCTATTGGCGGAAGCCCGGGATGGAAGAAAGTCTACGAGCGAGTACTTTCGTTCCCCACCTCCCAAAAACATGTCCGAGTTGGGCGCGATGTAAGATGGCCCCGGCGTGAAAAAGGAGTCATTGAACACGGAAAGGGGTTCCGAGAAGCTCTGAGCATTGGACTTTGGTTCAGCCGCGGGTTTGTCTGCAACTGATAAACCCCCGAGGGCAAGCGTAACCTGGGTAATGGCCATGTTAGCTGGGGTACATACGCCCATACATCGCAATTGCAAGGTCCTCCAGCGAGCATTGGATTTCCCAGAAGCAGAACACACGTATGAATGTATAGCCCAGCCTGGCGGAGTAAAAATGAAGCACAAACCTCTTCTGCAATTTTTGGGCGAAATAATCCGCCAACACGGTCTGTCATTCTCAACTTCCCAAGTTTGAATCCAAGGTCGAGAGCGTCATCGTCCGATCCATCTTCATATGCAGCATCCTGGACAGCCAGAGGCGTTGGCTTCAAGTCCTTCTCATCCTCCGGGACAGCAGGCTGCCCCTCAGTTGGGTTCTGGAAAAGCCCTCCCAATGTATGTAAATCGATCCGACCCTCAGCATTAAGTTGATTGTCCTCTTGAAAAAAAAACTTCTTGTCCACCACATCCTCTTCCAAAGAACGCTCCAATGAGCCCATCCTTTCCTTAAGTTCAGTAAGCTTTTTCCGGGAGCTTGGGTCCAAGGCGGGAGCCAGGAACAAACAGTCCCGCTTGTTCTTCGCGCAGTTGCTGCAAGGGTGGAGCCTGTCGCACTTTAATTTCCGCCGGCGGCATTCCAGGCACGATGTGATCATTCGATTGCGGCGGCGGATGCGAGAGTGCGCGGAAGTGGCTGCATTGGGACCTCGACCTGCGGAAGCTCCACCTCCCGCCAACTGTGTTCCTGTTTCCCCACCCCCTCCACCATCCCCACCGCGAGGAGAGCTATCGTTGGCTCCAACTTTCAAGGAATGCGTTTGCGTTGAAGATGCGATTGACTGTTGTGTGGGTTCAGCGGCCGTAGCGCAACCGTGCTGCAGGGACGAGCCTGAGGCGGAGGAGTTCATTTAAAACAGAATATACTCCCTAGTTAACCGGGTTAACTTGAAGGAGAAAAAGCAACGAAGATCAGATAAGAATCCGGACAAGAATCTCCGCCTGCCGAATCAGCTAGTTCGTGTGAGAGGGATGTTTAAGGTGCTTGCTAGCACAGAGGCCAAAAATCAAAATCGCATTCATGTTACGGACGTAGGAGGTTGTTCGAATCAGCGACCGCCACACCAGGGCCGTTCAATATATAACAAAGGAGAAACAAGACCGCCCTATGAGCGAATCCAGATCAGGAATAGCGCTGCAGTCGGGACAACGTTGGAGGCCGTGGGGCCAAACCACTTACTCGCAACCTCCAGGCGACAATACGGCGTGTTGACCAGTGCCCATTGATGGCTGCGCTGAGACGGGAGGCCTGGTATCCAGTTGCCGGAATCTCTATTGTCCCTTGAGTGGAAGAGTGAAAATTTAAAACGGTCACAAATTGTCAATTTGCTCAGCCATGCGATCCCTCAAAAACTCGTTCGAGGGCTAAGCCATTTAATGCAGGGTTTCCACAGCGCGTCATGCCATTATCATTGGCGTCCGTTGCGAGAAAGCCTTTTTGGCATAGCCGGAGACGGAGAATTAAATCCAACCGAAAATATGTTCGTGTGCCTGTTGTGAAACGTGGAGGACGGAACCTCTCGGATGAATCCATAGCGGTGGCTCAACTGATCTAGCCAAGTTACCAGCAACCCATCGAGTGGACAATTATAGCAGAACAACAGGATCTCGAAGCTGAATTACCAGGATGCCTCGCCATTTGGCTGCGCCGAAATGCCGAACGAATCAGATAGTTTCTCAAAGCTGGACACACCAAACGAGCTTCTGTCACGGATCTATCTTATCTAGCTCTCTCGACGGATCGAAAAGCCTTGTTATATCATAATATCAATCTGGAGAAACACCACACACCCCGCCAACCTGGAATTGTTATTTCTGCGGACTGCATTGCAAAAGCCAGCGGGATCGATGGATAGAGCACCAAGGCTCAAATGGAAATAAACTTTACCAGTATTTTGCGCTGATATGTCAAGGCTACAGGGGCAAAAGGAGCTGAGTTACCACCACCAACTTAGCAGCTAGAAGAAGAGCGGACAAGCCACCAATCTAGTCCCTCCAACGTATTGCTAGCCTTCGTATTTCCATCATGGACCCAGTCAGGGCACCTTAGCGCACCTTAGCGCAGGAAAGGGTCTGATGGCAGCGAGCTCAGCCGTGGCAAATTTAGGCTGGGAGAATCGCTGAACACCGTTGCACTCCGTTCGGAGTTACAGATTCGAGAGATGTGGTGTCTCGGAGAGCGAAGATAATCTGCGTAGTTCTTCCATTTGTATCTCAGGTTCAATTGATTGGAAAACTACCAATAGCACATGTACGGTACATTGGATTTCTTCTGAAATCCAAATTTATATTGAAAGGCGAGGGGGTGTGTGAGCTAATCGTGGACACGGATATTCAATTTTGGCAGCCCCTTTCAATTGTATGCCGCATATGTGATGATAGAGAAAAACTTGCACCAAGAGAAAAGCTTGGACCAACTGTTAAAAGGCTACCGGGGAGCCAGAATTGAATCAAGGCCGTTAAGACGCTGGCTTGACGAGGCACTCTTGATCAGTTCGCTGTTGAAGGGTTGAGATTAGTTTCAGCGAGACGAGACCCTTGGAGACTCGGCGAGCAAATTACACTAAAGATCATAATATTGTATAAAGAATACCATGACCTTGCCGTGTGCCTCAAAGTTATCATCAGTGCGAACATCGTGTCGGATAGTATCACTGAAAGTTTGTGACTATACCGCTATCCGTACACGCCAGTACCCTTCCCTTTTCCTTTCCGCATTTCAAAAGAAAACAATGAAGATGTGTCCCATTCAAATTCCAACATGAGGGATGGAGGCAAGCACGTTGGCAACTTGCAATACAGCTAGAATATATGAAACGGCGAGGAAACCCCTTACTTTTATTCATCCCTCTTCCAAGCAGGGCGCATATTTGCCTCTAAAATAGGCAATGTTACAAAGAGCATCAAAAATCCAAGTCATATCTCATCCATCCCTCTCACTCTAGCTTTTCTGGTACCATCCACCAGTGCCGTCCGCACATGCCCCACGATCTCACGCCGACGTTTAGTCTTAGCCATCCACCGTTGCGTGTCTTCCTCTGAGGCAAGAACTAACTCGCCAGGCCCGCTAACACTGTGCAACAAGCTGCTTTTCTTCCCAGCACTACCAAGTAAACTAGACCGGAAACGTACATGAGCCCTCGTGGCAGACTCAGGGGTATGGTACGCGCTCCTCGTTCCGACCGCACCGTCCACGGAACCCCGCGAGCCGGGCGTGACTGGCACTCTGGAAAGCCCCCGTTGTCCACGTGGTGGCGTGAGGAAAGGTGAAGCTTCACGACTTCGAGATCTGGCAGAACCCGTACCCGCTGGACCACCACTGGCACCGGAGACGTCAATGCCAAGCCTGCGAAGTTGAGCTTCAAGAACGTCGATGTCACTGCGTTTCTTTTCCGCCATGTTAGTCATGGTCGCAATAGTTGATGTGACAGCTTCGACAGTAGGTCGTGCCATGGACCTACGTCCGGTGGAGCCGTTGATGCTTGACCCGTCAGAATCTGGTTTTGCAGAATCGGCGATCTTGGCGCGAAGGAGGGATATTTCTTTCTCCAGATTAGCCATCTTTGATTGTACTTCTGTAGACGCTTGTCGTAAGTCTTGTTGCAGAGTCGCTTGTTCAGCAGATAGAGGCGCTGAAGCGATGGCCACAGTGTCGACGTGGGCGTCAATACTTCGTCGCAGGCTTGCGCATTGGCCGCGTAGAGTCACGAGATCTTTGCTAAATAGCCGTTGGCAGTTTTCTAAAGTTTCTTCAACTTTTTGCAATTGCTGTTGTTGTAATAATGAATTCAATTCCTTTATCCCCGCAGCCAGCTTATCGACCTCGGATAAAAGAAGCTGGTCTTCTAAAATATCACTTGGATGCTCACTTTGTAGAGTAGTTAGCCAGTGTTTGTAATTTGGCTCTTTGGCTGTGTGCTGATATAGTAAGAATGACGATAGGGACCTTGAGTTGATCCCTAGGGTGTCAATCATGGAGTTGATGTCCCGATATAACCGTTCAATTTGGCCTGGTATTCCAGGCTTCAAACTTTCCCCTGTGTAATCCTGGTGAGGAAGAAAAGGGTCCAATGTGGGTGCTGGTGATAATGGTCGTGCTAGATCAGTGCGGAGTTGCTCATCCTCGTCATCTTCGCTCAGTGGTTGGGATTCAGCCGCTAACCGCTGAGCTTGGCGACTAAGCTCCTCGGTTTGGCCTTCGTCGTCAGCTGGGAGTTCAACTTGTTTTGACAGCATAGAACTCTCGAGAGTCACTTTCCTCTGAGCTAATGCACGACCAGGGGCGCTAGGTGCGCTGGTAGCTCGTAAGCCATCTCTTGCTGAGGATAGCCCTAGAAGAGACCGACGGACTGGACTCGGTGACCTTGGTGTTAAACGTATGCGTCCATCCGGAAGTTTAGGGGAGGGGAAGATGGGTTGCGTGATTTCACCAAAAAGTTGCTTTGGTTCCCTTAGTTGTTGGACCAGTGAGGGAACCTTTGTGAACATGGAACTATCCGGACTCTGCACAGCAGGGCCACCGAACGAACTTTCTGGTGATGTTTTAAGACTTTGGACGTGCTGTCCATCGGTTTCTTCAACAGGGCTAATATCACCCGCCACTTCTTCTCCACTATCTTCAAAATCAGCTGATTCCCCTTCATAGGATTCTGCAGGCAACGCAACCGCGACTTCGTTCGAAGTCCCTTCCTTCTTCGCGGGTATGAAATCCGGGGGTAATGGGGCCTCTTCGAAGGAAACTTTGGATACACTAGACGAAGAAGCCGATGTATCTCCAGGAGCGTAAGCCGCTCTGCTTGTTGGGTCTGGGGGAAGAGGAGGCTCAGCTAGTTTTGGTATTGGTGTTTCCTCCTTGTCGCTAGGGTGTTCGACTTTGACCGTAGACTCCGATAGGCTGGATTCATCTGGTAGAGAAGGAGTCGATAGGGATGGCTTCTCGGTCTCTTTGGGTGGTGCCATGGAGGCCGGAAGTTTTCCGAAAGGGGAGGTTAGTTCTTTCGTCTGAACTGACGACGAAAGCTTAGAAGGATGAGGCGCGGCAAACAAATCTGTGGGAGGTGGCACACTATTTTGAGGCGTTTGAGGTTCCGGACTCGCTGGTTTGGGCAGTAGAGAGGAGATGGCAGGTAGGGATGGCGGAGGAGAAGCTTTCGGCGAAACAGATTTTTTCTCGGTGGGCTCATCGAAGGTCATCATGTTGGCGAAGGAAAATGCACCCTTTGATTCCTCCGGTTTATCTTCATCCATGGTAGTTATCGTATCTGTTTTGAATCCAGAACTTTGATTGAATGCTCCGAACGGAGATGGCTGGGTTTTAGGAGGAACAGGCGATGATACTGTGTTCTGTACAGAGCTAAAGATTGGTTGTCCAGCTTTCGCAAATGGGTTTTCGCCAACCGGAGGTTTCCCAAAAATGCTCCCTCCGGAGGGCTGAGAAGCTTTAACAGTAGCAAAACTATCGCTAGCAGCTGCAAAGGATCCAAACCCTCCACTGGAACCACTAAATGGCTGAGTGGGTAATTTACTTGTCTCGGTTCCTGTACCGCCAGAAGAACCGCTGAACGCACCAAACCCGGACCCAAATGGAGAGGCGGTTGCTGGTTTACCCAAAAAGGGTGGCTGACCAAACGCGGAAGATCGCTGGCCTAACAAATTTGGGCTGCCGAATGAAGGAGTCAGTGAGACAAAACTACTGGTTGCTGGAGCCGACTGGCTGGGTGATTGAGATTGGCCAAATCCCTGCGTGGCCCAGGAAGGTTGTGAACTAAGCGCTGGCTGCCCGAAGGCAGACGGGCGGTTTGCTCCTAGACCTGAGGGAGACCCAAAGGGTGATGTTGATGATAGCCCAAAAGGGGATTGCCCGAAAGGCTTGGGAGTTTGAGGGGCTAACATCGACGATGCTAACGGGTTTTGCTGTGGCTGCGATTGTTGCACCGACTGTTCAACTCCAGCGGCGACAAGGCCATGATAGGGCACGCGCTGTCGAATCGACTCGGAGTACACAAACCACCAGGATGACAATACGCCATCATTATTGAGTACCAGAACGTTGGGTAGAGGAATTCCAGAATCCTGGATATCTTCTCCAGGAATGGGAGAGGAAACAATATCTTTACTCGACAAATCAATTGCCAGTCCGATAGGAGAGGTATTCTCAGAATCATCTGTTAGGGGGAGTTCGGCTCTTCTTGAATCTTCCGACATTGTTGTAACAGTAAATGCATCGGTGACAGGCACGCCCCCTTCTTCGGCTAACGGCTTGCTAGATTTCGTTAGAAGCGCTATATCTGTTGAGGCTGTCGATGAGACAATCAATGCATCCTTGAGTTCGGGCTTAAAATCTCTCAAACGGCCAATAAATTGGTAGGCAGGGTTCCGTTCGAGACCCCAAGGTGGGCAGACCTCTGGTAGTTTTTGGAAAGTGTAATTATCTGGTGGTTGGCGATTTATAATATAGTATGTTGATTCCGGCTGGCCTTCTGATGAGGACGTTGGGGTATAAACAACGAAAAAGACATGATTCTCAAGCCACGAAATAGAGGAGACTATTGGATGAAACAAATACATTTAGTTAATAAGCTCTACCCGTACCAGAAATCATGAAAGAATATGCGCTTACCATGTTTATCTTCAATCAAATCTGGAGGTCTGGGGATCTCCGCTTTCATCTCCCCTTCAGGAGTCATCTGACATACGGTTCCATTCCCTAATCCAGCTACTAATTGCTTCCCCCGGTTACTCCATGAGATGCAGCTCACACCTGTTTTTAAAACTAGACCCGAGGGACCTTGGACAAGCTGACTAGTTTGCAAATTAGCCATCAATAGCTCTCCCTCCGTTGTTACCGCAGCAAACAACTCGGCAAGCATGGGATTCGGAGCCAGCGCTCGTAGCCTTGCTCCGTTCAAAGGAATAGTAAGGGCAGGTTGTGAATTGCCCTGCATCAAGGAAATCACTTGATATGCTATCAATCCACTGCCATCTGCCGCAGCTACGACAAGTACATTCTCATCTGCAGAGAATGCCACATGCGACACTTTTTGTGGGAGAGGAATTTGTAGTTGCGGTTGAAATTGCCTGACATTGCTGACCCCAGTCGTGTCTGCGGTATAAGCTTTTCTGACAGAATCCGTACTTGCTATTATAAGGCCTTCAGGCCCAGCAGCTGCGAGCAAGCCCTTTACAGACGCTACGCTCAACAAAGAGCAGGAGGGGGAAGGAAGAGAGTCGCTTGGCCATGGCGTGGGAAAAAGCCTAACTTTCGAGTCCCCAGCAATGGAAAGGAAGCCAACTTCCTATTCAAACATGGATATATCAGTTAAAGGTTTCTTAAAAGAACAAAAACGAATACATTTCTGGTACAACGTGCCTGTGTTTGAATTTCCTGTAGCTCGGGGCCGAGTTGAACAGTTGACGCCTGGCCACCGTCAAAGCCTGCGCTTGGTTGGGAAGAAGAAAAGGCCATTTTTATGAGGAGCTCGAAGCCGAAGGAGACCGCGCAGGGCTTGGAATCTAAGGAGTACCTAGACCTTAGGGCATTGAGAGCGGGTGGTTTGACGGCACTGAGATTTGCAAAGGAGCGTCGTTGGAGTGCACCAGGACTCCTGCTAAAGAGCTGGAGAGTTGGTCCGAAAATCTTGGTGGCGCACTTCCTCAGAGAGGAAGGGAAAGGGGCAAGAGGAGAAGAAGTGAAGCACTAGCAGAGGAAGCCGAGAGAGAAGGGCAATGCGCTCAGGCCATAACGAGTCGCGCGCAAGAAGATGCTCGTAGGTATTTTTTGAGCTACCAAGATGTGATGTTGGCGGTTGGGCACGTGAAGCTCTCGGCACAAGGCAGCTCCAGCTTCGTCACTTCAGCAGCGAAACTCAGCAGTAACTACATCAACGTCTCGACTCAACTCTCAGCTATCAACCCCCTGTGCATAGTTATTACTATTGGATTTTCCGGATACCCCTATTTGTACGTTTTCATTGGCGTATATTCCCCCTAAAAGCCAAAACCATCAGATACGGGCTCCAGCTGCCCATTGAGCCTCCACATTCGCCATGCCAGGCTTTGATTTCTCTAATTACAACCGGAATGCAGCTCTCCATGCAAAGGGCGTGCCTCTTCCAAAGGCTACGAGCACTGGTACTACTATTGTTGGTTGTATCTTTGACGGGGGTGTAGTGGTAAGCCCTTCCAGCTGATCAATGCACCGCTGTTTCGTAGCAGCACACATACTGATTCCTCAACACAGATTGCAGCTGATACACGAGCTACGAGCGGGCCAATCGTTGCTGACAAGGTATTTACATATTGAGCCCTTACGCAAAAGCCGTAAATGATGTCTTTATTTGCATGTTCATTACGTGCCAAATCTCGGACCAAAACCAGTCCAACCATGAGTTACCAACTGCTAATCGCAACAGAACTGCGAAAAACTTCACTACATCACACCAAAAATCTGGTGCGCTGGTGCAGGTACTGCTGCAGATACCGAATTCACGACCGCCCTCATCAGCTCCAATCTTGAACTTCATGCCCTATCCACCGGCCGGTCCCCCCGCGTTGTCACTTGCATGACCATGCTCAAACAACACCTATTCCGACACCAGGGCCACATTGGCGCGTATCTCGTCGTCGCCGGCGTCGACCCTACTGGCGTCGGTCTCTACACCGTCCACGCCCACGGCTCCACTGACAAATTACCTTACGTGACGATGGGCTCTGGTTCCCTCGCGGCCATGTCTGTATTCGAGACAATGTGGAAGCCATCTCTGAATCAAGATGACGCCGTAAAGTTGTGTTCGGAGGCGATTAAGGCGGGTATTTTTAACGACTTGGGCTCTGGAAGTAATGTGGATGTGTGTGTGGTTCATAAGGAGAAGCCGACGCAGTTACTGAGGAATTATATTAAGCCGAATGAAAGGGGCCAGAAGGAGAGGAGTTATCGGTTTGCGAGAGGGACGACAGCTTGGTTGGATGAGAAGATTATTACCAAGGCGGATATCGGGCGATATATTACCGTGCAGGAGCTTGGGAGTGAGGGGACTGTAGTTGCTGAGAAGATGGAAGTGGATTCTTAGTCGCTCCTCTCTGATTTATGGTTTTTAGTTTCCTTGTGGCCCCGGTTAGTTTCTTTTTATGTATTGGTTTTTAGATGAATAAGCTCAGTTTTATATTATCTTGAGGTCCTGGTGATAACAAGGCTCATGTGAGCAGTTTTATTCCCTATGGTACGTGCTTGATATGGGCCAATAGAAAATTCCCCATAAAGGGGAAGTTATGTCAACTATTACCTGTATAATATGATTGCTGGTGCCTTATTGAATCTGGTCATTAGTCTGCCCATATTGATCTGCTCCGGGAGCAGTATAGTCTTTGTTGGTTTGTGTTTATTGTCCGTGTTAGGGATGACTTAGGCAAATACAAATAGATACTCAAGCCTGAAGAAACTAATGTGAAACATGGGGGATTGTGCAGAGCCAGCCCAAGAATTTTGATTCTACACATTGTCAGACAGGATGAAGGAGCTTGCCGCATCCAACTAACTAAATTATCAAGCATCCTCAAACCATTTCCGCATCCAACAGTGCATTCGCAACAGACGCTCCCTCCGCTTCCCTGATCTTCTGCATAATAAACGCATATTTACGTTTTGGTACTGGTTTGCCGGCTTCACGGTACCTCGTAACACCAGCTTGGAAAAGCGCTCGCGCTAATATGGGCGATACAGGCCCATGGTGCTGGACGATGAATAAATATACCCATTGCGTCAGGCGCCAGGACGTTGTTGGTGTTACTGTCGTCGTGCAAGCAAACACGAGGGCGAGAATATGCAACATGCGCAAACATTCGCTAGGGTTGGGGTATAAAGAAGGATCTGGCGGTGGTGCGCGAGGTTCTGTTATCGCATATGTGGGTGCTGGTTCCTGCCAGCAGCGGGACAACGCGACTTTTAAAGGGGTGTGGCGGCGGAGGAGACGCAGGATGGCGCTGCGCGGGATCGCACCAGCTTCTGTGAATGTGATGATCTGATGGATAAAGGACGAGGAGGTGACATCCGTAGATTTTGCAAGCTGATCAAAAGTAGCATATATTGCTGCGCGGTTTCGGGTGTACATGGAGAAGTATGGGAGGATTTCTTTGATTGTCTTAGGACTGTGGGTGGGATTAAGGAGCGTCGCTTTTATCACTGGGTCAAGGCAATCCGGCCCACCAGCATGTCCGCTTTCTCTATTCCAACGAAACTGCTTTTGTGCTATTGAGAACTCTATGTCGGCAGCATTTGACAGAACAAGGTCTGTCGCAGATAAAACGCGCAGACGGGAGTCTTGGAAGTATATTCGGAGCCGGGTCAAAATATCAGTACCTCTGAATGGGCCTGAAGCTCGATCGAGGGAAGATAAAAGACGACGAAATACATTCCGTCTGCGGGAATCTAGTATTGCATAGCTGTCTGTGGTGTGTCCCAGGACAGCTAGGACCCACAACTTAAGCAAATTTCTAAGTCGATTTGGAATGTCCAAGCCATTTGTGTCCCAAATCGTCGACGAGGTCAAACTCGAAGCGGAATCAAAATTACTCCTCGAAGTGGCTGAGAATAGGACTAAATCATTATCAAGACGGGACAGTACCCAATACCAGATGCGCAACGATTGGGAACCCCACTTTGAATATACTGGTGAAAATACTAGTAGCTCGGTTATTTTTAAAATGTGTGCGACCGCGACCTCGGGAGGACATGAATTGAGGAGTGACCGAGTATAGAGGAGGGTGCCGTGCAGGGCATCATCGGGTATATCTATATTTGTTGATTCTGGCACAGACGCCGCCGTAAGGACAATACGGCGAAGAAGGACATCTCCTACCAAATTTAAACCGGTGGCCCCGAAACCGTCTAAGGCGTGGATAACATCAATACCGAGCTGTGATAGTCTACCATGTGGTGAGACTTTTAAAATCTCTTCGACCCATAATGTCATTGTTTCCCGGCCAAGGTCAGATGGTGTTAGAACAGAGGATGCCTTAAGTCCATCCCAAATAGCCTGATAGCAAGTAGCAACATCAGCCCAGTTGACTTTCCCAATGGTGCTCTTGCCGTGTTCCCGAGTTTTGGTTTTAATCAATGGTATAAGTTTGATAATTTTAGCAATCTCCTCCACAGGGACAAGACCAAGCATGATGGAACGCTTCAGGAAGCGAAAGTGGGCGTACAGCCGAGACTTCCTTTCTGTATGCATGGTGCAGTGTTCGACCAGGGTGACATAATTCTCTGCTGCAGGAACATTCAAAAAAGGGTCACTGAAAAAGCCATGCAAATCGTCAATATTCCATCTTTTGGATTGTCCGCTGCGATTTTGAACTAGCAGGATCTCGGAGAGCGCTACACGGCTGATAAGGGATCGTCCTTGCGGGTCAAGCCCTAATACGGCAATGTATTTTTTGAATTCATTGAGTGAAGATGACTTCCATGCTGATGAAGACAAGTGCATCCTGAGAAAAGCATAACTCGGACTAGAAGGAGGTGCGGTATTATCGAGAATCGTATCGAATTGTGAGTTTCGGGCATTGTCATCTTTCCAAGCCTGTGGAACTGGGTGCATGTCATTATGTAGATATGGGAAGGCCTCTGCACGGCAGGTTAGTCCTATATGCATGCAATTTCCATTTTTAATCATGTTGGCCATACCTAACGCCTGTGGAGACCATGGATGCACTCCAACTGGATGTACGTCCGAATTTTGTTGTGCTGGCTTCCCAAACAGAATTGCGGCCTCCATTGACGGTGGGTGAGATCTCATGAGGGCCAAAGCGGTATGCCTTCGCTTTGAGAGCCGTTTCTGGGCCTCCAGAGGCCCTGGGACAGAGCTGCTACATCGTTTATGGATTCTTGTGAATCGGAAGAAGCCTTCATAAACGAGCTCATCACTAATCCAAACGTAGTCGGGCCTGGCCGTACCATGCTGCTGAAGAGCCCGATAGAGCCTATGCCTACACCGAGACATGCGATTGCACGATGTGAACCGTCATATAAGCAATTGGCTTGCGACAAGGCCAATTGGCTCTTCCGTGGATGGCGGGAAGTGAGGTTCGATGTTGCCAATGGAGTGCAAGATGATTTCAGATCACGAGCTTGGCATGCTGACTCAGCCGCATGTAAGCTAACACGGCATGCTTTGTAGGTGGATACTACGGCTACCCTAGATCACGTGCTCCCAATCTTTGTTAGTGGTACTACGGCTACCCTATCACGTGCCCCCCAACATATTGTGTTGCTCTCGCGTAGTTAGTTTTAGTAATGACAACAACGTTATCCTCCCACAGGTTATGGCCCTTAGAAGCAACAGAACCGCTGAAATAACGTGCTAACAACGTCTCCACGCATCGTTAAAAGCGTGCCTAGACGATTTAAACCCCATGGTTAATTTGAGATCGGGTGGAACGCCTGATTTGACGAAAGAATACGTGACAACGCGTAGAAGAAGAAATCCCCAAACGCCAGAGGCACAACAAGGATCGAACGCAGGTTTACCAACGCCTGCAAACCATCCAAGGTGAATGGCCCCGGGGCATTTGAACCTGACGACACAATCGAAGACGAAATCGAACGAGTCGAATATCGAATACGAAGACCCGGTTAACGACAACGAAATGTCAGATAACGCGGGTGGCCCTAGTAGCCATGATGTGAGCGAAGAAACTCGCATGAGACTGGAGATCGCGAGACTCCAACATGAAGTCCAACAAATGAGAACTGGTAGGGGTCAGGCCTCTACAAGTGATGAGAACATCAGTGCAGATCTAGCAAACTATCTGCAGAGGAAAGGCAGAACGTCTGCTATCGTGAAAATCCTTAATGAGTTCCGTGATCAAGTGAGACCCATAAGGAAGCCAGTTGTACTGACCGGATCTGGGAACTACCCCATGTGGAAAGAAGAGATCCTCCTCGCAGCGAGGCAATCTGAAACCGATGACATCCTTGATGAGAAGCAAATAGGCCCTGATGATAATGCCAGCACTGATATGCAGCGATTTTGGAAAGAACGCAACATGTGGCTATACAACTACATGTGGTCATCAGTTGCCCCACAGGCAAAATCTCATTTTACTATACCCAAGGATTGCGAATTATCTGCGTATTCTCTATGGTCTATCATAGAGGACAATTTCGCTGAAAGGCCTGCTGTCCTAAGGACAAGGTTATACAAGGAGATGACAAGCATGACAGCCAAGTCAAAAGGCTCTGATCGCGCGTTTATCGAACGCTTGATCGCCATAAGGACTGACTATATCCGCCTAGGATATAGGGTCGAAGATTTCATGTTTTTTGACTGCTTACTTACTGGGGTAAGCAAAGGGTGGGCCTCGTTCATTAAGAACCGTATGGACCAAATTGAGAAAGATAACGCCCAACCCTTAGAGAGTGATTTCATGGCCCTTTGCCGCGATATCCTCTTGCGGCTTCCGACAACTGATGAATCCAATGCTGACACGTCTAGGAACCCTACCAACAACGCGCAGGACTCCAAATCCGACAAGAAGGATAAGAAGGGCAAGGATAAGGATAAGGAGAAGGAGAAGGACCCCAAATCTGACAAGAAGGGCAGTGAGACACGGACCTGCTTCCATTGCCAGAAGACCGGTCATATCCAGAACGATTGCTGGAAGAAATACCCAGAGAAGCGTCCGTCCAATCCCAACAACGCCAATAAGGATAAGGACAAGGGTGATACCAATGCTGGCACTGCTCCTGTCCATAACGTCGTGGAACAAGTATTCTGTATGACGGACAAGGCCTACATGAGCAGCGAAAGACCCACGAGAGATACCTGGATTCTAGACTCGGGTGCGGGTGCCCACGCAACACCTCATAAAGATCTTGTCGTGGCAAAGCCCCAAAAATATACTGTCAAGTTGGAAATGGCAGATGGAACGATAGTGCCTGCCGCAGCGATAGGCGACACGAAGATCACCGTTGAAGGGGCGGACATGCTACTAACTGGCGTCCGCTACGTCCCGAAATTAGAAGTGAACCTCATGAGCATGGGTAAGCTCGTACGCCAGGGCTTTACCTTCAAGCAGTTGGCATATGGAAGCAACCACGCCGTGCTCTTTATGTCCCCAGATAGAACGTTCTCCTTCACGGCGAAGTTGAACGACAATGATATCTACGAGGTGGAGAAGCCGCCTACCTTCAAGGATCTAATTCGATTCGCCCTGTCCAACGGCAAATTTGAACCTGTCAACGCGATGGCGGACGACAGGACTACTGACGCGATACTGGCGCTGCCCAACAACGACATAAAGGTTATAGAACTAACAATGACACAGTGGCACCAAAAATTAGGGCATCTAAATCCCGCGGATATCGCTAGAATGGCAGCAGATCCACGCCTAGGAATGAGAATCATCGGCCAACGAGCTTTACCGTTTTGCAAAGTCTGTGTCCAAGCAAAGATGACACGTCCAACCTTTGCGCCCATGACGCGAGCTACCAAGCCGGCGATGAGACTCTTCATCGACCTAGCAGGGGGTGGAAAAACGCTTTTTGACGGGAACGACCTACCCACTAGGGGGGGTGCTAGCTACTGGCTAGGGATAACAGATGACGCTACGAGATACCGATGGGCAATCTTGATGATGTCGAAGGGTGAGTCTACCGCGAGATTAATGAACTTCATCACAGGCATTGAGGCAACTACGCAACGCCGTGTAGGCACCCTACACTGGGATGGTGGCAGCGAGTTTAAAGGCCAAGATCTGAAGGCCTACTGCCAGAGCAGAGGAATTGCGTATGAAACGACTACGCCTGATACGCCGCAATCGAACGGCCCTGCTGAACGCGCCAACAGGATTGTTGCAGAAAAGACAAGAAGCCTTCTATTTGATAGCGGACTAGCTAAGGAATTGTGGGGTGAGGCGATGCAAGCCGCGATCATGATGATCAACACGTCCCCAACGTCAACTAAGATATACGGATGCAAGCAAGTAGTTCCGCTTACGCCATTTGAGGCATGGACTGGGGTGCAACCTACTGCCCATTGGATACGCAGGTGGGGGTGCAAGGTCTACAAGAAGAACCTAAAGGTTACCAATAAGCTCGCGGATAGGACTGACGGCAAGGAATGGCAGCTAGTTGGCTACCAAGGACTGCACCAATATCGTATCTGGGACCCAATTGGCCGTCGCCTTGAAATCGCGCGAGATGTCGTATTCGACGAAGGACTAGACAAGGGTGAAACCACGCCTGCGAACGTGGTGAGGCAATCGAGCGAATTACCAGAAGAATTGGACGTACTAGATGCTGCTGATGGGTGGCAACACTGCCTCCTGCGACACCTAGCAAAGGTGAAACCTGACGTTTTGAAGATGATTGCCAATGGGGATCTTGAAGGTGCGATAGATCCAACATACCTTCTAGATAATGAGACAGAACTTGTCGAGAATGATGAACCAGAAGACCCTGCCAATGAGGACGATCCTGTCCTGAGCACCCTAACTGACCGCCCAACTACCGTGGCGGAAGCCAAAAGGAGCCCTGATTGGGACTACTGGTATGAGGCGATGAAGAAAGAGGTCAGCATGTTTGAGAACAAGCAGACATATATTGTCGTTGAGAAGACCCCGGGCATGGATATCTTAACTGGTAAATGGGTGTTTGATCGCAAGTTGAACAATAAGGGAGAAACAATCCGGTTTAGAGCTCGCTGGGTGGTTAGGGGATTCCTCCAACAACAAGGAGTCCACTATACAAAGTCGTACGCCGCGGTGGTATCAGGACCCACGTCACGGAGCTTATTCGCAATCTCAACGGCAAAGGGGTGGAAGGCAAAGGCGATCGACTACGTCTCCGCGTTTTTGAACGGCATACTACCGCAGCACGAGATGGTATATATGCAACTGCCTACAGGGATTAAGCACGGCAGGGGGGGCCTGGTTGGCCTGCTCCGCCAGAGCCTTTACGGGATGAAGCAAGCAGCGAGGGTGTGGTATTTCCTTGCGACGGAACACCTCACCACTCTAGGATTCAAAATCTCGCCGTACGATGGCGGATTCTTATATCACCCTATTCGCAAGATCTACCTGACATTGCACGTCGATGACTGTCGGGTAACGGGACCCCAAGAGCAGCAATTAGACTGGATATTGGCAGAGATTGCTAAAAGGTTTGAGACAAAGGATGTCGAAGAGAACAAGCCCTACCTTGGAATGGAAGTCAAACGTCAAATGAACGGCGACCTAGCGGTTACCCAGAACCGTTATATCGATGAGATCCTTGAGGATTTTGGAATGGACAAGGTCAACCCGGCCAGCACGCCGATGGCGGCCGGCATACGCCTAGAATTCTCACCAGATGAAGATAGCGGGTTAGATGACGATTTTACTGCTACTAGATATCGTCAAGGCTTAGGATCGCTGCAGTATTTGGTGTCAAGCAGCAGACCAGATCTGGCATTCGCGGTCAACTACCTCTCACGTTTCAACTCGCGTCCGCACAAGGAATGCTGGGCAGCATTAAAACACGTCCTACGCTACGTCAAGAAAACGAAGGATCACGGAATCCTATACAAGAAGGAGATGATTGGGGGACTCAGTCCTGTCGCGTACAGCGACTCAGATTGGGCAGGGGCAGACCCCCAATACAAGTCAACTACAGGTTACATTATCCTGCTAAACGGATCACCAATCTCGTGGCGGTCGCAACGGCAGACCTCAGTTGCAAAATCAACCACTGAGGCGGAGTATATCGCGGCAAGTGAGGCAGCGTGCGAAGTGATCTGGCTGAATGACATGTTATTTGATGCTGGATTAGTAGAAGGGAAAGCGAAGGTATGCTCGCACCTGCGAGTTGACAACAAGGGCGCGATAGATCTAGCAAAAGGGGAGTCCTTGACAAGGAGGTCACGTCACATCGAGATCAGATACCATATCCTTCGCGATCTGGTTGAAAAAGGCGAAATCATGATGGAACACGTTGGTTCTACGGCCAATATAGCTGACGGCCTCACCAAGCCACTGGCAAGGCCTGCCTTCGAAGAATTTGTTAAGAGGATTGGCTTAATGGAAATTGGCAAGAAGGGGTGAAGGTAATGATGATACGGGAGTTTACAGATTTTGCTTGTGTTATCCTGTTTTTTACGGTTATTGCCATACGGGAGCCTATTCCCAAAGAGGAAATCAGGGTCTGATTCTTGTAATTAATTATTATTGCGTTTTTAGAAGAATTGAGCAAGGGGGGGGCCCCCGGGCGGCAGAGCTTTGGCGGCGCCGTAGCACGGGGGGGTGTTAGTGGTACTACGACTACCCTATCACGTGCCCCCCAACATATTGTGTTGCTCTCGCGTAGTTAGTTTTAGTAATGACAACAACGTTATCCTCCCACAATCTTATTTAGTTGTTGCTCGGCTAGTTAGTTTTAATACATAACAACGTTCATTCTATGAGGTTATGAGTGCCCTCTACGCAACGAAAAGCTGCAAAATAACGTGCTAATTACGTCTCCACGCTTCGTTAACGCGTGCCTAGACGCTCTTATGATAATTTAATCCATGGTTAATCTCAGATCGGGTTCAGCGCCTGATTTGACGCAGGAGTACGTTCCTCCAAGAAGAAGGCGAGGTGATCAACAAACTCCTGAGAACGAAACGCCAGAGCCCAGAGGACCCTTGCCAACGCCGGTGACGAACCGCAAGGCGACCCCTGGTGCCTTCGAACCAGACGACACGATCGACAAATCGAACGAGCAAAACGAATCGAACGAATCGAACGAATCGAACGAAGAATTTGAGGATCCGATTGAAGGCATCAACGAGATGTCAGGCAATACGGGTGGCCAGAGCGCTGGCTCTGGCTCTGCGAGTGAGGAGACTCGTATGAGATTAGAAATAGCTCGGCTTCAGCATGAGGTCGAACGAATGAAAGCAGGCAGGGGTGAATCCTCTGTCAGTAATGAAGAGCTCAGTGCAGATTTGGCGAATTATTTTCAACGGAAAGGTAGGACGTCTGCAATAGTAAAGATCCTTGGTGAATTCAGGGATCAGGTAAGGCCTATCAAGAAGCCTATTGTACTCACTGGCTCCGCGAATTACTCAATGTGGAAAGAAGAGATCCTCCTCGCAGCGAGGCAATCTGAAACGGATGACATTCTTAATGACAAGCAAATTAGTCCTGACGAGGATGCCAGCAAGGATATGCAACGTTTTTGGTCAGAACGGAATATCTGGCTATACAACTACATGTGGTCTGCGATCGCCCCGCAGGCCAAATCTAACTTTATTATACCCAAGGAGTTCCAACTATCTGCTTATTCTCTATGGTCTGTCATAGAAGATAATTTCACTGAGAGGCCTGCTGTTCGCAGGACTCGCCTGTTCCAAGAATTGATTGAGATGACGTCGAAATCAAAGGGTTCTGATCGCGCGTTTATCGAACGTTTGATCGCAATTAGGACTGATTATATCCGCTTAGGATATAATGTTGAAGATTGCATGTTTTTCGACAGACTCCTTACGGGGGTTAGCAAAGGTTGGTCCTCTTTTATAAAGAACCGAATGGACGCAATAGAGAAAGATGAGAACGCCAGAACGCTCGAAGACGATTTCATGGGATTATGTCGAGATATTCTCCTACGATTGCCAGCTGCTGGTGAACCTCCTACCTTGGATGGGAAGACCCCTACGAATAACGCCCAAGATTCCAATAAGAAGGATAAAAAGGATAAGGAGAAGGAGAAGGTCTCTGAGGACAAGGACAAGAATTCTGCCAAGCCGGAGAAGAAAGGTAATAACGCTGCCAAAACGTGTTATCATTGCCAAAAGGTTGGCCACATTCAAACAGATTGCTGGTCGAAATTTCCCGAAAAACGCCCTACTAGCCGCGGCGGAGGTAAGGATAAAGATAAGGATGGTACAGGCCCTGCGCCGGTTCATAATGTCGTTGAGCAAGTATTCCATACGACAGAGAAGGCTTATTCTACTGGCCAAACTGGCAAAGATACCTGGGTTCTGGACTCCGGATCAGGAGCTCACGCTATGCCTTGCAAAGATCTCATATCGATAGTGCCGCAGAAGGTTAATGTCATATTGGAGATGGCCGACGGATCGACGGCTCCTGCAACGGCTATAGGGAAGGTGGATATACCAGTAGAAGGAGCGAATCTGCCGCTGCAGGACGTCCGCTACGTCCCCAAATTGGAGGTTAATCTTATGAGTTTTGGAAAGCTCGTACGCCAGGGCTATACTTATAAGCAACTAACCTACGGGAACACTCATTCGATCTTGCTAACCTCTCCTGACAAGATGTTCAGTTTCACTGCCAATTTGAGTGATAAGGACATCTACGTTCTTGAAAAACCACCAACGGTTAGGGATCTGATTCGATTCGCGATGCCTAATGGCGAATTTGAACCTGCGAATATCCTACGGCCCGCAGAGGGAAAAGAGGATCCCCTGCTGGCATTGCCCAAGAAGGACGTCAAAATTATTGAACACACAATGTTGCAATGGCACCAAAAGCTTGGCCATCTCAACCCCGCGGATATCGCTAAATTAGCGGCAGATCCACGCCTAGGAATGAGGATCAAGGGTGGCAGAGCTTTGCCATTCTGCAAGACCTGTGTACAGGCAAAAATGGCACGTCCAACATTCGCACCGATGACGAGGACTGTCAAACCCGCGATGAGATTCTTCGTGGACCTTGCGGGTGGCGGCCGTACGCTATATGATGAAGCCAACCTCCCTACTCAGGGGGGAGCTAATTATTGGATGGGCATTACGGATGACGCCACACGCTACAGGTGGATTATCCTTATGATGTCAAAGGGTGAGGCCACTGCGCGCTTGATGATCTTTATCGACGGAATTGAAGCAACTACTCAACGTCGGATTGGAACCTTACACTGGGATGGCGGAGGCGAATTTAGGAGGCCGAATATATTGCTGCTAGCGAGGCTGCGTGCGAATTGGTCTGGCTCAATGACATGCTGTATGACGCCGGATTACTGGAAGGAAAGGGAAAGATCTGCTCAAATCTGCAGGTTGACAATAAGGGTGCCATCGATCTTGCGAAGGGGGAGTCCCTAACCAGACGATCAAGGCATATAGAGATCCGCTACCATATCCTTCGAGAACTTGTTGAAAAGGATGAGATAGAGCTCCTCCACGTTGGTTCTACTGCCAATAAAGCAGACGGATTTACGAAGCCTTTGGCGAAGCCCGCATTCGTTGATTTCGTTGAGAAGTTAGGATTGGCGGAGATTAATTGATTTTTTTTTTGCGGCCCAGGATGGGTGTAAGGGGAATACGGGGGTGGATGGTCATTTGCGTGTTTCTTTTGATTTTTTACGGTTATGACCCGTACGGGCACCTTCCCTAATCGGGTAATCAGGGTCCGAATCGTGTAATTAATTATTATTGCGGATTTGGATGATTTGGCCGGGCAGGCGTGGATCGGGTGTTTTGAACTCGGCGGCGCCGTAGCATGGGGGGGTGTAGGTGGATACTACGGCTACCCTAGATCACGTGCTCCCAATCTTATTTAGTTGTTGCTCGGCTAGTTAGTTTTAATACATACTGTAGCTAGTGATCATTATCTCAGCATGCTCAGCCTCTTTTCTCGATATTTTCAGATTAGCGCGATCAACTAAACTTCTTTAGACTTCTGCCAAGTCCTGCTAACTTCTGGACCAATCAATTACTCCACACGTGCTCACAACATAATATCTCATAGAGAGTCTGAGAAGAAACGGTTCCATCGTCTGTGGAAAATCAAACCTGCTCATACAAAATATTCAGTTGACTTCGGAATCATACATCTACTTTAAATATCTACCTGATCATCATCAAATTGATATTTTTTGAATCCTTAGCCATCTCACTATCATCTCTGCTATTTTGCAACTTGCTACCTCTTCTCATCATGCCACAACCATTGACCAAAGACACCGTGTCTTTTGAATCTCAAGACACCCAACATCAGGCGCGGTTCAACCAATATCCTTCATCACTTGAAGATGAATCCTCTCAACAACCACTACACTCTCTCAATGATCTAGATGATGGATATGAGACATCAGATAGTGATTTAACAGACCTTGAATCTATTGATACTCCTTCAGAATTCGAGACCACTGGTATCAATACCCCGCCAGCTTGTTCACAATCAAACACCCGTGGCCCACAGCGCCTGCCTGCCTACTATGCCTCATAACCAGCAGAAAAAACGTTCAAAATTATCTCGCGTTGTCAAAGCATTACAGTGAAATGATTGGGGAATGGAAGCCTTTATAGATGCTTGGATTCAGAGTTCTGATATCTTGACTCATAAACGATACTGTACTCCTGCAAAGCGGCGGAATGCACTATATTCAGCACTCTCAAAGTCAGAAGCATTTCATGGTCATCACCATTATATTTCCTTGCTTAAACAGGAGCTGAAACACCTTATCAATACTCCATACTTTACAAAATTCAACCATGGTGTTGATCTTGATACCATTGATTTCCAGGCTGTTTTTGAGACCATCCGGACTGATGCACCAACCTGGTTTAAACTGCTTACTCCTGTTTTAAAGAATAAACGTGCAAATCGAAAGAGCTATGAATGGGCCTCAGATGAAACAACAGCTATCAAACAGCTGTTTGTTATTATGAGTATTATATGCCACTCTTATTTCTTGAAGAATTCAAACTTCTTCAGCTCTATTCTCTCTGCATATTTTCATGGCTCAGGAGTAAAACAATGAGTGATAGAAACGATTTTCAGCTTTGAACTCTGTCTCAGCTATATGATGGGAAATAAATTGATGACAGAAATTGTTAAACAGAAGAAGGTATGAGTTGATATTCTTAATTTATTAATATTTCTATTTAATTTTTCAAACTTTTAGTAAAAACTGATAATCTCTGTCCTTTTCTGACATGTTCTTTCCACTTCTGTTAACTTCTGAGCCAATCATTTGACTAATTCTTATCATTAGATGAAACTTCGGCAGCTTGTCAAAGATCCTCGAGCCGTTATAGTCTACGACAATATGAACTTCAAAGAGACTGTATGAGATGAGACGATTGGGCATAATGATTACATAGCTGCAGTGACTACTGCTGCAGTGGTTATTTCCCCTGCAATTTCAGAATCTGGTCTGACTCAGATCATGCATGATTTCACAAGACTTTTAACACTGAAAGAGATCATTGATGCATCTGGTGTGGCAGGCAATGATCATGCTTGGAAAGTGCTTGCTCTGGACTGAGTAAGATATGTGTATATTCACACTGTTGGATATGTTTGAGTAAGTGCTCTTCTCCCTGAAGATTGTTGGCACTGATCAGACAAGAATTGATAGAGGGAAACTGAGCTATATCACTTGTCTGCTGATCATCAAGCTTGTTTAGAGGAATCAGTTGAATGGTTATCTTCCCTGTCAGAATTGTATAGAATTGAAGAATAAGACTCTTTCCATAGCAAGTTCTGGCAATGAATAAAGTGTCGCCATATCCATATATCATGCGTCGGAGTATATGGACTTGTTCTATGTGTGGCCGAAGAGTGCACTTAGAATCTGGACGCGGGCCTTGAAGGATTCGTCGAAGACAATGCTCAATAACATCCTGTTGCTTGTCGATACTTTCGGGTTCAGCGTAGCTCATAACAACTTGTGGCATGTCTTCAATTTTCATGAAAAGTATTTGCTTTAATGATAGCTTTTGAAGCCGCTGTTGTTGCTGACTTTTGCATTTTCTTCAATCCCTCTTAGCCATATTCAACAGAGTTGTCTGACCCAGCTGTCAAAAAGAGGTGTTATGTGATTGGTCCAGAAGTTGTTGAAAGATCCCAGATGTTGTCAGAAGTTGATGTGCTGTGTGAGGTGGTCAAGAGTTATGTGAAGTTGACGGAAGTTGCCAGAAGTTGTTGGACATCATCAAAAGATGTCAGAAGTCATCAGAAAATACACTCAGTGCTTTGGCTAGAGCTACTGATGACCGGATATGTGTTTTGATGACAAGATCAAGGCATTGAGTGACTAGACATGATCATGGTTGAAAAATTAGCAAATCATTCCCGTGTTCTAAATCAGAGTAGCAGTTTTCAACGCGATACTTCATACTCACAATATATGTATTTTTGAATAAAAATTAGTTCAATTGATAGGAAATTGGAAAATTAACCCTTCAAGGTGGTAGAGAAATGATCTATAAGTGAGGTTGTACAGTGATTCTATCTCAAACGTTATGGTTGGAGCAAATCGTTCCCGTGTTGCTAACAAACTGGAACCGTTTTTTCTCAGACGCTCCGCGAAGAGTTTGCTGGGGATGTCCCATTTAGGTTTAGTGTAAGCCACTTGACAGTTGATTGGCTCAGATGTTAGCAGGACTTGGCAGAAAGTAGCAGTAGTTCGGATTGGGTTAGCTCGGAGTGGAGTGGCTGAGTTTACTGAGATAAAGTGATCACAACAATGAGAAGATTAACCATCCCACTTCCTTGTAGTAAAGGACGAACCAATCCAAACCCCCCAACAATTTCAATGGCATATGTGTTTATAGTAAAATAATATCTGTAAAGAACTGAGGGAATAAATGTTCCATAATAATAACTATCTACAGTTCCTTCCCAGTCATTAGCGGCTTTCTGCACCCATTAATCTACAAATAAATTACTCAACCGTCCTTTCTAAGCTCATATCCCAGCCAGCCGCGATGGATGTTGATTCTTGTCAATCCTACTATGGCGTTTCGTGTTTACTCCAACATCAATGGCTCCAGTACCCTAGCCGCGCCGGCCTCAAAGCCAATAGGGCATCCACAGTCCTGCTGGAACTCCAGGGTGGCGCTGATGTAGCCAGGGCCAACAGCATTCCTTGCAATACAGTGCTTGATCTATTCTATAGGAGCTTCCTTGGGTATATCTGTATTGACATGTCGACCCATCTTGTGGCTCCGCTTCGGGATTATTCGCCAGGCCTTGTAGGCGTAGAAGTGACGGGTATCGTTTCCTTCTAAGGTAGTATCTTGAGCCTTTGTCAATGACTTCGAGGGGGTTTTTTGTATCCTGCAGTCGTAAGCGGTGGCAGCTCACGGCAGCGATTAAGCGGAATGCACGCATTGATAGAGTGGATGCTTATTATATCTCTGCATGGTATGTGTTGTAGAGGATTTATCATCATTGTCTTCTTCAGCAATGTCTCCATGAAGTCGATTCTGCGGAGGATGTTCCCTGGTGCACCATCGAGTAAAAACTGACTCTACCCTTCAAGTCTGGCGGTCCATGAAAATGCTTTTTTCTTACGTTCGCTTCATAGGCCTTATCATCGAAAGTAATGCGGTACTTTCAACCTTCCTCAAATTCGCATGTTTTTGAATGATAGCTGATGCTTTCCGCGACCATTCGTCGCCCAATGTGAAAATTCACACTAGTCTATTTGGTTCAGATGTACTTTTAGGGGTTGGATAGTCGATTCATATCGCAGATGTCTGATATCCTAAAGCTCTTCATCGTGAAGCCCATCATCAGAATTGGGATGGATCGATATTGCATACCAGTGGTGAAGCCGTTAGAGGGGGATATCAAGACGAGGATGCTTGGGAGGCCATGGTTATTACACAGCGCCTTGTCGTGGCGAAGAAACGCTATCACCGTTACCCAATATCCACCGTCAAGAATATCTGCTTCTGCAACAAATAGTTATGCTTCTGCAATAGCAAAATGACGCTTTGTGGGCGGCCTCTCGCTGCTGGATAGCTACCAGGGTAGCTTGGGCATGAACGCCATCTCACAGCTGAAAGGGATGAAGGGTTCTCCGCATAATGAAATGGAATTCGAGTGGCTCGAGGCCTTCTTGTGGTACATGCCGATATCTGAAACAATTGGAAAATGGAGATTGAATATGATTTTGTCCACTACTGCGACAAAAAATTATGTAGGAAAGGAATCCGTTGTTCTTCTGACTCGCTCGCATTGACATTGTGGAGCACAATACACCGAACCCTTGAAACGTTGATAGATGAAAATATAGGGAGAAAGAACTTTTTTTGATGTGGAAGTCTATTTATATTTTCCACTGCACAAAGCTAAACAAAGTTGTAGGAAGTTCTGGTTTGTGTCATAGACGAAAAGAAAGTAAGCCAGTAACCTATCCATGGATAGTGACAGGGGTCATAGAATGCCTGGAGAAACGTCTGCCACAAAAGCGAATCATGATCCCTAGAATATACTCATTCTCTCTCCCAGAATTTGTGATTAGCTTGCAATGTTGCCATTTTTTAATCTCTATAACCAATAGATGCAAAAACATACACGCTGTCTGTTTTAGCTACCCTAATAGGACGATCCAGATCTCAGACATAATAATACATGCAGGCGCGGTTAAGCAATACAGAAATAAGGCTATACTGAGAAATAAATATACGAAATAAATGTGAGAAATAAATATGAGGCAAATGTATGATCCAACGAGAAAGCAAGGATGAGAAGCTTATTCTCTGTGCTATGACTGAATGGGTAAATGTGAATTTATCAACACGTCAATAACAGGAACGAGCAAAGGTACACTGCCAGCGGTTGACAGTTATAGTGACTATGATGTAATTATACTCCCGCCTTTGGGGCCATGGTTGCCCATGTGTTTGCGTCTATAGCATCCGGTCAACGAGTTTGCTGCAACTGAAAATTTTGTACATGTTGTACAGTATATAGCGTATTTTCCACCAGAGGTCAAGTTAAAATGGCCTGCTTGTTAAATGTGCACTGTTGTTGTTTATTCACGTTCGAACAGGCAGGCTAGAAGCAGTCGCGTTGACTGGGGTATATGGGAGGGTACCTATTGTGCCAAATCTGGCAGGATGCTCTCGGAATGTTTGGCTCAACAAAGAAAAGTCTTTCCTTTTCCAGGTCATACGGGAATATATGTGGCGCAGTGAACAGGAACACTGACTTAAATATCTGCTCACATCTCTGACCGATTCTGTCCAAGGCCCCAAAGGCCGACCTCAAGCATGGCATCTTCACCACCTTCGGACAACTTCCCATTCGCATTCGCTGGGTGCTGATCACCCAAAACACCAGCGACACACTGCCACCCATCCCTTCCTCCACCCCATCGCAAAACTTCATTTTTAAATTTTTCTCCCGCCTCTCGATCTGTCGCTAGTTTTCCTTCCTGGAAGGTCTCAGACCATATTTTGCTGGCGATGGCACGGTCAAACAGATAGCTATAGTAACTGGCGCCGTAATTGAAAAGGTGGCCAAAGTAACCTTGCCAGCTTGTCTGGGAGTTGATGGGATCGAAGATTGTGGCATGCTGAGAGTAAAGATTATGGAAGATTTGGGTAGAATCGAAACCTGGCTGGAGAGGGCTGGAGTCATGATAAGCTTGGTCCAGTAGGGCCATCATTATCTGGGCTTCATTGTCCATGGCACCTTGTATAGTTTCATAATTTTCTTGGTTTAGTCGCATGGTTTGGATCATGTCTTCAGGGAGGGGCTGGTCAGTCTCCCAGTGGCGGGCGTAGAGCGAGAGCACTTCAGGGGCCGTGGCGAAGCTTTCCATGATGACAGAAGGAAGTTCGACAAAATCTGTCGCGCAGCGTGTGCCAGCGATGGTTTGGAAATCAGTACGGGCCAGCACGGAGTGGATGGCGTGACCCATTTCATGGAAAAGTGTTTGGACGCTGTGTTTCGAAAGCAGCGAAGGTTCACGCCCGTCAAGCGAGGGGTTGCTGAAGTCGCATACCAACGCGATTATCGGGAGCTGATAGAGAGTATTTGTTCCTGGCCTTATAGCTGTGGCCATGCCGTCATTTGGATGTGTATCAGCTGACATTGCAGCTTCCGAAATTTCCTCGGCCGATATTGCGCGAGAACATCGTAGAGTGAAGTGTGTGGGAATCGGGCTTTTGCCCGGTCGTGTAAAGAGATCACAATAAATGACTGCAAGATGGTTATTGGATTCGTCTACAACATCTAAGCGTCGAACATCTGGATTCCATGTCTCTCCAGGAGGCGTTTCCTTTGGAACGAGACGGACCCCGTAGAGTCTGGTAAAGAGACGAGAGACTCCCTGCATAACTGTCCCCAATGAAAAAAACGAGCTGAATAGGCTGATTGCCCGCGATTTCCTCGAGACGTCATTCATCGCAGCGTATTTCTCAACGTAATATGCGTGGTCCCAGGGGGCAAATGGCGGCTTTTCCTCTCGCAACTTAGCATAATCCTGCATTTTTAACACATCCAGCTTCGCAATCTCGTTCTGGGTGAGTTCCCGGTTGTTAGAATTCAAGGCCAAGAGAAATTTATTAACAGCCTCTGGACTTTTAGCCATTTTATCACTCATTGCCATATGAGCGTAGCTTCGGTAGCCTGTCAATTGGGCTAACTCGGCTCTCAGTTCTAACAGCTGCGTCAAACGATGAAGTTGCGCGTCTGAGGATTTCCGAGAGGTAAGATAGATTAGTTTTCTGGTATTCTCGTCGTGGACGGATTTTAAGGCTATATCCGGCATCGGGCTATCGATTGGGATATGAATGTCTGACCACCTACGCATCTTATCCAGGAGCGTAGGATCCATCCCTCGCAATTTATTTCTGTGGAAAGATAGCTTGCCAATTTTGGGCTCCATACCGTTCACAAACCTGAAGCCCGCATCATTGATACTATTACACAGCTCGACGAACCGTTTCTTCTTCTCCGGAGGTAAATGGATCCCGGATTTCATAAAATCATTGATGAGCACCATTGCTGTGACCTTCTCCTCTTGGCTCCAATCGGAGGATATTTCAGGGTCCGACAAAGCCCGGTTGAGTATATCGTTAAGACGAGTTTCGGTATTTAGAACGTTCATATATTCGAATATGATCGAATGTGCCTGTGTCGCGGCATCTTGGATTGCGGGGTTCGGGTGGTTTGACCGCATAAAATCCGCGATATCTATCACCCGACAAAGTAAGTCGCTGAGGCGGTCAAGATCCTTTGCCACCCTCTTATAGCCATCAAGAGTTGATACCTCAAGTACCCTGGCCATAATTTCCTGGCATTTCTGCAGCGAAACGGATGCAAACTTCAAAAAGCCTTTCGGGGATGTGAGGTGTTGGTTTTGCAGCAGCCCTAACGAAGATCTGCTTTTCCGCCGTGAGAATTCCCGCCAGAAAGGCTGCGAATCAAATATCATCCGTAGGGCATTATCATCATGACGTTTCGTTGCTTCGTTGCAAGCGACGGCATAATTCTGAACACTGTTTATTATTCCGGGGGCAGCTTCGTGGTGGATTCGACAAGTGGACTGTACCCGATGCTCCCGTAATACGCACCGTCGACAGGTCCACGGCTGCCGCCGGAAGATCTTCAACATCTTCCGCGTGCGCAATCAGCAGTTCGCCAAAGAGAAATGAAAGGCGACTGGCGTGGTCAATGTAGTACGTTGGAAGGATGGCGTTGGGAAGATGAGGCTTTGAGGCCAAATTTTTCTACTCGGGCCGGGGCGGTGATTTGCAACTTTTTTTCCTCGACCCTGGGCCATCAACATCAACATTTACCCTTCCCTTCCTGCGCATGCATTATTGAAGGCCAATTGGACAGCAACCCCTTTATTTTCCTCTGGATATTTGTTGCGTTCAATCTTTCTAACTGGTATGCCCACTTACTTACCTCTACGATAAAGCTAATTGGGGGACAGGTTGCCATTGGAGCAATTGCTCTTGTTGCTTGCGGCCTTATTTTATCCCAGGTGATACTAGATAAAAATGGTGCGGCTTCCCCTCAAAAGACAATGGATGCACTTCATTGAAGACGATGAGATATTAGTCTAATACTATATACAGTCACACCGAAAACCCATCTACGAAGATGAATCCTCCACAGTTCTCGCGGAAAAGCTCCAACCCCAGCCACAGTCCCAGCTTCAAGAGAGAGACACACAACAGACCTTCTTTCCACCCAAGCCGCTTCGTACACCATCCTCCACCTCAACGGCAGATATGTTAGCCCAGAAAGTCCACCAGGCGCGTCTCTTTCTGTACACACACTCTCTCGCCATGGAAAACAGTCTAAACGATGCCCTTTCCCACATCTTCCACGTTGAAAGCCGTTTCACCAACACGATAGCTTCCTTGGCTCCTCCACGTGAATCTGGCGAGCGACTACTACCGGGAAGCATTTATGTTCTCGTATCCGCCATGGCTGGATCAATTGTTTCGCGGAACCGCGGCATATTTTTAAGGACAACGACCCCGCTGGCAGTGGGCACGATAGCGGCCTGGACGCTTCTTCCCGTCACAATGCAGAATGTGTCAGACCTAGTGTTCGAATATGAACAGAAAGTTCCGGGACTTGCGGAACGACATGTACGGGTTCGTACTGGGGCGGAGGAGGCATGGTATACAGCTAAAGCACATAGCGCGCATGCTCGCGGATTGCTGGAGAGCAAAATTGGACGGGGAAGAGAAAAGTTAGAGGAGTGGGTGCGAAAAGGAAATTAAAGAACATAGGCTTCACGGATATTCTTTAAGAGAACGTTCTTCACTGCGATTTCCGTTTGCCATTGTTGTAATTACAGCCTTTTGTACGGAGTATAAGTAGAGATCTCCATTAAACGTGAATCTAAACTCTTTCTATTACCCCCCCCCCACCCCCCGGAATCGCTGATCGAATCGGAGAGCAAATTTCCACCATTGATTATATTCCCTATTTAAGGAGGGGAAAAACCCCTTACTGTCCTAGGAGGTAATCTAGCCCGCCAATTTTCTGAAAAGGTATCAATATAGTAACTCCGTACGCCAGCCTATGCCACTAATAACAAATTCATTCCACGGTATCATTACCGCCCGTGGCAGTCGTTGGGGGAGGAGAAACAGGGTCCCTGCCAGCCTTTGGCGGAGGCGGTATTGGCGAAGCATTCCACGAGGGTACAAAATCCTCCTCTTTGCTCCTCTGCTCACCTTCCCGGAAATAGTCATCAAAAATTAAATTTCCGCCATGATGAGCGTGTCGTGGTTTACGCCCATGCTTCGCTGGAGCTGCACTTGGTATGTTCGCGTGAGTCGACGGCGGGACCAAAAGCGGTGGGGAAGCCATATTCGCAGGTACGAGGAAATGGTCTCCTGGGCCGTCAGGCGGGGCCAACTCGTTTTGCTCGCTAGGTTCCTCTTTGTCTTTCGTTTCGAATACCACCTCTCCCGGTCCTTCTACCGCCTCACCTAAACCAAAGGGTAATCTATGAAGGGCCCCGTATCCCAATACAGCTCCCAGGGCACCTTCCCCACCCCATCCTCGCCTGGGAACGAGCTCGACTTCCCTGACAACATCGAATTCACTATTGTACACCCATAGCACAAGACTCCGATTCAAATGGTCCTCAACAAGTTCGCCAAGAGCAGACTCTCCACGAAGGGTACCGCTGGGTGTTCCCAAGATATAATCTGAATGGGGAAGAAGCCCGGCCTGATAGGCCGGACTGAGCGGGGACGGTATTTCGGTAATATGCCATATGTGCTGTGTCGCCGAAAGAGGTGAAAACTGGAAAGTCACACCAAGAGTTGGATTCTCTGAAGGAACGGCTATCGTTGTCGTATATGTTCGTTGACCCTGACAGGTGTTGGCCATTGTTAGATCCACGGGTTCACAAATAAATAAATGGCCGATTACAAATTTAAACTAACACACCTTTGCACTCCAAACCTCGAAAGTTACGCTCGATCCAGCGCAGTTGCGAATTTCTGTTGCGAAAAGGTTTGGATCTGGATCATCCTGACCAAGGGTTAACTACAGGTTCAAGAAGCACGATTTAGAAGATGGGAAGAACATAGTACAATAAGATGTCCGTTGATCCCAATTACGAAGTCAAACCAGGGCTCCAGAAGAAGCTCTGGATCTTTGTTCCGCAGAACTTGGAAACCATGGGGATTATCGCGAAATTGTTGCTGCCCAGGCTCCAAGTCGAGGCGGGCAATGAAACGATTGACGGCGCTAAACATAGCACGTATTTCAGCTTCGAAATTCCAGGATGGGAAACAAAGTGCTGAACTAATATAATTTAACAGAATTGACCGTTGTTCATAATAAACATAAGCCAGAATATGTCTTGTCGCATTGGTATCACAAGTTTGGAGCTGTCTCAAGTTGTCCTGCCCAATGGCTTTGAAGCGATGGAATGCAAACAGTGCAAATCGACTGCACCTTAACATCATTTCCTAGTTTCCTCCTCCTGCAGCTCAAGGCCCATCAGGAGTTAATAGGGACCATCTAACTGTTTCTTGCTGGCATGGCGGGTGTGGACGATGAACCACCTGCAGGAGTCCATCATTATTACACCAGAGAAGAAGTTCCTTCCGACATCCTGAAGTAAGCATGTTTTTTGCGACCGCCTATTTATGGCGGAAACGAAAAGAAAGGAGAATAACTAATAACACTACTAACAACATCGCGTTAGCTACTGGGCTCAGCGCTACAAGATATTTTCTAAATATGACGACGGTGTCTGGTTGACTGACGATGCCTGGTTTGGCGTCACACCTGAGCCAATCGCCAAGTAAGTCGAGTGCATCAATGTAATTCACTGTCGGGTTCATTCCTTTATTGATCACGATTTCCTTCTTTAAGGAAAATAGCACAGCACATGGCAAACGCTGCTCCAAAGGACAGAACCATACTAGTTGACGCTTTCGCTGGTGTTGGTGGTAACACGATCGCCTTCGCACAGTCCGACAGATGGAAGAGAATATATGCCATTGAGAAAGACCCTACTGTTCTCCAGTGTGCGAAACATAATGCCAAATTGTATGGCGTGGAGGATAAAATTACATGGTTCGAGGGTGATTGTATGCAAATCATCAAACATCAATTGAGTTTATTGGCATCGTACAGCGTCGTTTTTGCCAGCCCGCCTTGGGGAGGTAAGCCAAATGATTATTACATTCCACTGGAACCTCCCTAACCCGTCGTATTGACTATTTTATCTCAGGCCCAGGATATCGTGCTGATGATGTGTTTGACCTATCGACTATGCAACCATACTCGCTTGGTACTCTTTATGCCGAGTTTTCGGCATTCACTGAACACATGGCGCTGTTCCTACCCCGAACATCTGACCTGAAACAGCTGGCTACAATAGTTGACAACAGGAAGAAGGCGTTAGTCATGCACTATTGTATGGATGGGGCAAGCAAGGCGCTATGTATTTACACTGGAGGCTTTAATGAGAAATGGAAATGACTAGCAACATTGTCCTTTGAAGATTACTAGTAATTATATTCTAATGAAAACTCGGAATACTCAAAATGAGGTGAAAAGTTACAAAAACGCTGGTCAAAAAAAATCATATCACGTGACATAGATTTCCGCCGCCTTTTGCCTTCCTCTCTCACTCACCTTTGTATTATTCTCCCCAAGTCCGGGTCAACTCCTGTTCAACACTCCCTTCTATTCCAACCTAAGGACACCGCGGCATACGGCGCTATCCAGTGACAAATTTTGGTCTCGATGTTAACCAGTCTTTCCCTGCCAGTAAGGCAAACCCGCGTGAATCTCCTCGCGCTTCATGTCGACTAAATCCACATTTCCCCGGAAAGCGATTTCCTCTGACAAGCCTAAGACAAACGAGCCAGTGTCAACAAAAATGCCGCATGCAACTGGTTCCGAAGTGGTGGAGTCTGATGATGAGGACTTCAACAATGTGATGCGCCAAATGAATGCGCCGACAAACGAAGCCTCATTCGACTTTCTACAACGAGAACTCGAACCGGGAGAGAAGGCGGATGATGCGGTGGACTATGAGGATATCGATGACGATGATCTTCCGGACGAAGAGCTTGGGTTTTCGAACCTTGAGAACGGAGAAAAGGCGTCGATTCAGGACGACTGGAGCGCGATGGAAGGTATGGAAGGCATTCTCACTGCAGGGGCCTTAGACCAGCACCCGGGGGGCGATGAGCTCGACGATTTATTTGGGGATGTCCCATCGTCACCTGTAGGTGGACATGCCGACCGGAATGACGAACTGCCACCAATTGGATCTGAAGCTATTTCCTCTCTCGACGTTCTCGATGTAGCATCTCCAGCCAAAGAGAATGACACAACGGAGGTTGCGCGTGGAATGGATAGGGGCTCTGTTATGGCTCCTACAGATATGGACGCGGCAACCTTTAAAGAATACCAACTCCAACAAGCACTTTTTGCAATGTCATCGTACGGACCTGACAATCCGCCTGCGCCACCCGAGAACCACGAGGAACTTTTGGCATCTCTTTGGCCCAAATTCGACCGAAATGCTATGCCACGATTTCTAGAGCTTCTACCTCCGAAAAAGTCACATTTTGTAGGGAAATCTCCCTTGAAGCCACCGAAGCGAATTGTTCCCACGAAACTTAATCTTGAACTGGCTCAGGACCAGGAACGAGCATTTCGTGCTACTGGCCAAACCCTGAAGCGTGCTTTGGATTTGGAGAATACTTCCATTGTCGTTATTACTCCTCCTGCCGAGGCAACAGGTGGTTCAAGCGATAATATGGATATTGATGGTGACCTCGACGAGGAGCTTCCCGGCGGAATTACTATGCAGGACTTACAATTTATTTGCGCCGATTGGGATATAAAGACTCCAGTTCCTGATAGTGACGAGGAGGAGATGGAAACCGTCGTAGAAGCCATACCCAATGAGCAACCCGGTGCGGAAGATGATGACTGGCTGTTTGAGACGAACCGCCCAACTAAGAAGCGTAGGCTGGACAAATCACCAGCGGACTACATATCAAGCATGCCGATCGATATGCCCTTGTTTGACGATCCAGTAAGCGAAACTGCGAGGCTTGCGAAGAAGATACAGATTGACCTGAATGACCCGTATCTATTGCTTGATGAGCGTCCTTCGGAAGTAGCTTTACAAGCCCCAAAGCGGTTGGGGACTGTGAACCGGGATGAAATTGCGGGGAGCTTTACGAAGCGTTTAATCAAACGATATAATATCTCCAATGACGATGCTTACGATATGCTCAAAGAAAACCATCAAAACAAAGTCAGAAGCACTCTCGGGAGTGTGGCGCTTGAGCACAGTTTGCCAGCTGTGCGCCTCCAATGGCCGTACTACAAAACGAAACTCGCGAGACAAGAGGCACGATCTTTCCATCGCCCGAGTTTGAGCTTTTACCCCAATTTACCTATATCATTCAAAAAGCCTCTCCATATTAAGCGGAAGCATCAGAAGGGCAAGGACGTCAAAACCTTGTACACCTCAACAAAATCCCTATCTCTCTCCGATAATTCGAATGTTCTTTTACTGGAGTATTCTGAAGAGCATCCAACTATGATGTCGAATTTCGGAATGGGCAGCCGTTTGATCAACTATTATCGACGAAAGAATATGGAGGATCCTGCTCGTCCCAAAGCGGAGATTGGTGAAACAGCTGTGCTATTGCCCCAAGATAAAAGTCCGTTCTCCATATTCGGGCATATTGATCCGGGAGAAACAAGTGCCGCGATTACGACTGCAATGTTTCGAGCCCCCGTATTCCAGCAAGAACCAAAACCAACAGATTTCCTTGTAATCCGCAACAGCACTGGAATTGATGGTTCGAGTTACTATATAAGGAACATTGAGAACCTATATGTCGTTGGACAGCAGTTCCCTTCGGTCGATGTTCCGGGGCCACATTCGCGGAAAGTAACCACGGCCTCGAAGAATCGTTTGAAAATGATCTGTTACCGGCTACTGAAAAGAAACAAGAAGCACAGAGTCAGTGTCGCTGACATCACAGAACATTTTCCTGAATCCAGTGACATGCAGAATCGACAAAAAATGAAAGAATTCCTTCAATTTTCAAAGGATCATAAAGAATGGGAAATGAAGCCTGGAGATCCTATCCCAGATGAGGATGTTTTGCGTGGCTATGTTAAGCCAGAAGATATTTGCCTTCTCGAAGCTATGCAGGTTGGTCAGCAACATCTTCACGATGCTGGCTATGATCGTGATGAAGATGACGCGGATGACGACGAGAAGGAAGGCGAGAGTTCTGAACAACAGCTTGCTCCTTGGAAAACGACACGTAATTTCTTACTTGCAACCCAGGGTAAGGCTATGTTACAGCTACACGGCGAAGGAGATCCTACCGGTCGAGGCGAAGGGTTCAGCTTTATCAAGACTTCCATGAAGGGAGGGTTCAGGGCTATAGGAGAAAGTGTTGAAGATAAGCTCGATGCTCAAAGGCTTAAGGAGCTTGGCGGTCATAGCTACAATGTTGCTCGACAACAAAAGTCCTATGAAGAGTCGATCCGACGTATCTGGGAAGCACAAAAAACAAGCTTATCCTCGACGATCGAACATTCAGATGAGGAGAGTGACATTGACCGCGATGAGCCAGATGAGGTATTTACCAAGCCAAGGGCCAGGTCACAACGACCTACGCCAGGGTTAGGCCGACGAGACGATGAGACGACCAGCCAATTCAGCCGCATGAGCACGGCCAGCCATACTGGCAAGGTTATGAAAATTACCCGTAAAGTTCCTAACTCTAAAGGCGGTTATGATGAAGTGCAGGAAATTGTGAAAGATCCGCGCGTGATCAAGCAATACGTCAAGCAGCGACATGAAGCCGAAGCGCGAAACTTAATGTGAGCCTTCTCGTTACCTGGTTGCTGTAGCGATAAAGCTAACGTTTGCAGACTGGGGGATATTAAACCGACGGGGGATCCTGAAACGGATGCCCGACGGATGAAACAGTATGTTCTGTCCATAGTTCCATGCAGAAAGAAGAAGAAAAACAGATCTGGAGTCTCCCTTGTCCGAGCTAAACTTAGTTGCAATTGCATTATCCTACTTGATGCTTCTGGTTTAACCCTGGGGAAAAGACTCTGGATCTTTTTGCATTAAACTCTGCATGTTCGACCCTAGAGTTATTCCACAACAAGCTAATATGTAGCAGGTTGCAATTCGAGCTTCAACGCCTTCAACGTAACAAGGAGCGCCGTCATGCCCGCGAAAGACAAAAAGGCATTACCTCGGATGTCGCGTCACCGGGGGGTGCGAATTCCCCCACTACCGCCGGCCCCAAAGGAGGAGGCACCCAAAGGAAATGCGCAAATTGCGGCCAGGTCGGACATATCAAAACCAACAAAAAGTGCGCACAATACTTGATTTATTAAACACTATGCCTAAATTTCCCTTTGGCCCACGGAAAGGAGAACATTTTTCATGATCCTGGACTGCAACAAGTCCATGCCCCTTTGTACACCAACACTACAACTCTTTTAATTCGCCTTCTCTTTCCATTTCGTCAAGCTTTTACATTATATATATATACATATTTGTTTAAAAAAAAAACTAACACCTGGCCCTTTATCACGGCGATCGACGCTCTCTAGGCTATGTCCCCTTCTAAACGGTACGATGAAAGCTGAAGACGGCCTTGCCGGTTCCGCATTTGCTATGGGTGCGCCTCCCGCGATCTAGAAACGATTGTGAGATGCTTCACTCTGGCTCCCTGGGTTTGTCGACATTTATGCACCATAACAAAGTCGAGAAGTCGGACTCCGCTCTTCAAAAGGCTAGATTCAACTTTTCAACCTAAGCATCCTCCAGCACTCGACAACTGTACCCTCTCGTGTTCGCTCAATACTCAGTGTGCCATCAACTTCTTTCCAGCTTTGCTATCCCTCTGCTCCTTCCCAGCCTGGAGAATGACCAATTGCTTCTCTTTTCTTTTTCAAATCTCCTCATCTCTGCCCCCTTAAACATTTCCCGGCAGCGTAATGCAAATTACTTGTGTCATTGGCGCTCTCCCTCTTAACTTTCCCTCTAACTTTGTTCCAGAAATAGTTTCCTTTGCATTTTTGCAGTTGTCTCGTCTCACTCTACATACCCAGCGGCGTTAGTTATTTTCGACTTTTGTTTTCTCTTCTTTATATGATTTTTGATTCCCGCATGTGGGTTCATAAATTGGGCGTAAGTCTTCTAGGGGTTCATAGCCGGGAAAGGTGCTTTCTTCATTTCTAGCTCTCCACTTGCCGAATGTCCATATATATTTTATATAATTCATCGCCCCTGGGGTGTGGATGACATCTTCGTGGACGGTACGGTCAAAGACAACAAAGACATCATTTTAAATCCTTGAGATGAGTTACAACTCAATTCAGTCCGAAACCTATCTAACAGCTTTTACGAATACGCCAGTAGCCAAATTTGAACTAAAAATAAAATCACACTCTGGTTTCTATGCATGATAATGAGTGGAGGAGATAATGATTGGGCTAAATGTATTGGCCAAACGAGTGACGGCCAACATAAGGGGCTCGCATCAAGTAGGCTAACAAACTCGGGGGTGTGGTTTGCGTTGTACAAAATGCAAAAAATCAGACTTATGGCAATGAAAGGATGAAATATTCCCAACAATCCGGGGTAAAAAGAACATCTCACTGCTGATATCTCACAAAAAGACTGATGGCCCGTCCTATCTTCAACGCTCACCATAGCCGATTAATGATCTCCCACGATCGGTCTCAAATCCAAGTAGAAAATCTTTAGGTCTTCGGTATGTATACCCCAGAAAGGCTCCCCTCTTTCTCAAGTTGAGCGCCTGCCGTCCAATCGTTTCGTCACGCAAAATCTTGTCTCTGGGCCTCTTCTTCTCTTTCTTTTTCTTGTGGCATTTTTCTTGCATATTAGCCTCTAACCCAGCTCTTGCGTTCTGTTTCAATATTTCCTTCATGCTTGCAGTTTGAGGGCCATCCGTTTGGGCTCCGATATCCATCACATGAACCGTGCGACTTGAATCCGGGTTATTGGCTACCAGGTCAGGAGCTTCGGTTTCAGGGTGATGATCCCCATAACTCGATCCATCATCCACATCGCTAATCGGATCTTCGTCTTCGAAATATTTTGTGTCTTCCCAGTTTTTAACTTTTGGAACAAACGGTGGTTTACGGTAATGGAGCTCTTCCCATCTAATGCCTTTGAAAAAAGGGTGCTCTTTAATATCACCAGCGTCATCCGAATAAACATAGTACCCCTGATAATTCGTGCTCTGCTTATCTGATGGCCAATTGAGGAGCCCACCAGGAAGTCTTTTTGAATGAACATAGTCATTCAGCATATACTTTCTTGAACAAAGCCGGTATTCCTTTTCCTGAAGCATTTGTCCAATGAGGTCGATTGCTTCAGCCGAAATAAGCCTGTCCGAAGGTTTTTCATGCGGGAAGTACAGTGATTCGGCATGTTTCTAAGACAAATTAGAAGCTCCTCTTTCTTTCTTTTTTTTTTTTTTTTTTTTTTTTTTTTTTTTTTTTTTTTTGGAAAAATTGAAAAATTGAAAAATTCGCTCAACTTACTAATATCTTAACTTTTGTGTCATGGCGAGTTTCTGCAGAAAACGGTGTAAACCCATACAAACACTATTGGCGGTTAGTACAAACTTCCAGAAGTAAAGAGGAAGCAGCCTAACTACCTCATAGAGAATCACGCCAACACTCCACCAGTCACACCTGCCGTCATATAGATCGCCGCGTATAACTTCGGGTGCCATGTATTGACTCGTACCCACTACGCTTCTAGCAAGCTTCCTCTTTTCCTTTCTGTTTCTCCATCGCAAGATGTCATCGTTCAGGCCAGGTCCCCAAATTTCGGCTGGGCAATCTTCACTTGATCCAGAGTTCACAGACGACCTTTTTCGATCCTTCTCACGCTGGCGTTCCACAGCCTTCGCAAATTCTTCCCGATCCTGGGAATCCCCTTCGACATGAATACCCAGTTTTTTCAGCAAAGAATGCCTGTGATTGTTGAAATATGACTGGTCGTGGGACCAATGACCGTCGAAAGCAAGGCCAAAGTCGGAAATCTTCAGATGCCCAGATGCGGATATCAGAAAATTATCTGGTTTCACATCCCTATGTATCCACCGGAGTCTATGAGCTTCTTCAATACAAAGAACCATCTCTGCCACATACCATCTGGTGACATCTTCAGAGAGGATATTTTTTCGAATAAGCAGTCCCAGGAAATCCCCCCCAACCATGTAATCCATGACAAGGTACAGATTATTGACATCCTGGAAGCTCGAAATGAGTGGCACAATCCATCTAGATTTCTCGGAGGCAACAAGGAAATCTCTCTCAGCGCGTAAATGCCCCTCTTGGCAGTTCCTTAACATTTCAGATTTCCGAATGACTTTCATCGCGTACACTTCTTTTTTCATTTTGCTTATATCTCTTCGACGGGATCCTCTTCCATCCACTGCAGATCTCAAGACGTCGATCGTGCTAGCTTTTATATAACTCAAATCACTCCTGGAAGATGATTTTCTGGACTCTGTTGCCGTGGTTTGAGTTACCTCTGTATTTCTTTCTTTAACAAGTCGCACAACTCCGAAACTGCCTTTCCCGAGGATTTTAATGACCTCGTAGCCAGCAATAGAGACGCTCTCGCCGTTTCTGGGAAAATTGGAGCGAGATTTGAGGACACGCTCCTGGCGCAAGTACTCAGATTCTTGCCTGTTCCATCCTTGTCTGGCTTTTGCTCGCTCTTCTGAAGTGAGGGGCAATGAGTATAATCTTTCCTCAAATTCGCGTTGTCGTTTAGTCCGTGGTGTTTCGCCCGAAAATATGGTATTGAAATGCGTTTCAAAAAATATTTTTGCTGTTGCAGTAGCCTCCACTGTTAAGATTGAAGGAACAACAGGTGGTACCTCGTGAGCACGGCGCAATTCCTTTCTATGGCTAGCCGAGACCAGAACACTTTGAACTTGCGCTTGGGTATTAGTGTCTATATTTACCGGTTTCATAAACTGCAGTGAAGTAGGTGAGCCGTCAGATGTGGGATTTGTTGACTGGCTGAGCGGAGACGAGCCACTCCCACTTTGAGTGGCGGTGGAAGGATGAAAGTCATTTTCCCTTTCATGCGGAGGGTCTGAATATCGGGTGGCATTGGAAGGGGAGAGAACAGGAGCTCCAGGGATAGTAGGAATTCCGGGCCTGGGCCGTAGGTTGGCACGATGAACTACCGTCGGCTGGCCGAAAGTCATTGAGAATTTGCGGGATATCAGATGTGACAGGCCAGATGTCGAATGACTCTGGCGAACTCCGAGTTCTGGATATTTGTCATCGGTTCCCGTGCGGTCAAGAGTCTGGTGGGTATCCAGGCTATTTTCTTGACAGGGACGTGGTTTCTCTCGGTCAACATATGGTGATATAGCTGCTAACCGCGAGAATACCCTAGCAGATCCTTCGCCTAATGATGTTGCAGCTGGACTACGGGTCCCCAATTCACTGGAAGCAACTTGCAATTGCCCAAGTTCATCGGCTGTAGTGGATTGAGTAAAGGGAATAGGATCCCGTCCTCCTGGGTTACCCAGACTCTCCTGCCAAAAGCCTCTTCGCGTGAGGGATCGAAAGCCCTTGCGATCTAACTCACTGTCAGCACCAGCACAAAATGGATATGAAGATAGCGGATCTGTACCACCACTTCCTCGAGTTTTTAGCATAGATAGCACGCTAGAGCTTTTTCTTTTGAAAAATGCCTTCACTTTCGCCTTGCCGACGGGATGCGCCTGGATACTGTCTGACGTTTCGGTGGGAGAATCACTGTGCACGGTTTGAGTATCTCCGTCGAGTACGATGACTTTATTTGCAGCTAGAAGACCCAAAAAGCTCCTGGACGTTCGTATCTTCCTCTTTTGTCCTGGCGTCATAATCTGAGTGAAGTCCCGCAGTCCTTCATGCGTGAACGAGTGTCAGTGAGGCGAAGCTGGAGGAGACCAATACCTCCACATTCGTATGGAATAATAAAAAGACGAGTATGCGTAATAACAACTATAGTTCTGTCAAAAAGCAATAAGGATGTCAATCGTGTGAAGTATTAGCGAAATGCAGACAAGCGAAGCGAAGCCAGCTGCAGTTCGATGTATCAAATCAGAAAATGGACGCGCTCGTGGGATATATTTTGGCCGTTAACAGGGGAAGAGAGACCGGGCTCATGGCGAGCAGTTGCAGCCGATGATACCTAGATATCTCCGGCAGTTTCCAGAAGCGTGTCCCGAGGTATCCAGGGCATCTAGGGAAAGCAGGGCCGAGACATGTAGAGGAAATGGCCGGAAGGAGCATCACTGCTATCTCATCGTGGCCATATAAACGTGCAAGCAGACGGCTCGATTGACTCTGATAAGGGCATCCATCCATTGTTATAAATAACACGGCCCAGCTGTAAAAACCAATTTCGCTTGTTACATTTCTGATGGAGGCAATCGTACTCTTAGACCTTTCTTAGAAAAAAAAAAAAAGGCTAGTGGTAGTAGTTAAACTATTGCTGGTCGTAGTAGGCTCAACCGAGTATCAGCCCCATGATTCATCTATCAGGAGGAAGTTTCTCCTCGTTCCTGACAATTCATCGTAGCTCTCTCAGCACCATATCATGATGCTATCCCCTGTCCTCTTCGCGTGTCATCCCCCAGCGTTCAATATTGAACGCTGTACATCTTTGCCACTCTCCATTGGATTTCTCCGTTGATGTTGAAAGCAAGAGTGACATCGCGAAGAATACTAGTATCGGCGGCCATCCGTAGCCGGAATTTTACTTAGTCCGCTCTAGAAATTAGCCGAATCGATCGGATTGGATTGGGCCGAAGAAAAATCCAGGATGTCTCTGACCGTTCAGAAGGCATGGCGGCAATTTCAGGATTTCCCATTTGTTCGAGGACGCCATTTTAACTAACCGGAGGAGGGTTTACAAACTTAATAACAAACATCATGCTCTCGAGTAGCACTAGGAAATATACCGAGATGTCTATTGTAGGACCCAAGTACGAAAGGAAACAGTAATGTTTAGTAAGAGCTTTGGAGCTTGGAGCCGTGGATTGGGTGATTCGTACCCTCTATACCACCACGGCGCTGGTGGTGATAGAGCTCTTTTGCCCTAGTGGCCTACATAATAGTAGTACCCCCTAACAGATGGAGTCGTCACGTGTGAAGAGCCCCTGAACGAGAGAGACGAGAGATGCACATCTAGAGCAGTCCTGTCAACATATAATATGGTAAAAATGCAAGAGAATTTACTAGACCTCAGGTGCCATTATTAAACTAGAGATCTATAAGGCAGCGCAATGAACATAACCATGTACGAAGTACTCACTCCCTCCAGCGCGATATGAAGGCACAAATGAACTAATTTAAGATTCCAGTTGCGAAATTCAAAGGATAGAGAGAAATTCAGTATTTCGGAAGCAGTATAACCAGCTCCTTTGCCAACTCCGTTATGATATCATCATCTCTGATAAATGCCCAGCGCAATGTACAAGTTATCTAAGATGCTTTGACCCAAGAGGCCAGAGGGAAATGGACTATCAGAACATTAAATAACTCAAAGAGAAGAATAAAAAAGCAACCGAAGAAAAAGAAAAGAAAAAATCAAGGGGTAAAGGAGGTCGAGAGAGAAAATGGACAGATATAACAAATATGGCCTGGTCGAAAACAATAAGTTGGCCGAATGATGAACAGGAACCTTTTGGAGAAGACAAATGAACCTAAAAATTTTCAAGAAAAGGGAGGACCACCACCTCTTTCTCTTCCTCTATTTAATGTCTAGAAGTTTGACATCGAAAATCAGTTTCGAGTTAGCGGGGATTCCTGGGAGAGATTGTTTGCCGTAAGCAAGATGTGATGGAATTGTCACTCTTCGTTCCCCTCCAACTGACATGCCGGGGATACCGATGTCCCAGCCTTTGATCACTTCTCCGTTGCCAAGCTTAAAGGAGAATGGTGGCCCCTTTTTGTTTGCTATGTGAGTCGACCGTTAGTAATATGTTTCAAAAAACTGTTATTTAATACCGTTGCAGGCCAGAGGTTGGAAGGAAAGACGGGGGACACACCATCAAAAACCTTGCCATTTTCAAGTTTTCCGATATATCGCATGGATACCCGATCTCCTTTCTTGGCAACACGGCCAGATCCAAGCTTCCTATCATCAAGTATGACTCCTTGGACCTCCTTGACGCCGAGGGTGCCGGTAGCAGGTGTCTTCTTCTCTCCATCCTTCTTCTCACCATCCTTCTTAGGAGGTGAAGGAGTAGGGCCTTGCTCAAGCTTTTTGGCAAATTGAACTTTTTTGTCGGACTTGGCCGGCTCTGATGTCTTTACCGGGATCTCCACGGCTTCGCCATTGTTTTTCTTCAACTTCTTCTGTTGCTTCTTGCTAAGCTTTGTCACGCCGTTAGTAGTTGGCTGGGATCCCGATTTGAGAGCTTTTGACATGAGGTCGTCCAAGTTAGCACCTTCATCTCCGGAATCTTCGGCGGGGCGTTTCTTTCCCTTCTTCTTGGCGGCAGCCTTTTCAGCTTCCTCTTCGTCAGAGTCAATCTCCGTGATACGGGGATCATCTATATCATCCAGCTCATCGCTCTCTTCGTCCTCAGCCATCAGATCCAATTCGTCTTCATCAGGACTAAGATCGCAGTCGTCATATTCGTCATCCTCATCACTACTATCGTCCATATCTTCGTGATCATGAGTGGGCATGACATAGTTACCAGTAATGTAAACAGAGTGGGTACCAGTGACCTTGAAAAAGATGCGTTCGTGCTCTCCAACGACGAAGTCAAGGGGTTGTTGGCAGGTCTATGAAATAGTTGTATGGTCAATTCATCGATAGGAAAGAAAATTTCTATTTTAGAGGATTCTGAACAAACCTTTGTAGGATCAAGGGTGCAAACAACGACCTCTTCCATTTCCAGTCCCTCAGAAACGTCACTGTCACTGTCATCATCCCCAGTAGCCCTATCTTTACCCTTTATTAACTTCGAAATAGCGGCTTTGAGGTCGACATCCTCTCCATCTGAGCCGTCATCATCAGAATCTTTCAATGCAGCCGCTTGTCTAGCTTGCTTCAACTTGGCAGGGTCACTAGGTCCTCCATTTGACTCGTCCTCCGAATCTTCCATGTCTTCATCCTCGTCACCATCCTCATAATCATCATCGTCCGAATCATCCTCAAGATCCATTCCTGCAGGAGGGCGGACGATCTTCAATGTCGCACGTGGTGGCTTGCCCTCCGTCTCGGCATCAAACTCAGGTGGAGCATCGGGGTCGATAGCAGCCATTGTGACGCGGAACTAATAATAAGATATGTAAATATTATTTGATAAGTAAGACATAAATAGCTTTAGGTGATATGTATAAACGTTAATGATCAAACAAGACATACCATAGCAGAGGCATCTGCTCCGGCAGGTATCATGATACCGCCTGGCGGCACCTTCACAGCATAAAGAGCAACTGGGTGAGTTGAAGACATGTTGAACTTAGTGAAGAGGCAAAGGGAAATCAATGACGTCGGAAACCAGAGGGAATGTCTATGGCAACACCTCGGAGGGAAAACCGAGACAAAAGCTCGAACGAAGGTGGTTGCTATGCGGGAGAGAGGAACGGAAGATTGAAGAAAAAAAAAATATCAACAGGAGCAAAGTTATGGAAGTTTCCGCATAAAATTTCTAACCAATGACAAACTATACGCTAGTCTTGTTTTAGGTTAGGCCACAACTTTGGAGGATTGATCCGTTGACGACACGCGCTTATCAAATCTATTGCGCGCGCTTATCTGGAGGTTGTCGCTGATTAATTGCTAATCATGTGATCACGCTCCGCCTCTTACGTGCGGCAACGCGACCTCCCAACTCATGATTTCCAACCGCGGGCTTGTCCCATCCCTTGACTGTGCGCATTATGCTGGCGATAGCGTTGCTGGATATGCCGTTGTTCTCTTATATGCCCCAATATGGGCTCAAGACTAGAATCAGGCTCTAATGTGGTGCGCAAGAGAATCGAGAACCGTGAGTCATACCTACCTGTTCTATTTACACCCATTTGCTTTTTCTTTCGCTAATCGGTTGCTATAGATGTATTTGACAATGAAAATGGAGAAGAATATGAGGCGTCAAGCTTCGGGGGTTTTGGCGATTATATCAGACGCAAGAAGCTCAAACTCCAGAACCTTGACACAGAAATCCGTGCCTCATCGCCGCAAAACCCACCTATATTCCGTGGAGTGGTAGCACACGTTAATGGTTACACACAACCTTCTCTGAGTGATCTCCATCACTTGATCGTGAGCCATGGAGGAGGGTTTCTTCAATATCTGGACGGGAAAACGTCCGCCACTCATATAATCGCAAGCGCTCTCACTCCGAAGAAACGAGAAGAATTCCGCAAATATCGCATTGTGAAGCCTTCATGGGTCGTTGAAAGCGTAAAAGCTGGACGTCTTTTGCCATGGGATAGTTTCAGGGTAGTAGATGAAGGGCAGTCCCAGAAAGTGTTGATGTTCGGAGGTGATGGCCAGATACAAAGTCAGGCGAACACTCAAAATCGAAGCTACCGCGATCAAACAAATACGAGTTTGTATATATCTCAAATGAAATCCAAACCTACAGATGCCGACGACCCTATGGAAATCCCTAGGGACGCTGCCTCGGCATATGACGGGGTCATAGGTGAAGCCTGGTCTTCCTCACAAAACGAAGACCAGACAGTCCAGGATGCTGCAATAGCTACATTTTCTGCGCCTGAATCCGACCAGAAAATCACTGGTTCTGGTTCTCCTACAAAAGCAGCAATTCTCGAGTCACCCGATGAGGCACGGATGGTTGAACAAGTTATGCATCCCGAGGCCATTCCTGACAAAAAGAAAGGAAATGACGCCCATTCCTCAATGACTCCGGAGATGTACAATGCACAGCTTCTTTCAGCTCCTCATATGCGAAATTCAAGTGTCGTTAACCCAGAGTTCATACAACAGTTCTATCGTGAATCCCGTCTTCATCACCTTTCTACGTGGAAGGCTGAACTCAAGGCCAAACTTCAGGCTGCCGCTCAAGAGAAAGTCTCATCGCGCAAAGGAAAGAAAACCCATGTTTCTGGGGCTCGGAGATACATTCTGCATGTAGATTTCGACAGCTTTTTTGCTGCTGTTTCTTTACGAAAGCATCCCGAACTAGTTGATCAGCCAGTTGCTATCGCGCACGGCACTGGCCCTGGGTCCGAGATTGCGAGTTGTAACTACCCGGCACGTTCGTTTGGTATCAAAAACGGAATGTGGATGAAAGGGGCACTACAAATGTGCCCGAACTTGAAAGTGCTTCCTTATGATTTCGCTGCTTACGAGGAGGCTAGTGAAAAATTTTATGATGTCATACTTTCAATCGATGCAGTTGTTCAAAGCGTTAGCATTGATGAAGCTCTTGTAGATATCACAAATCTCTGTCAAGACGCTGTTGGTTCCAGTGGCCGGGATATCTCCGAAGGCTCGATATGGCGGGAGCAGGAGAAGGCCGATGAGATTGCACAAAAACTGCGCGATTCTGTTAAGGAGCAAACCGGCTGCAATATCTCCGTGGGCATTGGTGGGAACGTGTTGCAGGCCAGGGTTGCATTGCGGAAAGCGAAACCGGCTGGACAATTTCAACTCAAGCCGGACGCAGTTTTAGATTTCATAGGAACCCTTACCGTGAAGGATCTCCCTGGTGTGGCTCACAGTTTGGGTGCGAAACTCGAAGAACTTGGCGTCACTTTCGTGAAAGATATCCGTGAGCTTAGCAAGGAAAAATTGATATCTAGTCTAGGGCCAAAGACTGGGACCAAGCTATGGGATTTTTCTCGAGGAATCGACAATACAGAAGTGGGATTCCATCCCCCTCGAAAATCGGTATCTGCTGAAATCAGCTGGGGTATTCGGTTTGTCAACCAAGCGCAAGCTGAAGAATTTGTCCAAAGTTTATGCGACGAACTCCATCGAAGACTTGTTGAGAACCTCGTAAAAGGAAAGCAGTTGACCATGCGGATTATGAAACGATCGGCAGATGCTCCTTTGGAACCTGCTAAACATCTCGGACACGGCAAATGTGACACGTTCAATAAAAGTGTCAATTTAGGGGTCGCTACTAATGCAAGCGATATCATCGGGCGGGAGGCAATTTCAATCTTAAGAGGATTCAAATTCTCTCCAGGTGATTTGCGCGGCCTTGGGGTTCAAATGACGAAATTAGAACCCGTTAAGCAGAATAATGCGAATGAATCGGAACGCAGCCAAAAGCAGATTAGTTTCAAACCTGCAAGTCCTCCTCCGCAACGAGAAACGCCGATAGATCCTGATGAAATCAGCACCCCGCGGAAAGAGGACACGATTAGCGATTATTTGCCGAATTCCTTCAAGTCTGCTCCAGCTTTAGCCGATACCTCCCAAAAGCCATTGAATCTGACAGGTACACAATTTGTGATGCCAACCCAAGCCGACCCCAAAATGCTTGCAGAGTTACCAATAGATATTCGATCGAAATTTGCTCCTCAGAATCCCATCCAGGAGCCCCGGAGTCATGATAGATCTCCACATAGCGGGATGCCATCTCCAGTTGCACATCTACCGCCCCAATCACAGCTAGATCAAGAAATGCTCGCTGAGTTACCTGAAGATGTTCGAATGGAAATCCTAGGTTACTATAAGCGACCATCAAGTCCTCACCCAGAATCATCTCAACTTGGCACACCACGGCATAACAAACCTGCCATCTCAAAAGCTATCAAGAGAGCTACCACTCCAACAAAAACACGTGCTGGGCGCGGACGCGGACGGCCTAGTAACAAACCCGTTGGGAATAGTACCCTCATGCAATCTAGTTTCATTTTTACACGGCCTTCAAACGAGCCGACCACGGTCCAGGAACACGTGCGCTCCCCTGGCTCTCCTCATATCGAAACCGACGGTATTTCTTCAGATTTCCTTGCTGCGTTGCCGGACGATATTCGTCGGGAAGTACTCGAAGAGCACAAACGATCGCGTCTCCAAAAAAGAGCCGGCCTCAACCTACCTCCCCCGACCCGAAGATCCCTTTTCCCCAAGCCAGCTGCGCGAATATCAGAGCAAAAAACGATTAGTCTCCCTCCTCGCCCGGAAAAGCCTACTTTTACATCTAAGAAACTCTCATCTCTCCCAGAGCTGCGCAAAGCCTTGGGCGAATGGTACGGAGCTTTTGAGACTGAGCCCCCATATGATGAGGATGTAACTACACTGGCGAAGTATTTGAAACGTGTGGTCCTCGAGGAGAAGGATATTGCGAAGGCAGTTGCAGTGGTTGGGTGGCTGTCATGGTTGATTGAGTCTTCGACCCCGGAAGAGAATCCGTCAAATGAAGCTGGAATCTTACCGGAGGTGGGTTCGTTCAGCACCATCAAGGGTAAACAAGCGAGAGAGGGCTGGGATAACGCACTGCAGAGCCTTCGTGATAATATTAGCGATGCTGTCCAAGAAAGAGGCTTACCCCCTGTTGAATTTACTTGAACGAGTCCGATTTAGCTGTGCTATCTATCACTGCATATCTGTTGGATAGGTTGTTTTCTCTTTTTATCTTCTCCTATTCTCTGGTCAGACGCAAAAATCCGGTATAAACGTCTTTGGAAGCCCCCAAAAATGATGCATTCAATCTCTGCCAGTGTTCAAAGTCGGCGCTCATGATTATGAGAAATGGGGCAAAAATCAGCACTTGAACGAACTTCCAGAAGCGGACACACATATTCCGTAAATTTTTCGACCCATGAATGCTCCGAAAAAAAAAAAAAAAATCCACCTCTCGATACTTAAGCTCAACACAAGGAAGGCACTGGACTCACCTTTTTTGAAATGCCAATATATTCACTATATTACTGCATGCCCGCCACCTTCTAAATCCCAGGGTCTTCGATGTAAAAGGAGGATTAGCCCACTCAACAACAATTCGTTCAAGCCTTTCAGTGGTTAATGATTCTGTTCATAATAAGGTATTTTTGTAAATATTTTTACCCTGGCCCAACACATCACTTGGCAGAAAGGAACCATCAGAAGATATTATTTACAAAATTCAGCTTTTTGACGGAAGGGGCAGCCAGCCTGGAAATGCGATTCTATCCTGTGAAGCCAAATCACTACAAATCCTCAAAAGCGGGTGACTGAGGTACTTGAGATAATGGCCCACATCCTCGCAGGACAGTGGAAACCCTTCCCCTGCTGCCCAATCAAGGGGTTTATGATTGGATACTTCTCTCGCTTCCTGCCGATGAGATTGTTATTTATATATAGCACACAGATATTGCATATATAGAGTACAGCATCACTTAATGAACTTAATCCGTCCACATTTTTATGTATTAAAGGACAATAACTGAATACCTTACGGCACGCAAAAGCATCAATTAATCCTCTCCCAGAACTCAGGTACAGCTCTTAGTTTTCTCTCTTCCTCGCTTTCATTCCCGTTAAACTTGCATTGAAGTCGGGAGATACTTGCAACTATGGGGTTAAACTCGAAGTGCGGAATGAAGGTATCTTTCTGATTGAATTGTATTTGGAGCCGTCATACATAACATTTCGAAGGACTATGAGCCTTTCTCTCAGCTTCTGTTGAAGTCGTTCCATTTCCCATCACTTATTGACGGTCAATGGGCTCACAGCTTCAATGCGCATTTGGGAGGATCAATTTCCAACGAGTATTTCCTAACCAGTATTCAAAGTCAGTCCTACTCTCCCGTCTCTCCCTCAAGCTCATGTCCCCGAAAAAAAAAAATAGGCCCGTCGTTTATCCTGTTGGAGCATCCCCTGGCATGGAAATGAAGACCTTATATATACTTCGTAGGGAAGAGAGCATATACATGTGCGCTAACTAACCAGCCCCGAGCTGCTCTAGATAGTCACCAAAGCTGGAGAGAGCAGCAATAATATTCGCAGGCAAAATCATCCCCAGTGGTGATCGCTGCAACATATGGAATGAAATTCTAGCCTGCAATACCGCCAACTTGGCACTTTTAACGGATCAGGTGTTGATTCGAATCTACTCATTTGTCCCCCTAAAAGACAACGAGCATTGCATATCTACCAAACGGGGACCAGTGCAGATTTTCGTGCAGTCGAAACCGGGATTCGATTCTAACTGTGCAGAGTCCATGCCCTTTGAAGGGAGACCTAAGTTGTGGGCGGGGTGAGGTATTTAAGCTTGACTTGCTAGTGCGGGTGTCACAGGGCGGAGAACGACAACGGGGAGAGCTAAAAATGCTTACCGACCTTGGTTTTATAAGTCCGCGCCATGGCAGGGCGACATGTAGCGTGAACAATTTCAAGGGCATTCCTTGCTGAGCACCTCTTCCGTGCGTGTTGGTGGTGTTTAAATAGACAGCAGCTGGTCCTGGAAGTGACTTTTGGATGCGTTCGTATCTCCAAAAACACAAGGACAACTGCTCATCCCCACATACAGAGGAGCCTCGGGAACTCGCAACACAATTAAACAGGAATTGAATCTGTAGGCATTGGCCTCGTGAATGTTAAGAACAGTATTGAACCGCTATATCTTCTTCCTCAAGTGAGTATTGAGTTCATTGCTGCCTGTGTTCCTAATTCTATATATCGTTTGCCATTTGATATCCCACGCGTAGAATAGAATGTCTAATTTTTGAACTTCATGGTTTCATTTCCAGTTCCCGGCATCTCAACATTAATATCTCGATTTTCCCCTGCAGCCTTCACCATGGCAGCGAATGAATCAGGTAAAGGAACCACTGCTCTCTAGCCCTTGAAAAGCCACACCGAACTCTGACAAATATACATACTTATATTTTACCCCTTTTCTTAAAACTCAGCTCCCGTGCATTATGCCATGCTTCTTTACCCGGGCTTCCAAGCCTTGGATGCTTTCGGACCACTCGACATCCTCAACATCGTAGCTCTGGAGAAGGAGATAAAGCTATCCCTCATCGGCCCAACCATGGACCCTGTCAGTACAAAGTCACCGATCCCAAACACCTACTCCACCAGCTCAACCTCCTACCAATCTGTGGTCCCAACGCATACATACGACGCTCCGCCAGAGGACATCGACGTCATCATCGTCCCGGGGGGGGTTGGCTCGAGACACGAAACCATCAAGCCCACGGTCCAATTCCTGGCCGAGAGATACCCACGCGTCCGTTATCTACTTACCGTCTGCACAGGCTCGTATGTAGCTGCACAGTCAGGCATCCTTGATGGCAAGAAGGCAACAACGAACAAAATCAGATATGATGCCGTGGTAGCGAAGGCTCCCAAGGTGAACTGGGTGCGGCAGGCGCGGTGGGTTGTGGATGGCAATATTTGGACATCCTCCGGTGTTAGTGCGGGGATGGATGAGATGTTGGCGTTTGTGCAGGAAATCTATGGGAGAGAGTTGGCGGTGAAGGTTGCGACCGTTATGGAGTATAATTGGCATGAAGATTCGACGGTGGATCCGTTTGCGGAGTCACCCTTGGTGAAGAGGTATGGGTACTAAAGCTGTCTAAAGTATTGTGGCGGACAGATTGCTTGCGAAAACACATGCGGTTGTATATTATGATATTCGATTGGGATAACGGTGGAATTGGTCGGATATCGTGGTTTATCAGAGTTGCCGTGTATAAAATCTTAATAAGAGTTAGCGGAACATCCGCTCACAAGCAGATCAACGAGGGATTGATGAGGATATCGTGCTTGAAAATGGGAAGTTGAGCACAAACAATTCGTTTACGAAGACAGAGCGAGCCCTACACTTCTAAATTCACATAACACTCCCACCTATTGTTCGCACCACCATGATCCCTTCTACCCCATATGGTGTGCCCACCCTCTCCAAAAAGGATATTATCACATTTTGGTAGATATTGGAGGTATCCTTTCTTATCTCACTTCTGTTGATAGCTGCCACTGCAGGGTAAGGTGTGGTGGATCTGGTGATCCTTACAGACTAGTATTTAGTTCAAGTGACAAGGAACTGCCTAGTACTGTGTGAGCAGAGTGGTGATGAAGTTACCAATACAATAGGGAAATATGACTAGAGAGCAGCTGAATATAAGAATAGGCCAGCGAGGTGAAGACCGTGATAGTCTCTGACTGCATATATACATATATATAGCCTTAGAAAAAGATATGAAAAACAACAAAACTGGTGATTAGGGGGTTTGTTCATTTAGCTGCAACAGATCCATTGCAAGTAAAAGATATAGATAGGTTACTTGCTTTCTTGAACTCTGTTCTTGACCTAAATGAGAAGTTCGGTCAAAAGTACTCAGTACCTCTCTAACTAGATCAGAGAAAATAACACCAACAGGCAGAATTCAATTTGCCGCCAAAAAACGGATAAAAGAATTAATGAAAAAAAAAAAAAAAGCTTTCTGTATACACGCCGTTTTATATATATATATATATATATAGCTATATCAGAGGAGACATTAATCTGCCATTGTATCAAAAAAAAAAAAAAAAAAAAAAAAAAAAAATGAAGAGGGGGGAGGAATAGGAAAGAAAAACAAACACCATCCCCAAACCGCGGAGCCAGTAGGAGGGCTACTCTCTATCTAAGTAACTATTCTACATATAGTTAGTTATCCAAGTACGTAATGAATGAATAAATCGAATTGATCGAAGTCAGCCAACCCCCCACACCCCCAAAGCCAAACGGGCGTTTGTTTGATATCGATGATGCCGATGAGGCCGGTGCCGCACTTAACCGATAAAACGCCATCGTTGAGATAAGGTAGGGATTACGGATGTTATCCCTGTTCGGAGACAAGCGTTGCAGGCTTGGAAGTTGCGTCTCTGCCGAAACAAAAGGAAGGCTGGAATTGGGCCAGTAATGTTCTGGAGTATTGGTGACGCATGCGCGACGATTTAGTACGACATGTCTCTTACCACCGCGTCAAAGGCGCCGGCGACATACTTGACGTTATTGGTGGTCACTGCGGAATAATTGGAGAGTGGTTAGCTGAGGGTTTTTCAATTTAACGAATTTTTGGGGAAGGGGAAAGATATGAAAAGATTTCTTTTGCTAAAAAGAAATAAAATAACAGTAAATAAATAATAAAAAGGAGGGGGGTGCCGGGTGGGGGGGGGGGGGGGGGAAGAAAACCCCTTACGTCCAGAAATCGACGCTCTCCCCGACTCAAGCATATAAATATGATATTTTTCTCTCAGGGTCTTGATCTGCTTCTTGGTCAGACCGGTGTATGAAAACATGCCGATCTGATTGATGATATGGTCCCAGTTGCCAGGCGTGCCTAGACGGCGTAGCTCATCGTACAGCGCGCGTCGCATGGATTTTATCCTGCTGCTCATGATAGACAGGTCTTGTTTCCATTCGATAACGTTGGCAGGATCTCTGAGGACTGCAGCTGCGATTTTTGAACCTGGAGGATTTTTTTTTTTTTTTTGATTTTTTGTTCTCGCGTTAGTTATATTATATTATATATAGATATATACGGACACCCATATTCCGTTAATTTTAAAAAAAAGAAAGAAAGAAAATAAAACATACCATAAGCAGGCGGCACCGAAATCTCCCCCCTTTGCAACTCAATGAGCTGGAACCTAGCCCTTCTGGCCGAATCCTCGGTGTGGCACACGAGATGAAAAGCCCCAACGCGCTGCCCATAGAGGCCCAGGTTCTTGCTAAAGCTCTGCGCCACACACATCTCCATCCCACGCGCGACAAACTCTCGCATGGCCCAGGCGTCATTATCCAGATCCCCCGACGCGAAACCTTGATACGCAGAGTCGAAGAATGGGAATATCCCCTTCCTCTGACACAGAGAGGCGATGGCCTCCCACTGGGCTCTGGTGGGGTCAAGACCCGTGGGGTTGTGCGCGCAGGCATGCAGAAGGATGACATCCCCGCGCTGCGCGTTAGCTTCCAGTGTGCGGATCATGCCATCGAAATCGAAGGAGCGGGTCTGGGCGTGGTAGTAAGGGTAGAGAACGGTCTTGATGGGGCTTCCGGTGGAGCTTGAGGCGACCAGGTCCCAGATCAAATGGTGGTTGGCCCAGGTAGGGTCTGAGAGCCAGATTTTTCGGGTTGGAGTAGCGGACGAGGAGGACGGTGAGATCAGACGAGGGAGGTGTTCTTTGAGGAAACGAGCACCGAGATGGTTTGCGCCTGTTCCCGAAACCGTTTGCAAGCTGGCAATGCGGCCTTTGGCAATGGGGCAGCTGTTCCCAAAGACCAGATCCCTCGCTGCATCCACGAATGGCTGGTACCCTTCAATAGGAAGATATTCATGGTCAAACGTCGGATCTTCACACAGTTGTTTTTCGACCTAGATTTGCCAAAGTTAACGGCACCACTCGCAGCAATTCACGGAAACACTTCTTTCTCTTTTCGCCTTTCACCTTTCACTTTTTCCGGCTTGCCTGCGGTTTCTAATACGTGGAAAGGGAAGACGTAGCTTAACCGTAGATACGTACTTTTTTCACGATGTTTAACCTCCAGCTCTTGGCCTCATTGTCTCTGTACACTCCGGCTCCAAGACTGACCTTCTGCGGCGAAGAGTCAGCCACAAATTGAGCCATGAGTCCGAAAACCTCATCATATTGAGGGATTTCCAAAGTGCTGAACAGGCTTTCTTGCGGTGCAGGAGCCATGTTCAGATGTTGATTTGGTATGTGATTCGATTGTAATTTGTAATTTTAATATATATTTTCTTCTCTTTAATTCTGTTTAAATAACAATCAGAAAATTCCACACTGTTGCCCTTATAAGATTTTAGATTTAGAAAGATTGATTCCGAGGATAGGGAGTTTAAGCAAGTTTGCCAGCAGTTGTCTCAATCTTCTCCCCTGGAAATCTGAATCAAGCAGTCCAAGAACTGGGAGAAGCATTTATTTAAGATATTATCTTGCCTTTTAAAAAATAATAATAATAATAAGCTTTGTACCCTTTTTCCTTTCCCGGGGGCGGATGTGTTGCTCCTTTAACCAAATTTTGCCAGGTATCCACAACTCCCAGCGAAGCGAAAGGCCACCCATATTGTCAACACAACAGGCCCGCTCCGCGCAACCCGTACTTGCTGCGTCGAGGGAGTGGGCTAGCATTTTAGGACCCAGTGCTGCCCCCGGCGCGTGATCCGGGATATAGGTAAGGGAAACATGATGATGGCAGATAAGCAAGTTGGTCTTGGAGTCATCGATGTGAGCGAGCTAAGTTGCATCATGTACAGGTACAGGTACAGGTACATGTAGACGTAGATGTAGATGTAGATGTACATGTACGGAGTACGGAGTACATGTGCATGCAATGGATGGATGTCAAGCCCATGCAACATGCAATTCGCGCGTGTCAACCAGCCTTATCCGACCGAGTTCACTGTCGCTGGTTAGTTAGCGAGTTTACTCTTGCTTAGCGTTAACGAGATTTAAGCCGTTGCTGTTGGCCCGTATATATCCACGCCCACCCCCGCAGAAACCGCAACCAGACCTGTCCTGTGTCTGCTGGTAACGGCCATCAATGAGATGTAAATGTAACTATGCCTTCTTTTGCGGGGAATCCGCGGGTTTCTTCCGCATCTGCCAGTTGTTACGTCCTAAATGCTTGCAACCTGGGCAAGTTGTAATAGGTAGGTAGGTACAGTAGGTAGGCAGGTAGGTAGGTATACATCATTTCATCATATTCTGTGCTCATTGCACCATGGAGAATGTCATTTTCAAGAATACATCCTCTCCTCCTAAAACAAATCAACGGAAACGGCCTTTTCTTTGTGCATTGCAGTGTCCAGTCCGCTTTGCAATGTGCTCCCTCCCTCTCACATCAACTGCCCGGAGTCGATTGATCCATTGGACCCTCCCTGCTTTCATATTCCCCCAACTGGCAATGCCTGGAATAACACACTGAAACCCTAACTCTGAGGCCTACCTTTTCTCCGGTCTCTTCAAAGAAGATACCAGTATGCCGGAGGTACTCCGTACTGTGTACATGTGTGTACATAGTATGTACATGCCCACCTTCGCTTCCAGCTCCATCAATGCCCAAAATGCCGAGGGAGACTAGCCTCGCCGGCTATCCACGGCTGCCGTTGACCAACAAGCGCCGCAGAAAAGCTTCCTGGGGCTACAAGCGGGACCCAGTCCAGCCCATTCTGTGGCCTCCAAGTCTGTAGCCGCTGGGACAGATATCAAAAGAAAGATAAATAGCTCGTTAAATAAAATAACTAAAATAAATAAATAAAAATTATCAGCCGTACGTGGTTAGTTAACTAGTTAGCGGTCCACTTGTTGCAGTGACGTAACTAAGTTTGCAGCTTAGTTAACCGAGCTGCTGGAGCTAACTTAGTTCCTTACTAGATATTTAAATCGATGGAGCTTACAACAGAGTATCTGGTTTGCCAACGGTCCACAGGAGGGCAGGCCGCATGGTCACACTGCGGTTTTAAATAACCCTTCTTCTGGTCTCTGGTCGAGTTGGGGCTTCATATAGTGGGAGCCAGGTTTTGAGAGGGGTAAGGTAAGAAAAGGAGGGAGAGGAGGGAGTGGTTTTGTAACCTGCCGACTATATAGTTCTACGTCGTCAATCATAACAATTTTGAATAGAAGAAACAAAAGAAGTGTAAGGTTAGGTAGTTTTGGCTGATAGATAGGCAGGCTATCTAGTTTTCAATAATAAGGAAGTAAATAAACAAAAGATAGATGAAAAGGGCCTCTTTATATGTAGTCAATTCTCACGATGAATCAAATTTCATAATCCAGATTAAGTAGTTATACATATATTCAATTCTAACCAGTGAAATTGAACTGAGTTGAAAATGATATATGGCTGGTAGCCGACGATGAAATAGTCGATGAATCAATTTAGGAAATATGCCCCTGGAGCCCACTGCCCATGGCAGTCATGAATGAAAAAAAATAAAAAAGAAGTAAAGGAAATTGCTGGTCGTCAATCCAATCGAAGAGCCAGAATATGAAAAGGCAAGAAGGCAAAGAGGGATAGATAGGGAGAGAACTAAACAAAACAAGGTTGTTCCCTTCCAATTTCAAAAAAAAAAAAAAAAAAAAAAAAAAAAAAAAAAAAAAAAAAGACGGGATAACCATTTCCCCCAAGATTAGATATTGTCGAATACGACAACTATAGACAAGGAAAATTATACAAGATATATATTTTTGATAACAAAGGAAAAAGGCCCACAATATCAATAGATAGGTCTCCCTTCATCCCACTTTCTCATCCCTCGAATACCGCCACCGCTATCACCATCAAGGGCCGCTACACCACTTGTCCCGTGACAAGTTTCACCAACACCTTCGCTCGTTTTTTCGGGAGATAAAGAAAAGCGTACCCTACCACCAATACTACTCTCCCTCCTCTTCTTCCCAGCACTCTCGCCCCACTCCCCCACCCCACACCCCCAATCCTCCAACCCACTCCCAGACCCGCGACACATCACCCGCCCGCCCCTCCCTCACCGATGCGCGAACATTTGCATTACCTTCCACGATGCCTCGCACCCGCTTCCACAACATCTCCCGCCGACTGCCCTTCAGCTCATCCCGCAGCACGTCGTCGCGCAGCTGGCCAATAGAGATCCACGATTCCAGCGCCTCCCCGCGAGCATGCAACGCTGCTTGCGTGGCGAGGCGGTCTAGGGTCATGTTCACCAACGAAGGGATGCGGGCAGTGTCGGAGCGGCGCGCAAGCACCGTCGAACGTGCATATGCTACGGCAACGATCAGAAGTGCTAGAAGGAGAAGAGGGAATCGATACGCGAAGAGAGAGAGGCGTAGGTGTCGTCGGAAGGCGCAGCTGAGCGAGAGATGGGAGAGTGATGTTGATGCGTATATGATGCTGTCGGACGGGCTGTGTTTTCGTGAGCGGTGCTGTTAGTCCGGTTAAATTATGTATGTCAGATATGATAGTAATTTTGCAACAGAAAATGAAGGAAGAAAGTAAACCGAAAATAGGACAAAAGGAATATCGACATGGAGATGCGGTAGCTCCTCTTATTAAACACAATCGAAAATCTAACCCACGAAACGCCCGCACCCTTGCGGAAAGACCCTAAAAAGAGCAAAATAGAATGGAATCCTTACCCTTGGGTGGAAGTGGCAATCTCCTCACGGCTCGTTATTTCACCCATAGCTGCTCTCCAAAGTTCCTCGAACTCCTCTTCACTCATCCCCTTCCTCTTTTTCTTGTTCAGCTCCTCCTTAAGCTCGGCTGCTGTCATCCCCGGGGATGGTACCACAGTTCCGCCTGCTGTATCCGGTTCGCCGCATTCCCATTTTGATCTTCTCTCTCTCAACGCATCAATTGCCTTATCGGCAACCGATTTTACACGGCGAACTTTCTCCCCATCAGGCTCGCAGGATGGCGGCAGGGGAATCAATCCTCCAAGGGCCAACGGATGCGGTTTCAGAAGGAAGTCCTGTTCGCATCTAACTTCGAACTCTGGGTAACAAAAAGCATGCGGAGGGCATGGTTCACACTTTGGCTGCAAAACCTCTGCCCACTCTGGCACTTTGGTATCCGCCAATGACCAGTAAGGTTTCCCTACTCCGCAATAGCCAATCTCAATCTTCTCCTTACGCAACCATGCACCAAATCCACTTAGGAGTGAAAAAATGACTACCCAAGGAGCGAGTTTACTGAACTTTCCCTCTTTCCGCGTTTGCCTGCGCGGGCTCCCTTTGGCAGGTTGCTGCCCCGTCAGCGATGGCAACTCTTCAGGAGTAAATTCTTCTCCAGGTTCCAAAGTGCCAGATTCATCCGATTCTTCAACCTTAGGCGTTGACAGAAGAGAAACAGATATGTCAAATGTTGAGCTTGACGGGACCTCCACATCCTCTTCTTGCTTCACTTTGACAGGTTCCGTTTTTCTCGGTCTGCGACCATGACTATCTGTAGGCTCCGTTGAATATCTCGTGCCGCTTCTCCGCTTTCGCTCAACGCTTACTGTTCGAGTGCAAGGATAATGCTCCGCTTCCACTGGCGAGCTTCCACTCTGGAAAGGGTTGTCGTCAGTGAAAACACCATCGTCGCCGGTCTTGTACTTGATCGGTGTGGGCAAAATATCCGCTGAGGTGGACGCTCGAGGAGTGGGAAATGCTTCGCTCTTTCGCGATTTCCGAGCGGTCGATCGTCGTGGAGTTTCTTCAATGACGCCCATATCTTCCCCGGTTTCAGTATCGGATGCCCGGGGGTGTTTTGTCGTCGTTTTTCGCCTCCTAGAAGTAGAAGGTGGTGGTCGTTGTAAAAGAGCACTTCCATCCAGCTCGGCTGTAGATGCCCTCGTGCTGGGTCGAGACCTACCCCTCCGTGACGTAGCTGGCGTAGATGGTGGGGGCATCGATTCTCTCCCTTGCTCTTCATTCTCACTCCCCAGTGATGCGCCATTTCTAGGCATATTGGTAATACCTTTGCTCGTCCTCCTCACTCGGTCACGCTCCCGTAGCAACCTTTTCGCATGTGGTAGCACTTCGTTTTGCAGGATCTCAATGAGTTGTGCCTTTTTTGCTGAGGCGGGGTAGGAAACGTCATGGTGAACGAGGATAGAGCGGATGCGCGGAATTGTTAGTGAAGTAAGATCGAAATCTGGGTTAAGATATGCAAGCTCATTGTTGCTTTCCGAATCTGAAGCCATGATAGGGCGATAGCGTAGCTTCAGCCTGCCCACTTCGACGAAGGGTAAAACTTGAAGGCGGGGGGTGGGGGGGGGGGGGGGGGAAGGATAAAAGAAGGTAAAAAGATCCGCCTCAATCACATCGGAAAAATGAGTGTGCTGGCTTGATTGATGTGTCGAACTGAGGGAAGGAAAAAAAGTCGAATGTTTGAAAGGCTAACCTGAACAACAATGCCACTGGTATCCAGGGCAACCGCAGGAAGTGTGAAGGGAGTGAACAAGGCTCGATTAACCAACTACTGCAACTCCAACCAGGGTTCAAAAGAAAGCGGCGAACAGAATTGCATAAAATCTTGGGTGGGCGCAGGTGGATGGGGATAGATTATGATAGTATCCGGGAGGTTGAGAGATACAGGTTCGCTGCTGGAGGCAACAGGCGAGAGGCCAAACAAACCAGCACGATTATAATCACGTGATTCACATCATGAACGGGACTCCTTAGGAACAGGACAAGGCCGCGATGAAAAAGCTACAAAAAATACATATGCAAAAGCGCACTGTAGTAAACTAACATATAAGGAAGTAGACTACAATACCATTCATCGCATGGTCACGCCAAACCTAACAACTATAGCAAAAGGGACACATAATCCAAAAGCGGACGATAGACAACTTGAAGCGAGCAACAAAAATCAATTTGACCAATAGAAAAACTAATATAACATCAGGTAAACATGCTCTTGAAGAAAAAAGAATGAAGTGATATAGCAATACTATGGCTCTCAGCCGAAAATCCAAAAGGAACAAGAAGGGAAAACAAACCAGTAATCTGTGCCGTTACCGCCGAACCCAATATTGATTGAAGAGGTCGATCGACATCAAGTCATATGAGCCAAAGCGCAATCCATGGATTTCTTGTGAAAAAAAAAAAAAAACCCAAGAAAGGCCCAAAAAAGTCAACGAACAACAAAAGAGAGAAAGAGATTTCGACCAAAAAGCCTAACAGCGAACAAATCCAACATATCCAAAGGTAGGCGACCATTAAATAAATTCCGCCGCTGATATAACATAGATATTCCAAGGACGAGAAACCTGAAGAAAAGGGGGAAACCAGGAACTGCAGAAATGACAAAAAAACAAGGAGACGCCAAATAGGAGGCGCTAGAAAACAGAGTTAATACAAAAGATATATATAATAAAGCCCCAAAGAGGGAGCTAAACTCCCCACGCCATGCGAATTCATTGACCTATGAAAAATGAAAAAAAGGGGAATGAAATAAAAACCGAATAGATGAAAACAAAACCAAATGATATAAGTGAATGTTCCTTTCTAAGGTCCATTTTCAATCCCGCCCCCCCAAGAAAAGAGAAGGAAAAGAACCAAATCATGTAGGACTTGAACCAGAACAGGAACCACTACCGGTGATCATATCAGATACTGCTGATGAACTCTGGTTGGCACTTTTCAACACTGACACAGCTGGGTGTGGAATTTGATGACTCGTCAGGGAAGGCGGATCGATTTGCTCCTTTAAGGCTTTGAATTCGCTCAGTTGCACCTGCAACTCTGTCAAGATATCCGCCATGGGAATAGCGATGTCTTTTAGAGTGGCGGCAGAGTTGAATGGTCTGATCATATGTCGGATCGTGAGGGTATTCGCACATGTCTAGGGTGTTTTATTGGGTAATGTTAGTTAAAGGCAGTTCTGTGGTGATTGAAAATGAAAAAGGAAAAAGGGAAAAGGTAAACTAACCTCCACACGCGTAATTTGATGCTCTATCAAGCTCCAAACCTGCGCATCGGTAACTTCCCCATGCCGTGCCTTGACTACGTTGAGAAGGCTCATTTCCGGCTGTCGCACACCAACTTCGCCACGATTTTCTAGTGCGCTGCAGAACGCTTCCAGCCGCAGAGCGACAGTCCACAGGCGCCAGACAAGACCCTGCCTCGATGGTGAGATGCATGTCCCTGCCTATGGAAATGGGCAGAGTGTCCGCTTCTTCGATTGAATAGCAGGGGGCGTTGAGACGACCGGCTAGAGAATGGGGATACATCATGTAGACAAATTCAGGGTTCTCAAGCCCCTTTTAACTTCGCTCGCCATATCCTTTAATTTCAAACCCCTGGGG